AAACACTATTTTATTTTTATTATTTTAGGTATTAATTAGATATAGTCTACGAGAATATAATAAGAATTATAATTTATAGACTTTATCATAATAGAGCTAGCTTATAAAGCATTTAATTCTATTCCTTCGAAACCTTCTTTATTATATTCGCCGGATTCTAAGATTCTATCGCCTCTTATATTCTATATAGACGACTTCTTTAATAGCTTTTATAACTTCGAGGATTTATTTTCTTTTTTATAATATTACTTCTTTTCTAGAGTCGAGTAAGCTAAATTACTCTTATTCTTTAAGAAACTACAACTATTTATATTATTAATTAAGGCCCTTAACGTAACTTATATCATTAGAGGATATATCTATATTCTTAAAGAATGGGTTACTAAGATAGCCAAATAGCCTATTCCTTCAGATTAATCGAAAGTTCGAGGTTTCTTAGAAATTATCGATATTATATATCGATAGATAAAGAACTTCGCGGAAATTATAAGACCTCTTTCTAGACTTATAGAAAAAGTGAAATAGCGATAAACTTAAGTAAAATAGCTATTCTTCGAGATCTTATATATTAAATATACTATGAGAATAAGTATATATAGTATTAACTTAAGTCGAATTATTTATATATATACTAATACTTTTAATTTTATAGCTAAGTGTACTATTATATAGTATTATACCTTTATACTATAAGAAGCTATTCTATTAGAAGCTTTATAATCTCAAAAGTCTATTATAATAGAAAAGGATAAGGAAGTATCTATCTTATACGATTTGTTTATCTTTAATTCTACTTAAAAGAAGTACTCTACTTATAAGCGAGAACTCTATACTATTATTATATTCTATAAGAAGTATAACTACTTATATAAGTACCCGTATTAGTCTACTATAATATATACTAATCATAAGCCTCTTACACACTTCCTCGACTTAGATCTTTATAAGGGAATCTATAAATATTAGACTAATAGACTTTATCGCTTAAATCTCACTATTTAGTATATATCGAGGCCTCGAAATAAAGCTATTAACGGCTTATCGAGGACCTTATTCGATGCTAAATACTTAGAGAATATTATAGTTATACGAGTACGATAAAAATTAGAGAATTATGGTCTAAAATAGATCTAAAAGAACGATAAGGATAGATTTAATTTATTCTTAGTAGTATTTACTAAATCGAAGTAACTTGAAGTTATTAATAAAAGCACGCTATATAATATTTCTTCTTTCTTACTAAAAGCTATTTCTACTACGAAAACTATAAAATTATTTATAAAAGTCTTCAGCAAGATCGATAGAAATATTAAGATTTAGATTAAAGCTTATCGCAACAGCGCCTAATTCGGCGAAATCTACAAATTCCTTATTATAGAATCTTCGACTCTTACTACTACTCTACTCCGAAAAGCTTTTAAATATCGAGTAATACAATATATTCTATAGATCTTTCAAGGAGGCGTATACTTACCTTACGTATCGAAAGGAAAGATACTTACTATACTTCGAGAAGTTTATAATAAAAGCGGATATTAGACTAAGACTAATACTTTAATAAGACTATATAGCTACTACTAACTTAAGAAAGCATAAGATATCGAGAAGTATATTACTAAGTATCTTAAGTATACTAAGTATAAACCTACTACTAGATCTCAGCCTTTATATTCTATTAAAGTTATATACCCTTTTTAACTTATAGAAATAGATTTTATAGGCCTACTTAAAACTACTAAAGTAGAATCTACTTTTATACTCATAAAAGTCTACTATATAAGTAGGTTTATAGTTCTCTTTACTACTATATCTACTAATATAAAGAACGTTATCTAATATCTCAAGTTATTCTTTACTATATATAGAAAGCCTTATATTTATTACCTCGATCGCGATTAGCATTTCTTTAATAATAAGTTAAAAGAATTCTTAAGATTCGAAGATATTATCGTTACATATAGTTCTTCTAATACTTTTAAGAGTATAAAAATAATCGAGGTCTATAACAAACTTCTAGAAGCGGTGCTTCGCAAGGATTCTCTTCACATCAAATTAGAATAAAATCAACGTCTGTTAAAGACTAGAGATTCGGTCAATATACGAGTTATTAAGCGTGGGACTTGGGAATCTCTTCTATTAGTATTCTTTTCGAATTGCTATTAAAAGCTTCTACTAGTATATCTATCTTATATATACTTCTTAAATATAATATTTCTACTTAAGTAGCTGAGCTAGAAGATTCTACTAGCCATACTCACATTATATATTAATATCTTATTTATCGAGTAGATCTTCATAATATAGTTAGATAGCGTTCGAATTAATAGAAGAAGGATATAGCTTTCCGATATAATAAGGAAATCAAGTAAATTATATATCATATTGGCGATCTAGTTATATTATATTAGAAAGATATAGAAAAACTAAAAGCTCGCTAAAGAGATTCATTTCGAATAAGTAGATATAGTGGATTATATAAACGATTCTTTACACTTATATAACTAAATAATAACCGAAAAATCAGATATATATTTCACGGCGATTATCTCAAGAACTTCGTTACTCGTATAGGCTATCCTAAATCCCCCTACCCTCTTATTACCACAATAATAAACTATTAAACGTCCCCGCTAGAAGCTTTCCCGAAGGTTTATACTTTCCCGAGAAGTTTATGCTTTCTTAGAGATATATGCACTTGCGGAAGGCTTTAGCGTTCTTACTTTCTACAGCATTACATAAAAATGATTATAAAAACAGTAATGATTTTGTTCTTACTTTAGATGCTATACTATGCTATGGCTTTATTTCTTTTATCTACATTTATATATAGCTTTATAGTTTTTTTTTTTTTTTTTTTTTTTTTTTTTTTTTTTTTTTTTTTTTTTTTTTTTTTTTCTCCTTTATATATAATTTTTTTTTTTTTCTCCCCAAATTTTTTTTTTTTTTGGGGGGGGGAAGAAGAGGAGAAGGGGGGTTTTTGTAAAAAAAGGGGGTGTATATGTTGTGGCCCTTATATTATCACGGTGAAGTTTTCAATCCACTTTTCTTTCTCTTGCAGCAACTCGGTCACGCGGAAGTTGGCTTACGGGGGATCTACTAGGAGACTTGCTGCTGTCACGTGTTCGACTTGGGAAATCTTAATGACTTATAAAGTGCTTCTCGGCGAGAAGTGGTAAGAGCGTACTTGAGGTATATTAATATTATTAGGTCGCTGGAGTTCGAGCCTGGACTCGATCTCTGTGAGGAATCGTGGATGGAGTACATCGACTGCGACTGCATGACTGATGCGAGCGACCCTTCGTGTCCGACGCCGTTCTCGCCCTACGAATAGATCGAAGAACTCTTTCTGCAGGTAACGAGTTTACAGACAGAAGCTGACCGATGTCGTCTAGTATCGTCATCTCGAATCCCCAATCCTGTGTCTTCGAAAGAGGCACATTTGCGACGCTTTACGAATCTTGTCGAGATTTGAAGAAACATTATAAGAGGAGGTCGGCATACAATATGCTAGATATAGTCGTATAAAAACTTGCTGCGTAGCAATCTCCTCGATTGCCTCGAAAGTCACTGGGAGACTTTTAACGAGAATAACCATTCGAGTTCAGACACACGCCGCGTCCGATTAGTGCGGGTCAAGCCACTCTACACTTTTCGTACCGCTTGACGATCGGGGAAACAGCGCTGACCTATTATCCGAGTCAAGTCATTCATGGCTTACTAGATCTGGAGCTTGTGAGTAGGGACTTTCGAAATTCTATTTGAGCAAAAGAGCGTGTGTGATAGGCTAAAGATTAGAAGAACATAGGATAAATGACCTTACAATCACCTTCAACGGCTGCTCCTTCATAACCGCCGCTTTGCTATTGCTTCTTCGGCGCTCATGTGGTTGTAGGCTGAACGGCGCTGGGCGAGGAAGTTCACGGAGCGTCCGGTGTAGTCGGTGCGGAAATCGCCGGGCTCGACGCATGTGAAGTGGATGTTTCATTCTGGTTTGACTTTGCAGAAGAGGGCTTCGATAAAGCCTTCGGCGGCCCATTTGGAGGTGCAGTAGATGTTGAACATTGGCAGTCTGTACGAGTATAGATGTTAGTAGGGTTTGAGTTCCGGGGGATTAATGAGGGAGCCTTACCCTCTTTTGCCTCCGGTAGAGATGACTTGTTAGACCCACCCCCCGCTGGGCTTCTAATCCCTCACAGCCATCCTAGTAACGTTGATCAAGCCGAAGAATTGACTTCCTTTTGTGTCCCGATCTGGCTATCTGATAGCTCTTCAAAATGTCTACTGTACCCTGCATTGTTGACCAAATCGACGCGGCCGAACTTATCGAATACGGTTGCAAAGGCTGATTGGATGTCGCTGAGCTCTGTGATGGCGAGCTTGACGGCGGAGTAGTTCTTTGGAGTAGTGTGTTCGAAGGAGGGGATCCCTGGTTTGTGCGCTGTGGCGACTGCACTGTCGCCGGTGCCAACTTCTTGCACAAAATGTTATGAAGAAGACGCGTATGTCCTTATTTACCGCCCCTCCTAGTGTAACTTGACCGCAAAACGTCGAACAAAATTGTTTATATGCCCAGAACTCATGTCACCAAAGTTTCATGTGGGTCCTAGGCTTATGTTGGGTTAATGCGGTCTTCGTAGAGGGGCTTTCTTAAGCGAAAGCTCCCGGGACTATATAAATAGTACTTTATGACGAGCTAATCTTTACGCGCAGGCATTCATGGCAATCCCTAGGCCGGTTGAATGGTATTGACCCAAGCGAAATAGCTCAAGCATATGTTAATGATCTCTGAAGTCAATGCTGCTATCTGGCTTAAGTACTGATATTAAAAGTGAAAATAGTACCAGGCGGTTGTGGTGACCTCGTTCGGCCAAAAGTTTCGCCGAGGGCAGTGAATTCTTGTAGGGCTGAGAGAGTTCCCTGGGAGGTTCTTGTTTGACAGCCACGATCTCGAACCGTGCGCCCTTTTCAGACCACCATTGTCTGGGTAGTATACCCTCATCATGGCGCAGGGTATCGATACTGCATCTGAGGATGCGAACTTCAAGGTGGCATCAAACCCGGCGAATGCTAAAAACCAGCCTCCACCAGAAAGTCCCGAGAGCATAAAGACCCGGGGCCTTGTCATCCTATCCTTCTGGGCTGTAGTTGTTTTGCTTGGCTTACCAGTATGGCTATGGACTACCTCCATATACCGGGCGAGTTTGCCGCTCCAAGACATGTTAGACTGGGCTGATGGGAAGGTACTCGTCCCATTCTGGATGGTGTACATTATTCGCTGAACATATTGCAGGCCTGCAAACCCACATTCCCTCTTCAGATCACCATCGAAGCACCACTTCTTCAAGAACCTGAAGCAGCACATCTCGTTCGTATGACCCAACATGCACTCGACGACCTCAATGAGTTCTCCGCCCACCATCTGCGTTTGCGATTGGCAAAGTCCTTCCTCCCTCGAGATCCTCAAAACGCGTCAATGGCGGTAATACAAGATGGATATGCCGCTGGGTCTCACACACAATATGGCCGCACGGACGTGCTGGATGAGGAAGCTTTGACGGTCAGAATCCTGCCAAAGACCGGTGCTCAAGCAGCTTCAGCAGAACTGCGGTCTCATTCAACCAGGCTCGACGTGTTCTATGCCTCTAATCAGACGCCCTCGGTCTCCTCGAGCTCTTCAAACTTGGCTACTTTCATCGCCACCAAGCTGCAGGAGCTGTTCGCCGAGGAGCAAGCTATCATCGCCAATATCCTCCAGTCCGCCCAAACAAAGAGTCAAGCACCTCAGATGTCCTCATCTGCGTCTTCTGCGACGAGAGAGCTCAGATCAAGGTCCCATAGATCTGTCAATCCAGAACTTGTGGCGAAACTGGATAGCCGTATGGCTCGATCTCTCAAATACGCGCCAACATATCACATAACCGTGTCCCTCTTCACGCCTTCTGCTGCACCATCGTCATGGGAGATCGAGTCGGCCCTTGCGGAGTACTTCACCCCGCTGCTTGATTCCATATCTGGTGTGAGTAATTTCACCGTTGATACTCAGGTGCAATTGTATGCGACATTCTCTCCATCGGTCCATTCACCAGAATACGACACAGAGCAACAGATATGGACCCTGCGAGAAGAAGATCTGAGTGGGTTCATTAACGCGGCTGAATGGCCTTTGAGCCCAAGCATAGGGGCTGGACCAACGCTCAACTTTGTACTCTACGTGCCTAATCCCTCGACATCACCACTGGTGGTCAAGGGAAGCCAAGCTTCGGGCTGGCTGATCCCTCAATGGGGTGGTGTGGTGATCTTGAACCCTCAAGATGCCAATGCTACCTCCAATGAAGCGACTCTGTCCAAGGAATCGATCCGGCCAGCGCTCCTGACCTTCTCCCATCAGCTACTATCATTCTTGGGAGCTCCTCAAACTCCTCCATCCCTACCGCTACAGCTACAAACTCTCACTCGCATACGTGCCGCATCGCTTCTTCTGTCTGCATCATCAACTATGGGGTCGTTAGCTAATCTTACCGTGGCCTTGCCTTCAATTGCCATTCCGGAGACGGTATCATCGGCAGTTGACACTACGATGATGCATCTACGGACCACGTGTGATGCTTTGAAGGAAGGTAGATTCAGGGATGCCTTGAAAAATGCTCGGATCGCTGAGGTTCAAGCTGAGAAGGGGTTCTTCGAAAAGAGTATGGTTGGCCAAGTCTACTTCCCAGACGAGCATAAGGTCGCTGTCTATCTGCCATTACTGGGGCCTGTAGGTGTGCCATTAGTCATGAGCGCTTTAAAGGAGTTGAGAAGACTATGGGCCTCAAGAAAAGCAGGGCAGCAGGGCTGAATACGCTGAAGTCTGGCAGACTCTGGAATATGGGTCAATTGCATATCTTGCAGAAGCCAGGCCCACTAGCCACTCAAAACAACAGGTTCCGAGGAACAGCACCTCTACTTTGGCACAAGATGTGTGGTTGTTGACCGCTCAGCATGCCGGACTATGGAGGGCAAGAGTGCTTCATCGGCCCAGAGAGACTGGTCGTTGAACTTCGAGAAGTTCGAATGGCAAGCCTAGAAATCATTGACTTGCTCCGTAAGCGATTGTTGACCGTTCAGAACGACAATGCCCGGTAATTATATATCATCAAAATACGCGTGGTCGTTGATCGCTTTAGAAATTTGGACCGTGGAGGACACATCTGTTACATCCTCACAAGGCGACTAGTTTTTGACCAACCAGAGGGTTACATTGTGAGGATTGAACCACTTCGCATCTGCTCGGTTCCCAATCTTCTATGAACAATGAGTGGTGGAGGTTCGACGTCAGAGCCAGCTACTTCGAAAGACATTTTGAGGCGTTGCGGCTTTGAACACTCGGGATTGTCCACGAATGCAACGTTTTCATAAAAAAAATTCAACATAGCCCTCCGAGTTGCATCTGAAGGGCCTCAGGCATTTCGCTTGCTCCGGTTCCCAGCGATACTGATCACCAAAACTGCGATATAAGCCTCTGAAATCGCTTGCAAGCGACCATGAACTCTTCTCGTCTTCTACGCGCTGCTCGCTATCTTCGCCAGGTCTGGCCTTCTCAATGAACATTGTCGTTGTGACCGCCGTATATATGCACCTCTGAGACCTGCCAACCCCTTTAATTGCAAATACGATCCTATCTCGAGGTTCGTGGTTAAAATGATTATTCTCATCTCTTCCTGCACTGTTGAATAAAGGTTAGTTCAATGCACGTACTGCCGTGCCGCTCCTTTTTGCGCGGGGGGCCTGGGCGATCCCTGCCTTGATGGATAGGAAGCAAGAGCCGTTCATTAATGGCGCTTGCTGTTTTTTGGGACAGAAAACTGCAGAGCTGTCAGTAAAAGGGGACCGATGTTACGCGGCAACCAAAAAGGTAAGGTTGGCCTACGGGGACGTACTCCAGGAATATATTAGAGGAAAAGAGGAATACGCAGATATCCGCACTCTCTGTTACCTTTTAGTGTGATACCCATGCCATTGTGATGCAAATATCCGTCATTTCCCTGCTAAAAAGGCACCTAAGCGAAATTGCTTGCTTATTGTGCATGGAGCCACGGCGATCCTGCCCGGCTGCGTACCATGAAACAACGTTGATTCGGTTTCCTGCGTCGATGTACGGATTGCGTCTGCAGCCTTGACAATCGAGACGAGATGTCAACTAAGCGTTTGCCAGAAAAAAGAATACCTACAATTTTGAGCACAGAAGCTTTCAGTGCGCGGGCGACACTACCATTTCGAGCCTAATCTTTCAATGTTTCAAACAAAGTTGAGCGCCTGGATCTTGTAAGCTAGCCGGCGTGGGAAGTTTGACGCCTTGGCTTGCAGAATTTTTGGCTTCGATCAAATTCTCGGTAACCAAGGCTTGGGCGTCGGTTGAATGCAGCAGGACAATCCCCTCGACACAACCAGGCTCACAAGAATCCTCATAGATCGGGCGCCGTGCATTTGCATGAAGTCTATTGGCACGTGGTTCTCCAATTCTCCATTGTGGGCAGATCTGTGGGGGGGCGTTAGAGCGGGAGGCTCGGTGCTTGATGATTTGGGGCGGAGTTGGCAGCATGATAAGGTACGCTTTCCCCCAGATTTTTCATATGCGTGCCAGTCGGAAGATTGTTTGAAAAGCTTATGACGACGCTGTTGAGCCTTAACGCGATGACTATCTCCCGTCGCCACGTCGCAAATAGCACGACGGGTGTCATGACAAGCAGACTTTGAGACAAGGGGAGTTTGTTGGAGCGCTTCTCCGAAAAATAAGAAGAATTCTCAAACATCATGTCGTTGCCCTCCATCATTTCTACTTTAGAAGGTCCCGGCCCGTAAAACGGAATAAAACGTGGGCAGCGAGCCAATCATATTGGCGCAATGATGCCAGGGGTCGAAATATGCTGTTCATTCATCTCAGGAACAAGCAAGTTCAAAGGCCCATGCACAAATCAGATCAATCCGGCCCTGGAGACAAGATCGCATATCGCATTGATGCAAGTTATCTCGACTCGAAATAATTCGCTCTTACATAATTGCATGGATAATAGAGCTCCGACTCTGGCCGTCATACATATATTCTACCGTAACTTTACATTAATTACCATGAGATTATTCACAGAGATTGTCATAGAATCATCAATCATCACCAACAATAAAGTATCATCGCCGCCACACCGCTCCGTAATTTCTCCCTTCTGAGTTCTGACTCTTCTAATAAAGTCATACTTTGACATCTCAGCGCCACAGGCTTCGTAACTTTCAACTTGTGATCTCAGCAATCGAGGCTAGACGTGTTTGAAGCGTCTCATTTTCCAATTCCAATCCAAAGTTTCCAGCCCAATCTCCACCAAGCCGAGCTCCCACCGAACTTTGACGGCTGGGGGATCTTTGGCGTCGAGATCCAGGTACAGGGATCTGTCTGCAATTCTGACTTCAGCTCCCCAATCCTTCTGTGCTCCTACTTTACATCATCCGCCATAATCAGACGAGAGTAGATTGACTGAAACTTCACCCCGTCAAAACTTCTCGCTCATGCCATTTCTTCCTCACTGATACCCCTCCCCCCTTCCTCTCACCAACCCCCACATTCTCAACCACTTTCGCCGCCCACCATGTCAGGAAGGAGTGCCTACGTGCGCAAGCAAAACTTCGAACAAGCAGATAAACGAGCATTCAAGGAATACTCTGAATATGGACATGATGATCCTTTCTTCTATGGCTATCCTGGCGGACCAATGTCCGCGTCCAGGCCAAACTTCTCCGCAACTCCCTCATACCAGTCTTCGCACCACTCCAATTCGCGCCGCCGATCAGCATCTTCTACAAGCAGCACGTATGGATACCCTCTTCCTCATATGCCTTCACACATGCGGAAGCCTCGCCCAATAATCGTTGCTTCAGCAATTGAAAAGAGTGACTTTCGAACACACCTCGATGGCATGAGCTCGAGTCTGCGCGGCAAGCTTGGGGGGTTGATCAAAGGGAAGAAGGACAATGCAGAGAAGCCAAAGCCGCGGCCATTTACATCTACCATGAACTCGGATATCCCAAATCGGAGCGAGAATTACACACCTTCTGTGGATGCTGTACCGTCTCTGACATCGAGCACTTCTCCCTCAGAGGGTCAGGCGACTCTCTCTTCAAGTGGCCACCATACTCCCTCATCACGTCAGAGACAGCAGCAAGAGTCCGTCATACATAAGATTAGGAGATTTGAAGGTGGTGGAAAGCTGCCTCAGCTGGGCTGGAAGTCTCTCTCGAATGTAAGCATTTGCCAAAGCGCATTGGTGAACCTTACGCTGACAGGAATCAGAATCCTGAATTGTGGGACGAGAAAGGGGACACATTCGTTTACATGTATATGCAAGCTTCACGGACGAAGCCACCTCCTTCCTTCCGCATCAATTCTCGAATCATCAAGCAATCCGGGTCCAAGGCGTTCATAGACCGGCTGTACAACGTCACGGAGCCTGAAGGCTGGCCTCAATTTTATCCTAATGACGAACACGCTCTGAGAGAGGAGTCGCCAGAAGATGCCGACATGTACAATGCGTATGGATCTCACGGTGAAGACGGCGACATTGATGCCATACGTCCTGTTGACGATTCGAAGCCTCACGTCCAAAGGGCGCCAAGTGGCATCCAGCATGAGATTTACATACCGTGGCCGGGAGCAGAGACTGGAATACACTCGACAATATGGCACATCACCACCCGAAACTTCTTCGCCGTCATGTACGATGCTAGCGCCTTGGTCGGCACGACACTACATGAGGCAATGACCAAGCTGTCTGAACGTATCGTTATGTATCCAGACTATTTGGATAAAAGTATCAACAAGGTAGACTGGATTACAGACTACATTGTCCGTCACAAGTTTGATGATGTTCGAAACAACCCATCCTATGCAGCCTCATTGCTGGCCTTTAGCGAGGCGCCTGGCGTGCAGTGGAGAGAAGGCTACATCGAAGCCTTTGTGCACTGTGTAGGCATGCTGGACATGGGCCTTCAGACGATTCCGGAATGGCGTCACGTTACACCTCATACTAAGATGTTCCTGCAGAACGCGAGCATGGAGATTGAAGAGCGAATCACCCGGGCTCAAGGGTGGCTGCTGTCTTTCGACTTCGGCGAGATGTGGCCTCACACTGCTCTTCCGGCTTCCGTTACTCGCGGCTGCTTTGACCGACTGAGGAAATGGCTTTGCAAATACTACGAGAATGCCTTCCTGCATTGGCCACCGACTAATGACCAGATTTGGCTGACCCGCGACACGGTCATGCGTCTCAAGAATGATTTCGAGGGCTTGTACGATTACCTGGTCGACCGTGACGTGATGTTCGATGGCACAGAGTATCGCCCAGGACAGAAGTGGGCTATCACCAGCCGATCTGGCCAGAACTTCCGTGCGGATACTTTCGAGCTTCCTTTCACCGATATCCTTCTTGGCTTCGACAAACGCAACGACTTCCCCCATATCCCTCATCCTTATCCCATCACGCCCACCTCGGTCCCCACCCAATCCAAGTCTAAATCCACATGGATTGTCAAGAAGCCAATCTCGCCCGCAGACCTACTGGCTCAATCCCGCCGCAAAGCACTGTCCTACGCAGAAGCTAGCAATGTCTACACTCTCCGTGACCAATATATGCACACCGACCTCGTCACGAATTTCATACGTTTCGAGCAGAGCGATCAGGTGGAGACTCTTGACCCGTTCGAGGCACGCCGCGGCCGTTGGATCCTTATATATGGTGTTCTACAGGTCCTTGCTACCATCTCTGTCGACAGTCCAAATCTCCGTTTCAAAGAAGGCGCGCAATACCACCTCTGCCCACAAATGAAAGGCGTAGTACCCTGGGCCGAGCGAGGCTCCCCGCCCGAAGCAGAAGCCGAGCACAAGCGTAGTCATTGCTGGGTCATACCCGAAACGTGGGGTCCCGTTCTTCCCAAAGCTCGTCCCAACGCGCACAAACCCATCCTATGGGGCCAATACGGCGATGGTAGAACTCGAGGAGCAAGCTCGGAGTCTGATCCTACCCTGGACCCTCCCGGCCCCAAACCACACGATGCTAGCCTCGGGAGGAAAAGAGCTGAGGAGTGGGTTGCGACTAGTGGTGGCCCAGAGGTGGGAATGGGGGATATTGGCAGTGAGATGAATGCGAATAACATGGATGAAGTTAGAAGTACAGTGAAAAGTGAGGGAAGTGGAGAGCATAGTACTGAGAGTGCTGCAGAAGCTGCCAGGAGAAGGAGGGCGATGGTGCATGGGTTCACGGATTTTCAGCCACCTAGTGAGTGGTGAGCTGGATTATGGGTCATGGGTTAATGGGGTAATGGAATACCATGGGGGGCATATGTTCCTCTTTCTGTTGATACCAGTTATAGGGTCTTTGAGCAGGGCGCCCAACGGGTAACGATTACTGGCGTCTCTTATCTTACCCCGCCAGAGAGCATGGTCAATGATAAGACAGGCATGAGTATATGGTATATTTGTGTACGGGCTGTATACAGATCAGTATCATTCATCAAGAAGAACCCGTCTTCCCATGAGTCCCATGCTGGCAAACCTTGGTGACGTGGTCACTTCGACATATTCCTATCCGCGAAAAAGTGCAAAAGAGCCATTCCATCCGACAATCGTAGTCGCAATTCTCATTCCACTCCTCAAACTGTCTACGCACGTTTCATATGGCTCATGCTGCGTTCTCCCACTGCTCAAGTCTCAAACCGGTCTCATGTTCGAACACGAGCCGGGTGTCGTGAGCAGTGGAACCGTTTCAAAGATCCCCCTGCCGAGGAAGACCGATGGATGGCGAAGGAGGTCCGGTGGCTTCGAATGAGCGTGCAATGGTCTTTCTTTCAGCAGGCCAATGTTAACGGAGCTGGAACGGGCGCTTCAGACCATGAGGACTGGTGCCGGTTCTTGGGCCGCGGAATGTGTTGCTGCCTTCCCAGCGAGCGGACAGGAAGGAGTTTGCGAGGTCGGTTTTGCATGGGTTGGTTGAGTGGTGGGGAAGGGAGGGTGAGGTGGTCGGTGCTCTTCTGCGAATGGTCTGTGTGTTCTTTTAGAGATTGTATTTGGCTTTCAGAGGCGAGGGTCGTCTACTGTACTGAGTGAAGTGCGACGGTGTTCGGGATACATGTGAGGAATGGCAATTTATAGCGTGAAAGAATCTTTGTACAAAGACCGGCGCACTCCCTAGTATACACTGTCGACAGGCCTTTGCTTCCGTCTACCCACATCCCCCAGCCGACCAAGAGGGTTACTCCTTCTGTTCTCTGTCTTTTTCTCCCTGCTCGTATCGTGCCAATTCGACTCCACCACATCCCAATCGATCGCGTTCCACCACCCCTCCAAAAACCGCTTCTTCCCTCCGACACCATAATTCATCAACCAAACATGCTCCCACGTATTCACCCCCAACAGGACATCGATATCCGCTCCACCGTACGCGATTTTGCTTTCCTTCCCGGGAAAGAGCGAAGCGCTTCCGAACGAGCCAGCGGCCATCATGGTATTCTGATCCTGTTCCTGCCTCCTGTAATGCGCCCCTGGCAGAGGCGAACCGGCGAGATAGGTCGTTAGGATTGAGAGTTCGTTTTCCATCAGGTAAGCGTTTCTGTATTTGTGTCGGACGAGCCAAACGAAGCCGGGTCCGAACATGGCGTTGGCGGTCGCGATGAAGGTATTCTGGAGCGATTCGGGGGAGGAGAAGGAGTCGCTGATTTTGGATGTGAGGAAGGCGGACATTTTTGGAGGGTTGGGGGAGAGGGTGGAGAAAAATTGGTGGTTGGCCCAAGCCATGCTGGCGTGGTTGAAGAGGGAGGCGGCGTGGGGTTGGCGGGCGTGGGCGAGGACGAGATCCTTTGGTGGGGGTGTTCTCCAATGGAGTGTCTGAGTGATAAGGTTAGCAGGTGTTGGTGATCGAGGTCCCAGTAGAGCAGATCCAGGCAGGGGAGGATGTACCGGCTGTTAGCCTGTTAAGGCGGTCGACGAGGTGGCCTTGATATTGATGCCAGGCCAAGTCGAATGCATCACTCGATAGCATGCCAGGTACGCCATCGGTTTTGAAAGCTTCGCCATGGACAAGCAGGGGCACATTATGGATACGCCGTCGTTGCGTTTTGGGGTTGTAGAGGCATTGGGTCTGGGATTGGGTCAGAATTGTGGTCGCGCTGTACAGGTTATCGAAAGCTTACTTGGATGAGAGGCCGGCATATTCGCAGAGCAGTCTGCTGCCGCGAAAGAGGTGACAATATCATGAGGAATCGAGTGGTGATGTTGCAGAGAGAGCTAAATTTACTCTACTTCTCTCACGATTCGAATTCCAATAGTTTGACGCTATCCTTTTCCAACTAGCGCCGTTTTACCGCCACCAGTCAATTGGTTTCCCCAGTCGGAAACCTCTCATCTTTCACACAGAGCCGCCGACGCACATTGTCAGTTGTTTCATGTGACCACTGCCAACTCGTCGAACTCCCTCTTGATACGAGCTTTGACTCATACTCCTGATGCAGTAGCTCTACCTTACCCCGTGCTCTGGTCCGGGTACCTCGGCGCGTGGGCTCAAGTCTATTCCTGCTTCGCTCGAGCATAGTAAAGCTCATTGCTTGGCACATAAGTGATGCCCCAATCGCTGCTACCCTCGTTTCCCCATCGAATGTTCACCTTCTTGTTCCTTCTCTAGTTCGCCTTCATGTTCAAAGTTTATGGTTTGGTCTTTGTACGGCATGTGCTAAATAGGACTTCCATTCTTCTCCCTCTATCTCGCCCTTTGATCTGCCTCCGCCCTTCTTTGTGCTGCTGTTCTCTTTCATCCATCTATATTCCTAATAGTACCGGCATACTGGACTTGCCACTGACTACTCAACTTTCTTCATATCCTACTCACTACACAGAATCACCATGGGACGAATGACCTTTCTCGAACTGGCGGCAGTATGCCTCCTTTCTACCACCGTCCCCTCAGCAACAGCACTCTCAGCAGCGGAACAAGCAGCACAAGTTCTGGGGCTCCTACCAAGAGCCAGTACATGTTCCCTCTCTGGCTTCGCACCATGCAACCAGGATGGACTACCTGACAATTTCTGCTGCCCGACAACAAGCACCTGCGTCCCCTTCAACAACAAGAAGTCTGCGATCTGCTGTCCAACAGGCCAGACCTGTTCCGTCATAACAGCTATCAGCTGCGATATCACCCAACAGAATGCAACTCTACATCCTGAGAGCCAGCTGTTTAGCACGGATTTGAGCGGTCCTTTGGCATCTTGCAACGGAAATAGGTGTTGCCCCAACGGCTACAGCTGCCAAAGCGACCAGTGTATTCTCACCACATCCTCAATCACAGCATCGACCTCTTCGACCACAGCTACTTCCTCCTCTTCAATCTCTTCCCCCAAAACCACCAGCTCGAGCTCATCCGCATCCGCATCGGCCACAACGTCACCAACTTCCACGTCCGCTACCGCCACTTCGATAGCCTCCAATCTTTCAACCGCCCACAGCTCAATACCACAGGCACATTGCCCTCAATTTACCCCTGCAGGTACCCTGGTGGGATTCTTCTCAGGCTTAGCCATTGGCATCCTTCTGACCGTCGCCTTCCTCTGTTGCTTCGGCCATCGACGCCATAAAGAACCCTCCTCCCCTACCTCGCCCGATTTCTCCCATGTCCGAGCTTCGATATCCGACCCTATCTATAAGTCTGAGGGTATGGACGCTGTACGTGCCGATTTTCTACGAAAAGAATCCAAACCCCGCAAATCTTTGCGCTCCATGTTCTCAAGGTCATCTACGGTGAGATCTCGCAGCGCGCCCGTCGATGGCATTGGCAGGAGCATAGTAAACGTACCGCGGACACCGGTCAATCAGCGGTCACCATCACCGCGGATGAGACACGAGCCGAGTATGGAGAGCATCAAGATATACAGCCCGCCAGGAGGAGGACTCGGAAGGCCGGGGACACAGTTGGCTGATATGCTAGATGAAGTCGGATGGGATCCTACAAAGCCCTACATTGGAAGTCCAGGCCGGGTGGATCCCAGGAGCAGAGGGTTAGGTGGTTGATGAATTTAGCCTTTGGCATGCATTTGCTTTGAATATAGCGCTTTTTCCCCCTTGCATCTCAGTAGCATTGAGCGTTTTCTTGCATTGAATGAATACAATTTGCACATGTCTTGCGTATTATTATTGCATCTCAACACTCGTGCGGTCCTTCGTCATTCTGTCTAAAGTGATGCTTGCCTACTCGTCGAGTTTGAATCCCAACTCGTACAAGCGCTTATAACCGTTTCACGGCGTTTGTGTCATCGATTTCTTCAATGCCACGGTTGAAGAATCGTCCCCACACCACTCGGCCGCAGACAGGGACGCGCCGTCGGGTAGACGAGACGGTACAATCAACCTTCGAACGTGCGCACTTGGTCGAGCAAATCCACTCTCACCGTTTATGCGCTTCGAAGCGATCTCCTTAGGTTGTGCCCGCACTCCCGCTGTGTTATGTACCCTGATCTCCAGTCTCTATTGTTGAAGGTCTTGGCTTCTTCTCATGCTCGGATTCTACAGATATAGATCTTGACCCATACCGACAATGAAACTTCTCCAAATCCGCCATCTCCTCGCTCTCTTCCTTCCCATCGCCTCCACCTACAAGATTGAAAGTTGCGACAACAGCCAGCCAGCCGTCGAATATGCAATCACCCTCGCCCAAACAACCATGATCCGTCCTCTTCTCGACCTCCAGCGCGGTATCTCCAGTGAACATGGCTACACCGCTATGTACAAATCTAACGTCTTCAAATCCTTTCTCCAGAAACTCATGACTAACATCCTGCACCTACCCGTCACTCAAGCTGCAGGACGGGATCAAGAGCCCGTTTTTATCTGTGCGAAGGCGGGTATGGGGCAGAAGTACGGTATCGGATACGACCCCCTCGATCGTTGTGGTCAGACTGGAGTAACGAGTTTCTGGGCAGAGGATACGGTTCTCGTGTTCCTCTGTCCGAGCTTTCCGAACATGAGATTCCAGCCGTCCTTTACGCCTGGTGGGCCGCGTGATATATATTGTCCAGTGGTGCAGAATAATGTCTTTCTGGGCCGGTCAGATCCCTTGGTCAAGTACCAGAATTATGATTTGGTGCATCAGCTGGCGCATCTGTACCTGCAGGATGGGGGCTTGACGGGCCAGACGGAACCGAAGGAGGTGATGGATTGGAACAGCTGCGTCGGTCTGGGTTGGACGCCGGTCGAGGGCGGCCTGTCGGTGAAGAATCCGTTCAATTCGGTTTACTATGCTGCTTGTAAGTGTTCGTCTGGAAGAGATGAGAAGGCGTCGGGGTGCTGATTGGAGGCAGTCGTCAATCAAGAATGCACACAGATGCCCGACCCGTTCATTTCTCCGTTCTCGGGGCAGAATGATCAAACGGGGCTGCTTTCTGGTGGAAACATGACCAATGCTTTGAATACAAATGGGACGGATTTGCGGTTGCAATCATAGTTTAGTAGGATCGAAAGATCTCCTGGGATTGCACCGCTTGTAAGATAATCTAGCAAAATCCATGCGCAAAGGGGATTTCAGATCTAAAACCTGACGGGAGACATCTCCCTCTTCTCCATTTGCGCACATTTTGATGGGTATCGACCAGAACAGATCCGCGCTTTTTGTCATATGTAGAGGCAATTTCTCCAAGTCCCCAGGGAAGCGCTGCCAGGAAAGGATAACGATTGAAAAGGAACGACCTTGAATAGTAGTCGTTTTAGATAAAGATAGAAAAATTTCTAATGCCAGGTATTCGCAACGATCATGAATACGCCAAATGCACTTATTCTAAGGTACTTTAGGGATGTTCCGCGCTGTGCGTGCTCGCTAAAGCTCGCTAAAACACAAGATTTGGTAGTGCGTCGCCAAGGAGTGGGGTATATCAAAGGCTAGCGTGGCATCAGTTTTTCATAAGGGGAAGTTGCGGACGGTGAATATGTGTCCTTTGGTTGGAATTAGACCTCGACTAAAGAACTAACTCTCGTTTATCGCCGTAGGCTCCACTCTTCCCGACTTCCACCGGCACATCCTTTGCCTTTGCCTTTGCCTCTGCCTTTGCCATCCACCGGCCTTCCGTCCCTTTCCCGACTTATCCACCGCGCACCTCCTTCCCCTTGCCCTTCCCTTACCCACTTCCTTCCCCCTTCCCCTTCCACTTTGGACTTTCACCTAGCCTCCTCGGCAGCCTCCTCAGCAGCCTTCTTCCGAGCTGCGTCCTTTGCCGCCTTCTTCCCAACCTTCGCCGTACGCTGGGTCTGACCAGCCACATTGACAGGGACCGCGCCCGCCTCGGTGACAAGGGCGGATCGTTGCTTTGGATCCTGTAGGTCGTGGCTGTTTAAAAAAAAAAATTTTTTTTTATTTTTATAATTTTTAAACGGCGGCTTCGGCGGCGTCTCCAGACAGGTTTGGGCGAGTGGTCCTCCGAGAAGCGGTGCGGTACACCCTGGGGGCTGTGTCTTGGAACTCCTCGTTGTACCGGGCCTTCTTGACCTTTCTGTACTGAGTGTTGAGGAAGTCAAGACTCTCCGCCTTCTGCCTCTTCAACTCAACGGCAAGTCTGGCCTCGGTCCAGGTAGCACGCTGCGCTTGGCCAATTGGGCTGGTGTCTAGACTAGTATAGTCGTTGTATACTAATTTGCGTTCCTCGAAGTCTCTCGCCATGGCGCTGACGGCGGCTTGATCCTTCTTCTGTTTGGCCTTGACCGTACTTAGAAGAGCGGCCAATTGACAGACAACAACGACGCAGCTTCTACCGCGCGTAAGTGCACAGCAAAGTCGGTTGCCGCTCTTGACGTGGGCGGTAACCCTCCCGGAGCGTCTGAACCCCTCGGAGCCATCGTCGTCTTCGCTCTCCTCGGCCTTGACCGCGTCTGATGTCTTCTCCGGCCGTTGGTGAGCGACGACGAGATCGACGAAAACGAACTCGTTCTCCTCGCCTTGAAAGGAATCGACGGAGGAGATTTGATTTCCTGCGCTGAGGTCCCAGTTCCTTCCGTTCGCCTCCGCCGTCGCTTGGATCTTGTGGCTTACCAGGGAGAGCTGCCCTGTGTAGTACACCAGCACCGTTATCTTAGACGCGGGCACCCCCATGGCCAAAGTTTGATCCACGAGAGTGCCTATCCTATCGGCGTTGGCATAATTTTGCAACGAGGTGCTGTTGACCTGCACCCGCGAGATCCCGTTGGCGACGTTGATCATCCAGTATTCGGAACCGTCCCCGTTTGGTCCATCGATTCTATAGTATTTTTTTCTATACCTCATGCGCGACCTGGCGAAGCCCGAATTGTTGATGAGGACTGACTTCTGATTCTTCAACAATCCCTTGTAAAAGAATTCCGATACCCATTTGGAGATTGCGGGAGCCATCCGATACTGGAACACCAGTCGGAGGATCGGATATTTTTTCTCTTCAAGGAGAGCGAGGACCGAGAGCGTAGCGTTCTCCCTAAACTCGTTTGCTCTGCCGGACTGAAAGAAAGGCAAGAGCTGAGCAGGGTCTCCAAATATGATGGCTGCTAGCCATCGGTGGAAGCTCGTCAAGACGTTCGCGAGCGCAGCCATGGTGAGCTGCCCTGATTCATCGATTTCGATGAGAGTTGGGTTGAATCCAAGCACCATCAACTCGGAACCGGCGTTGTTGCAGGTCGTGAAGAGGGCCTGGGTGTCTGCAAAGACTCGAAGGACGACTCGAACTCGCAGAGTTTCGAAATGCTCCTTCGCCTTTCTTGACACGTCGCCATTGGCCAAGACATACGCGTCAAGGGGATTCCGGTACTCGAGAGACTTGTCGCGCTGGTCGATGCTTGGGATCCTCTGATCATCCAGACGTGCCGTGATCTCCGCTTCATCAAGCGCGTCTTCACCCAGCGCTGCAAGCTCTGCGTCGGTGTGGTAGTCACCTGTCTGACGCTTGTGTAGGATTGCGGCAGCGTCAAGCTTGTCGGCTCTATATGCCGCGAGCTCTGCGTGGTAGTCCGCGTCTGCCCGATACTGGTCCTCGAGTGGTCAACTCGAAGCAACGATTGGGAAGCGTCATTGGAGCCGGAACGTTGGATTTCTTCCGGCTCATCCATTTCCCGCTTCTCTCTGAAGTGCTTGCGAAAAGATCGTCACAAACCCGGATCAGGGCAAAGAGTTGCTTGTTATGCTCACCCTGTAATGCGGCGGCTTCGGCCATTGTCTGCGCTATCAGGTCGTCATCATCTAGCATAGTTGACGCCTTGTAAGTTGGACGAGCATTTGGATCCTGCACGATCAGGGTTTCTGATATCCGCTCGAGTTACGTATGCCTGCAGCTCGGCTGATGCCGTCTCGTACCGAAGGAATTTATACCTGTGACGGTGTTCTATTGGGAATTTCTCCCAGCAAGAGTTGGCGGCCTTGTCGACGGCGTTGTTACTTACCGCGCACACCAGGACAGTATGACCGCACAGCACGGCCCCGTTCGTGATGTCTGCAAGAACCGTAGTCTTGCCTGTGCCTGGAGGGCCTATGATCGCCGTTATTTTGTTCTTGACCTCCTTCAAAGAAGTGACGATTTCCAACTGGGCTGGGTTGTCTGCATATTTTTGGCTGCAGTAAGCCTCCCATTGTCTCCACATCTCAGGATTCCTCTCCGTCAGATCGCTTGTGGTATGCGTCATCTTCGAGGGGTTCGACATGAGGGCGATGCGGGCGGGAGCCAGCGTTCCAGCATTGAAAGTCTCATCTGCGAGTTTCTGCATCCCATCTATCTCTCGCTGGGCAGATGTTTCGTCGATGACGACCTCGATGTGCATCCGCACAAGCTTGTGGTTCTCAAGTCTTTCGTTGGCGGTCTTGTGGATGCGAGGAGTCCGGCCTACAAGAGGCATCTGAAACCAGACGCAGAAATCTGTACCGGTATCTTTGCATGGAACCTGCATGTCCTTCAGGACGGTTCCCTTCCAGATGGTTCTTTTGTCTGTGGAAGGCATGTGTGGTTTCCCGGTTTGGGGGTTTGCGTTGTCCAATTCGGCCCGGATTTTCGCACCGTGAGTGGGCACCGGACCATCTGTTGCCTGTCGGACGAAGCCTCTGACCCCCCCCTTCGAGCTGTTTCATGGTGTAAAGGCCCTTGAAACCTGTGACTGGTACCTTGGGAAGGCCCTCGAAATGGACGAGATGTGTTCCAAGGACGAGGTGAGCCACCTGACCCTTCTCAAACTGTACATCTCGAATGACCGGAACTGTGTTGAAAACCCCGAACTCGAAAGATGTGTCCCAGCTGAGCTGTTTCTCGAAGTTGTGGTATCCTCTGATCTGGGTCTTGTCTTCTTCAACCCGTCCGTCCTCCAGCTTCCTTACCTGGCCGTTGTCGTTGCGGTTCGCGCGGTATTGGACGTACATTGCCTTCTGGAAAGTGTTGATCGGCTCAAGATCTTCGATTGTAAGGCCCACCTTGTTCTCTGGTGCCTTATACTGCCAGAAAGCAGGATATCCGGACGAGACCGAACTCATCAAAGGCACGATCCAGTCCTTGCGGGCGGTTTCCACGTTGGGGTAGGCTAAGAGCCATATGGTCATCATGTGGGGTCCGATACCAAGGAGTAGCTTTTTCAACCCATCCTTGACATCGTCAGCCAGGCCTTGCAACCAGGTCTCCTCCATGTGTGATACTTTGGCGGAGTTGCACGAGAACATGATGCCCACAAGTTGGTCCAGCTGGTGGCGCTTCTCTGGTGGACAGCTGTCCACGATGCTCGAGTCGTAGGGAGCCTGTTTGAGATCAGAAAGAGCCATCAGAGGGTCCACTGTTAAGTCCTCTATGACCTGCTGTCCGTCGATTAGGACGCCGGCCCGCCAAGTGACTTCAAATTGGTAGTAATCGTCCGGATTCTTGGACAGCGGGGCGTTTTTGTCTCCTTTGTTGACTCGAAATGTCAAAGACAAACTTGCCGATCCATACCGACCGGCGTCGAGATATAGGTAGACTGACCAGCCCTTGTTCTCGACCTGCCAAAGACTACCAATCGGGGAGTGAAGTTTTTCATTTGCTGTATGCAAGTAGCTGAAAGCGCACCGGGTGCGCCTCCCGGGGTTGACGATATTCCGGCAGTTGTACTCGTCCTCTACCACCATGACGTCGTGCGATTTTGGAGCCGCGGAGGGGATTGGCTGTCCCACAAATGTCGATGTGTTGCCCTGTCGCGATTTTTCGCTCTCTCCTGGTTCTGCCAATCGTTGAGTCGTTTCTTGTAGACGGCTAGATTGTCTTCCTGAGTTGGCACATGAGGGAGACTACTCTCGAGAGCGCCCATGCGGACATACTTGCGTCCTCGGTGGAAGGACCAGGTTGAGCTGTGTCTTGCATGACACGGTCTCCCGTATCGTTGGTGCCGGTGACTGGCGCTCGGGTCTCCTGCTCTTTGGAGCTGGACGGAGTGTCCGCTAGGGCAGCAAATCGATTACTCGACGAAGCCATTGAAAAAATAAACCCACCGAGTATTCTGCGGGGGTGTTAGAATGCTGGTAAACCAGCAAGCACGATTCTCACCTACAAACGTAGGCGAAGAATCAAAAAGGGAAAAACCCACCGAGTATTCTTCGGGGTGAAATAGAATGCTAGTGAACTAGCAAGCGCGGTTCTCACCTACAAACGTAGGCAAGGAGTGGAGCAGCCGTGAGTACGACCAGTTTGCAAAGATGTTGTGAGGGGTTGATGGTGAAAGAAGAGTGAGGACGCGAGGGATTTACCAGTTCAATTGAACCGCGGTCATTCCGGAGGCTGATTGAAATGATATTGATATGTATATATAGATGACACAAAAGCCAAGCCAGCGTATGGATCTATATAACGTTGGATGGAAATGTGGGAGAAGATTTGTAGGTTATAGGAGGAGATACCTTGCATGTGTTGTATTGGGATTATGTAGGAGGGATGGTTGTGTTGGGAGGGAAGGGGGTTTATATAGTAGACGATGCCTGTGGTGAATGTTCTCTGTTCGGAATGAATGCAGAAAGGGAATGAATAGAGAGAGAGAATGAATGAAGAAAGGGAATGAATAGAAAGAGGGAGGAATGGATGGAGAAAGGAAATGAATGGAGAAAGGAAATGAATGGAGAAAGGAAATGAATGGAGAAAAGGAATGATATGCAGCGGTGAATGGTCTGACGCATCACTGCATTGCCCTAGAATCTAAAGAAGGGAAGAACATTCACCTGCAAATGGATGAATGTCGGCAATGAATGCCATGCGTGAATACACCCAATGTGTTGTCAACTCTGTCTTCTTCGAACCCTCACCCCGTTTGCACCTCTGCCTTCTCCGAACCCTCACCTCAATTGATTTAGTTGCTATGTCTCTTCTATCCTCAACTTACAATTCAGCTCAGAGTGGTGCAATAGCTAAGTAAGCTAAAGCGACTATAGCTCTGTCTCATCAGAGTCTCAAACTGATATTTGCCTGAAAGGTCTCATCGAAAAGAGGCTAACCAGTCTGAAAAGCCATGTCCCCCAGATCCCTGGCCGCCTGGACTCGTTGTCTGCTGTCCTAGACAACCAGAATGCTAAAAACCTGGGAGTGACCGGACTCTCCAGATCATTGCCCCATGCCTTGACGGCATTGTCCACATTAGGGTAGACTAAGAACCAGATGGCCATCGTGTGGGTCCCGGTACCAAGGAATGGATTTTGGAAACCATACTTGACGTCGTCATCTAGGCCTTCCAACGAGGCTTTTTCGATTCGTGACGCTTTGGCGGCGTTGCATGTAAACATGATGCCCGCAAGTCGGTCCAAGTACCTCTTTTGGGCAGCTATTCACTATTGCCGAGTCGTAAAGAGCTTTCCCGGCTTTCAAGAAAGAGCCGTCACATAGTCGACTGTTAAGGCATCAAATCTTGCCCATCACATCACTTATGCACGATTTTTTCACACACTAGGTATGGACGATAGTCCATGCCCCAAACATTGTAACGTCGTGGTCTGGAACGCTTCAGCAAGACAGCTTTCTTATTTAGAGAGAACCAGAGCGCGTACGGAGGAGGCGGAGGACCGAAGTCAGTGTTCTGACCGTGCTGTTGACCCTGCGGTAGAGCTGCTCGACTTTGCTCTGCAACTGGTCCACCCTGGTCATATGGTCGATAGTCCATGCCCCAAACATCGTATCGTCTCGGTCTAGACGGCTGTCAGGAAAAGAGGATTCTCACATGAAGAGAATTGGCGAGCTTACGGAGGAGGTGGAGGACCAAAGTCAGCATTCTGACCGTGCTGTTGACCCTGCGGTGCAGCTCTTCCGCCGAGCTGTTTAAATTTTCGACCCTGCTGAAGGGGGTCTCCACCCTGCTGTATAACCTCTCGAGCTCGCTGTCCAGCTGCTCCACGGACCACACGCTGCTCCAATCCACTGTTGTCACGGCCAGCTGAACTGGAAGATCCTGGTCTGCATAGCCGTCAGAAAGGGTGTTTCAGATCTGAAGGAAGTGAAATACTTACGGAGGGGGCCGGTGGGTTGTTCATGGTTACGAGTACGTAGGGTGGCTCGAGGTAGGATGGCTTTGGGTACGACGTAAGATCTGGATCGTAGAGGTAGAACGTCAGTACATTTCGTGCATCCCCATTCTCTTGGGAGAGGTTCGAGTACTTACCTCGGATGATAGATGTTGGGTGAATATGGAGGCGGCTGAATAGGTGAAGGAAGACTGGAGTGCTAGAGGAGGAGTTTGAAGAGAAGGTAGGCTCAAAAGAGAGAAAATGCTCCTTGTGTCCGTGAGCACATATTGCCTTGAATGTCTGCCTATTGGAGGAAGGCATGCACCTTTGCAGAAGAGAGAACCATCTCCGTGCTCCACAACACAGGCATTAGTCTCGACTCGAAGACGGCACTTTCGGCAGCGAGATTTGTGTCAACGAGGAGTGGGGCGAATCTTCCGATTGGATCCAGCAGCCGACACGAGGTCAGAATCTTGCCAGTCGGAGCTGCGCAGATCCCGAGAGAGTCGACAGTGTCATCTAGTCGGCTGGCGATGCTGAGCTGATGAGAGTCGATCATCGATACACGCGGCTAGGATCCGGAGAACACGGCTTCTGGACTGGTCAGCCTCTTCTCGCTCGAATTTGGATTCAAGGACATGTTAGCTTGCCTACCCTTTTTACCAGTATTTGCCTCCATCTTGTGTGACTGATAGGGAATACTGGGTATGTTGCTGGGAGACCATGCCGTTCCTGTATGAATATGAGCAAAACATGTGCGGAAGTAGGACATTCTGGCTTACCTGACCCTTCCGAACTTTTCAGGCCGCAGCTTTCCTGTCTTGTTAATGATTAGAGGTATGCTAGTTGTTACAGCATTTTGACAACTGCATAACTTGTGGAGCTATGGACGTGGTAGATTCCTTTACAGTGAGAACGTCTCCACGTAAAGTACTACCTGGATTGAACATGCTATCCTAGCCTATGAGGCCTTAACAACCTCTATGCAGCACTGCCGTCACCCCCTCTTTGACCCTCGTGCTTCCTTTCCCAATCTGAATGGCTTCCAGACTCAGAGTCGTATTCGGAGTCCGAGTCGGATTCCTCGTCTTCTATATCGAGAGGACCTAATGTAAAATCAGGCACAAACCCCGGCCTCGGACTGCTGATGAGTGATGGTATGGATGTGGGTGCCTCGAGACCGAAGGAGAAGCCAGACGTACTGGTTCGTTGGTCTTAGGCGGATGGGGGAAGAGGTCCTGCTCGAAATGTCAGCATTGCCTACATTTCTGGAGTCGGGTGGATCTCTGGCGGCACTGATGTCGAACGATCTGATATCTTGCCATCCTGCGCTGCCGTGGAGGTCGAACTTTCCGGATGCTGCTGAGATGTGAGGGTTGGCTGTGGCTCGGCTGCAGACTGCCCTGCATGGTCGCCTGGAGGTGTTGTATTCGGCAAGTTGCTTGGTCTTGTGGGCATCGGCAATTATCCTGGTCTTGGGGCAAGAGGCAAGCGCAATTGGTTCCAAGGAGCAGCCAAGATCGGTGGCAGCGGTAGCACCGACCTTTGGTTGAAATGATCCCCGTGGGAATCTTGCCAATGGTCGAAAGGGTGTTGTCTGCTTTCCAAGCTCGCGGTGAAATACATACCTTAGACAATGTCGACGAAAGTCCGGTGCATCGAACGGGGCAATAAACCACAACTCCAGTTGGTATGCTTTTTGACGCCGAAACATGGTTTTGATCGAATTTTTTATCTCAGCACTTTCCTGACTGAACTCTTCTTTTTTATGAAACCCTGATACTTGGCTCCAAGACTTGAATCTCAGGTACATCAAATTTTGTATGTCCCGTCTACTGCAGTCGGCGAGCACGGTTCGATTAGACATTCTGAGATCGGGCCCATCTGGAGTAGCATAACCGTGTTGGACGTCATTCATTGCCCATTCCCCCCGACTGTTTGACAACATGTCCCAAACATTCTTGGCAATGCCTCTACCGGTCTCTGATCCGGTTTTGGTGAAAGTCAGTGCTACTGACGGAGGCCCGAAACGTCCGGGGTCAAGGAACAATCGGGTTGTGAGTGTGTGATTTGTCGGATAGAGTGATCCGAATGGCTCTCGTTCGTTGATACTGATTACACAAGGTATCGTCTCCGTTGGGTGCCTCATTGTTTTGAATGAGAGGAATGTTGGCTCAGGGCCTTTGATTTTCTTCGAAGGTCCCGTCTCTTCGGTCGAGGGCGAGCGTTTTCGCTTTGTACCCACAGCGTTGGTGGCGTGATCGTCTTGGATCTCGCCCTCCTCGCTCCCGTCGCTCGCTACATTCGCGTCCATACGGAGCTCCTCCCCGGTGCTGCGGTTCTGTTCGAGGCCTTTGCTTGGCGTTCCATTGCTCCCTGTTTTGGGGTCTATCAGGTTAGACATTTTTTGGATAACCCGCCGAGATTCCTGCGGCGGTTGAAGATTGCCTCCACAAGGAAGGAACAATTAATTGCCAGGTACCAAAAAGATGGTACGAGACGAGGAATATTTGCCTGAGATGGCAAGGTATGAGCTTTGGAAGAGCGTTTAAAAAAGAGATGGCAAAAGAGTTGTGTGGAAAGGTTGGATGAGTGGTGGTGTTTCTTTAAAACGAAATAAGAGCGAGACTAGCGCCAAGCCTAAAACCTGCTGTATCAACACAACCACCAGCATGCTCTTTTTCTACAACCATCATCTTTCATAATCTCATCACCTGTTGCACCAAGTCATTCTGCAACTTTTGCCTTCTCTTGCCCAGTGTAAGAGTCGGATATTCACGTCTCACTTGCTGAGATCGTTTTCCACCACCGCAGGAATCTCGGGGGTTTTTCCAAACTATCATGTCCCTTCAAACTGACATGCAGGGCCTCATCGCCGAAAAAATGGCACGGCTGGAAGCTCAACTGGAAGTCGAACGACAAAAGTCCAGGATCAAGGATCTGGAGCAGAAAGTCCACACACTCGAGGTGGAGAAAGGACTGTCTGCCCAAAAGGCTGACGACCAGGCTCTTCGTCCCGCAATGCCCACAGGCATTCCGGATTTCATCTTGCGAGACAAGATTGACAGGCTGGAGACCCAGCTTGAGGCAAAGAATACAAAGATTGCGCAGCAAGAAGAAGAAGTTTCTGCCTTGCTTGAAAAGGTAAGAACATATCGTGAGGTAAAAATCCACGTCAGAGAGGCGACTACACTTTTCGGGTCAAAGCTCGATGAAGATGACGACGACATTTCAAGAGAGGATGCAGCTTTCCAGGACATGGACCGCGTATCGATGGCCGGAGCCACTGCCGAGGAGCATGAGCTTCAAAACTGCTAAAGCCCGGGGTGTCAAGTATTGATACCAACAAGTCTACCGAGACTCTTCCAGTCTCACCACCCAAAGAGATAACCCAAGGCGGACAGTCGAGCTCCGTCTTCATACGCCCTCATCACAGTTGACACCGGCGAAGTTCGAAGACGTATAGGGCCTCGCCTTTTCACAACCAGCAGTACCTGCGCAGACGAACTATGCTCAGGTATTGCAAAACGAGCCACGCGGAGGAGCCGTCACGTCGAAGGGCGTCATGACAAACCAGATAAAACAATGCCATGTTTCACTTATCACGCACACCGAGGTTTCGGCAAAAAAAGGAAAACAGAAAAACAAGTTTCTCCTGAAGCACATAGACAACAGAGGTCTCAGGGACCAGACAGAGTTCCTGGGCGTGGAACTGATGGCATGCAGTCGAAAGCTGTGGCCAGAAAGGGCGTGGAATGGCCAGGAGAGGGCGTGGAGGCCAGGGAGAACGTGGAGGCCTGACACCAAACCAGGGTTTGGTCGTACAATGCATAAGATCCCTCACCCAAGGGAAGAGGCAACCCGCTGCCGATCATCCAAGATATGCAGGACCAGAATCAACTCATAAGTTGAGCCGTGCCTGCCAATCCTGAGAAGCGCGGAGAGTTGGAAGTCACAGGCATGGTACAGAGGGTTCGTTTTGAATCTGAAGGCACTCATGTTGACTCTCCAGTCGCATTTACCTCTAAAATCCAGATCGGGCAAGAGATTCTTGTTGAGGAACAAAAAAAAGTCGAACCGCCTGAGGGGCGAAGCTGCTCTTTTTGATTGCCAACCCCATGCCAGTCGTGGTCTTTGATAAACCTGCGGTCTCTGATGAACCAGCGGAGTTGACTGCTAAACAGATTGCTGCCTACACAAATTTTGGCTACCGTCTTCCATCAGCTCAGAATACTACCAAAGCTGATTCCAAAACTGTCATTCCCCCGGTTCCAGCGACGGCCCAACCCATATCGAAAATCATTGAACGTGACTCTCGATCGGCCCTACAAAGTCTCAGGCCATCGAACCCGCCAGCGCAACAGCTCGAGACCAGGGACTTTGGCCTCAACAACGCAGATAGTATGCCAGCGGGCGGTCTCGAGAGTAGTATTCCTCATGTGCCAATCACACAAGAAAGCATAGCCACCTTCCTGAAACCAGGAGCGGCATTGGATGAGGTGGAGAAGCGAAGGAAGAGTTCGCGACAGGGCAACTCAAGGACATTCACGAGAGAGCCAAACCCCTCTGCAGCTCTATCGCAAGGCCTTCGCAAGAGGACAGTATCTTTCGACGAAGCGGAGGAGTCTTCAAAGCGTCGGCGTGTGGGGCCACCTTCCCCAAGTCAACCGGTTAGGGGGCCAGCCATTGCAGCATCCACAGGTGTGCCGGAGAGCAAGACTGAAGAACCCGACGTTGCGACGGAAGGAAACCCTTCTGCTTCAGCACTTGTCGACGCAGGAGCTCCCGTCTTGACCCCGCAAAGCCCATTCCGCTGGGCTGATATTCGAGAACCCCAAGAATCCGTTCTTGTGCATCATCCAAGCTGACAACTCCTCGCTGATAGGCAGCTTCGCCAAAGACACGGAAGAATGGGCTTTCAGCCTTGGGTTGGATGCAGGACGCCGGCGGATTCCCACCATGAACATGAGATTCTTTTCTAACGGAATAGAAGGGCCGGAATACAGCCAAACCGGATGGTGTCTAGGCGACTACATCGAAGGTGACTGGATGGTCACCAACTTTAAAGTCCATCGCGTAGCTGACTGTCCTGACAATGGGGAGATCTGCCACCCCAATGTTCTAGCGGCGTGTAATACTGATGAAGAGAAGGCTCGCTTGATCTGCATCAGCCTGGAGGCATGGCCAAAGATCCTAGGGCACTTCAACCCCAAGGACCGACCCGAAATCCGGAAACCAGACGTCAAGAAGCTTTTTGGGGCCGTATTCACAGGTCGACACCCCTATGAGTTGCGCATTTGGTTCCGTGCTCCTTATAATTTGGAAAGATTCGAGAAGCAATGCCTCTCATTCTTCACACGATACTTTGAGCAGCGAAGGCCACCTCATGAAGATCTTTACGACGCCGATGACGTCTGCTTCGAAGATCACCTGAAGGCTCAAGAGGAAGCTTCTTCTACTTGAGCAAGAGGGTTGATGCGCTGTCGATCTAGCATGAGCTTGAATGACGCATTCCGATAAGGTCAAGGTTACTGGGGGGATCACGAGGTTCTTCGATGCGGGATGAAGGAGCTGAAGGAGCTGAAGGAGAGCTCAGGGCACGGGGGCGAGGAAGGGGTTGGTGAGAGCTCGAGGACCAGGGAGTGGCGGGAGGGCAAAGTAGATTCTCCGGCTCGGCCGATGTCAGATGTATGGAGGATGATAGGAAGCTGCGGCCTAGAGGTGGAATACTCGAGGAGACGGAAGGAGAGACTGGCTTGAGACCAGCTTGGAATGAAAAGCTCATTTTCTGTATGAAAAAAGACAAAAGCCACGCAGTCTATGAAATCTCTGGTCTGAACCGAAAAAAGGCACTCTTCAAGCTCCCACAATACCGCTGCCTTGATGCAATCCCACACTCGTCCATCTTCTGGGCACTCTCCCCATTCCAATATCGTCTCTCATGATGTGCTACGCGTTTCCTTCCATTGCACACAACGCGTGCATTCAGTAGTTCAGCAAAGCCGAAGCTCCGGGCTCGCTCGAGACATAAAGAACATCATGGTTATCTGTAAACCCATTGAATTTTGTAGTGCTACACTTGGTGTAGGCACCCATTTCCTCAAAGTACAGCCAATCACCCACGTCTAGGACCCCATGAAGGGTACAAGTCTCCGTAACTCGGTCAATTCCATCACAAGATGGACCCCAGAGCGAGTACTCAGTGCTGCGATTGGACCTATCACGCTTGCTCAGGATGCGAGGAGACGCGATCTGATGGTCGAATATGAGACTTGAGAAGTTGCCGTAGACACCGTCGTTGAGGTAGAGCATGTAATTAGTCTCCATTGTAGCGGGATCCTGGAAATCGCGGCGAGCGATGATGTTGCAGGCCAAGGTGAATGCGGAGGCGACGTAGTAGCGGCCAGGTTCCCCAATGATGCGCACACTCGTTGGAAAGTTTTCATCGAGGGCTTTGCTCAAGACATCGGCCATGGACTCAAAGAGATCTCCAGAAAAGCCTCCGCCTACATCCAGAGTCTTGAGGTTGTAGCCAACGTCCGCGGCTTGATCAAATACAATACGAGCGTCTCGAACAGCTTTGTCGAAAGATTGAGGGTCAGAAGCTCCAGAACCGACGTGGAAGCTGACACCAGTGACATTCAATTCCAGATCCTTCGCCAAAGTCAAAAGGTCTAGGGTTGTGTCTAAGGAGGCCCCAAATTTATCGCTGAGTCGACACAAGCTTGCTGAGTCGTCTGTCAAGATGCGGAGAAACAGCTCTGCATCTGGAAAGAACCTCTTAATCTTGTAGAGCTCGTCTGAATTGTCGAACGTCATCTGCTTCACCCCACACTCAAATGCAAAGCGCACATATGACTTGGTCTTGCATGGCTGAGCGTAGATAATCCTGGATGGATCGACACCGAGATTGAGGACCTGTTCAATTTCTGACTTGGATGCACAGTCAAAACCGGTGCCTAATCCCGCAAGTAGACGAAGGACCTCTGGGTCCGGGTTGCACTTGACAGCTAATAGAAATCAACGTGCTGTTGTATTCTGGAAAATTCAATGAATGAGAACGCACCGTAGTGGGGCTTGACCCTCTTCAAATTCATCTTCCAGCGTAGGTGTTGTCGATAGACCTCACCCATGTCAGCCACGAAGAATGAATCTTCATCCCCAGCAGCGCAAGTATCTGTATCGATGGCTGCAATCCGCCCTTTCAACACATCCTTCGTTAGAGTTTTCCCATATTCTTTTCCATTATCGCTAACAGTACTATTGACCCTCAATGATTTTTCATTCATGTCAATTGATGCATATTGTTGTGTAATTGTTGTTGCCGAAGGTGCCATTCGCATCCAAGCTCTAAGAAGTAAATTGTATTCCGATTGTGTGAGAGCCGCGTTAGGGAGGCTTGAAGATATCAGTCCCCAGACTGATACGGCTATTCCTCCTCGACTCTTCCCCGGGAAGAGGAAGAACCTCTAGGGACGTCCTATGCGGCAGCTGGGATTGTGATGAAGACAGTGGGACGTTTGGAATGCACTCTAGCAAATAGATCTCAGACTCTGAAATGTCCTGCACCAGGGGGAGGGAGGTCGTTGAGGACTGGACGACGAATTCAGAGTCAGTCTTCCAGTTCAAAAGCGATTCTCGAGTCTCAAAAGAAGGGGTTATGGCATCCGATATATACGTACTGTCCCGATGGGGGCGTGAGGCAGGATCTTGAAGACTGAACTGTGTCGAGGCCGGAGGAGCCGTGTTTATCAGTGCCTCTGAATCACCAGAGGTAGGATTTCTGGTTCGATTTTGACTGAGTCAGACTGTGTGCATGAGCAGCTAATATTGGAGAGTTAAAGAAAATGAGTCTGGTTGGTTATGGAATGTTCAGTTATCGTTTTGTGTCCAGCTGTTGGTGCGGGAATAATTTTGCGGTGAGGCACTTCTTTTGTGAGTGGGCAGAAAGCGATGACATAACCGAGACAACTTCCGGCTAGGCCGAGGCTGTTTTGAAAAAGGGGCTACTACATACTCAACTCTCAGTCTCGTCTAGACAAAACGATTAGGTATTTACGATACTGGACACATATCGGCTGCATTGTTGCTTGCATATAGACATTGAGGTGCAGGTGCTATGCCCCTAATGCTTCTTCGAGGGAACAGGCCCCCTTGATCACCATGTTCTCCAGTCGAAATCCTTTCGATAGACTCGCCGCGTTGAGACGTCAGGCCTCTACGAAAACAACACCTTTGGGGTACAAGCCAGCAGCACCTTCGTTGAAGACGAACCCTACCGCTCCTCCCACGGGCTTCGCAGCAATTGGCAGCTACAATACGATTGCTAGAAGGTAGGAAGCCACGATTCCTCGACTTTCATTTACTAATGGCTTCCAGGTGGACTGCTATTATAGTTGGTATTCCCTTCGTGGTGGTCACAAGCTACGTACTGTACCAACGAGGTATGAGCCGTATAGCCTCAATCTATCTGCCTTTTGCTAATGAAGCCAGTGGTCCTCGGACAAGAACAGAAGCCTCTAATAGCTCCACCAGAGGGGCCTCTTGTCGCGAAACATGACTGAAGGCGCCCGCGGATGCTTCTCTTTCTTCGAACTTCATCTCGGCATAGGCATTCGATGAGGTTCGTTGTCGGGCCGTTGATCAATTTGCAGGTCAATTGAATTGGAATACGGTCAAAAGGAAGGCAAGAGACCGTGAGCATCTGCGCCACCTATGGCAGGGAACCAACAGCATCCTTCACGATGCAGGATAATGTATTGTCACATTGCCATTGTACATAGGTTCAATGCCCTCTCATCCACGCTTTCCAACCCCAGCTTGGTCCATCACAGCCCTTCAGTCTGTGCCTGTGGGACCTCCTCAGACTCTCCATTGACCTCTTTACTTGTTATCAGCATCCGGTCCAACGTGAGATTATGAATACGCAGCATAACCTGCATGGCAAGTGAAGAGGGTTGGTCCTTGTACTTTCAATGTTGATCTTTAAGCCCTGTATGCCCCATCCCTCAAGCCGCAGCCCTTACAAACCCCCTCATAGCCTTGACCGCATCCCCGTCATTCGCCTTCAACAGCTCTGTAGCTTTCCCCTTAGTCAAATCCAATTCTTCGACCAGCAATGTCACATCCGCCTGATCCACCTTGATCTTCGCCCTCTTCTCAACTTCCTCTTTCTCCTTCGTTTTCTTCTCCCCTGCAGCAACCGTGCCAGCTTTGTCTGCTAACTCCAGCCTACTTATAGCCTTTCCAAGGGCTTCTTGGTCGATTTCTTTGTTAGGTTTCGTAGCAGCATCGTCGTCATCGCCACCGCGTCTTTCGAGGGAGGACATGGCGGCGGCCGCTTTGCGGTCTTCGGCAGAGGTGGGGAGGGGGGCGGGGTCTTCGCGGTCCATGCCTTCATGGACGCTGGAGGGTTGGGGCTCTGCCATTTTTATGGTTGAATTGCGCGTGAGTAGCAGCAGAAGAGTAGCTGTGAGGTGAATTTAGAGTGGTTGTCAGAACGTAGGTGGTGACAAGGGGGGGGGGGGTTCATAAAACGCGGAGGACCGAATTAGGTCTAGTGAAGAAATATTGGGATTTCGCCAGCCCCTTCCTCACGTATTCATGCGTACCTATCCACTCCACATTTCCAGTTATTGTTTAAAGCATATCGCATTTCATAGCTCAGGTGTATTTGGTGTATGTCAGCATAGGCTTTTTGGTCTCTGCACCTCATCTACCTGTTCAAAGGGTCCGTTTGTGTGTGCATCTCATCTAGGAGTCGTCTCTCGTAAAATTCCGTTTATTCTCTTTCTGTTGAAAAAAATCTATAGTCATGTCGAAAAGACCTCTAGAAGAGCCAATACAGCCTCCAAAGCTCAGCAAAAGTGGAGAAGCCGCAGCAGAGATCAAGGTCACAACAAAGCGACAGAAGAATAGCAGCTCGGAATGGACGCCATCATCCTGGACCACTAAACCCATAAAACAAGAGGTTGTCTATAATGACCTTGCTAAAGTCCAAAAAGCTCTCGCAAAACTAGAGCAACTACCACCCATCGTTACACCTACCGAGATCATCAAACTCCGGAAGTCTCTGCGAGATGTTGCTCTTGGCAAAGCGTTCCTACTACAGGGTGGTGACTGTGCGGAATTATTCGATTACTGTGAAGAGAATGCCATTGAATCGAAGATCAAACTTCTGCTGCAGATGAGTTTGGTCCTGATCTGGGGCGCCAACAGGCCTGTCGTGCGTATTGCGAGGATGGCTGGCCAGTACGCAAAGCCAAGATCAAGTCCCACAGAGATGCACGAGGGAAACGAGATACCCTCCTTCCGTGGAGACATACTAAATGGATACGCGGTAGAAGACAGAACCCCGGATCCAGCGCGTTTAGTATCTGCCTATTATCACTCTGCCGCAACGCTCAATTTCATCAGAGCGTCGCTGGCATCAGGGATCGCTGATCTACATTCGCCACTAGACTGGGAGCTGGGGCACGTGAAAGATGAAAAGATCAGAGCTCAGTACACCAGGATTGTCGATAGTATCACCGAGAGCCTACAATTCATGAGGACAGTTGGCGCAGATAGCAGTGCAAGTGGCTTAGAGACTGTCGATCTCTACACCAGTCACGAGGGTTTGCTACTAGAATACGAGCAGAGTTTAACAAGGAGACTAAAACATCCACCCTCTCATCCAGCTTTCTTGCCAGCCCGAGTATCATCAGATCAGCAGGTGAACGGTCACCAAGAGTCTGCTAGCGATGGCAAAGGCTGGTACAATACATCCGCCCACTTTCTCTGGATCGGTGACCGCACACGCCAACTCACTGGCGCACACGTCGAGTACTTCCGCGGTCTCGAAAATCCCATCGGCATCAAAGTCGGGCCTACCATGACATCTCCGGAACTCATCGCCCTCCTTGATGTGGTCAATCCGCCAAAAGATATTGGAAAGGTCACTTTGATTACCCGATACGGCGAGCACAATATCGCTTCTCTGCTACCTGGCCATATTGAGGCCGTGAAGAAAAGTGGCCATGTAGTCGTGTGGCAATGCGATCCCATGCATGGGAACACAAAGAGTACGCCGTCTGGGGTGAAGACAAGGCAATTTTCGAGTATTTTGAGTGAGGTGAGCAGTGCGTTGAGGATTCACAGAGAGCAGAGCAGTTTCTTGGGAGGTGTGCACCTCGAATTGACTGGGGATGCGGTGACGGAATGTGTTGGTGGGAGTGAGGGGTTGACGGAGGGGGATCTAAGTGTTAATTATACGACATACTGTGATCCGAGACTCAATGAGAAACAGGCGCTTGAGATGGCTTTTCTGGTTGCAGGACACTATCGGGATGAGAAGAGGGCTTGATCAGTCTGGATGTTGGATATAGTGAAATGAAAACCTTTGGGAGTAATCTGAACAATGTCAACTTCTTAAAATCTGACAGAATATAAAGAATATATGGATAATTAATTAAATATTTGCGCCCTTCGGGGATGTGGTATAAAATCCCTTCATTGGGGTTTTCGTAGGTCACGGCTCCGTTGCAGAATACTCAATCGGAATGGTCGGGCTGAGCTTTTTGCACCAGCACAAGGGTTCGAGATGGTCACTTACTTTGTTTAATTCTTTCAAATTGCGGATTTTGTTGAATGAATTTACATTTGCTAGAGAGTCCCTTTAAATGCCCACCCCATGAGGACTCTATGCTCCTCGCATCTCAACAAGACTCCCCAGTGAACCTGGTGCCCGATTTCAATCCTGCTGCGATCCTGTTAAGTCTCCCGACACAGCCAATTACGCAATCCACTCAGGGCCCGTGATGGTTTAGCGGAAAGTTCCCCCTCCTCTCCTTTGCAACCTCGAATTAAACAGACGTCCCGCAGATCGGCATCACGGTACGCGGCCGCACCTACAGCAATCGAACAATATTTGTATCGCACGACTTTCGGACAAACAGCTCATAGATTTGAAAGGTCATGGGCTTGCTCGATCGGATATGAGGGCAGAATTGGATATCGTCGAGGGCTCTCAAGGCCGTGCTCATTCATGGCCAACCACGAGAGTGTCGGATCAGGGGGCGTCTCGAGGACTGGGTATTGCACCGTGAGATAGTAGTAACCTAGAAGTAGCTGCTCATTCGAACATGAACATCTCTTCTCGAGCCAGAAGTATAAATAGCCTCGCGAATCCTGCAGCAGTCCATAATTCCAGTTTCGATGAGGACAAACCCACAAACGGCCTTCCCTGCCGAGGCATTCCCGCGAGAGGAGATAGATAACATTGCCGTGTTAGATGTGTTGCAGACGACTCTGGAAGGGGAGATTCCACATAAGTACGCTAGACGCTCGAATCGATATTGCAGGGGTCGGAAGGCTTCTCGTATTGGTGGCACCATAGCCGATATCTTGCAAAGAGTTCCTTGGTACCATCATCGGACGATGTTGACCGAAGCTCACAATTGTGGAAGAGGTGAGCGTGGGGTTTGGCCCTTTCTCAAAATCGCCTAGTGTTGGACGCTAGCGCTTGTCGTTGCTATCCGACCAACGCGGGGAAGAAATCAACAAACAACAAATCCAAATAATAAGACCCACCAAGTTCCAACGCTCGTCTTCTTTCAACACCCGACCAGACTCCGCCCACCTTTGAAGAGCAAAATACTCACTGCCCCAATGCCTGCGACACAAGCTGCGAAGCGGAAGAAGACCGTGGACATGACAGACTCACCTCCCAAACGTGTAACGCGCGCTCGCGCGAAGACTACCAATAGCGACGATGTAGCCTCGAAGCCCAGGGCAACAAAGATTACTACAGCCTCCGCCAAAGCCGCCGCCATGAAGAAGAAGCCAGCAGTGCAAGCTAAAGCAGTTAAACGCAAGACTCGAGCCGACGACGAGGATGGTGAAGCGATTGATGGAGCAGTGCTCGGACAAGAAAAGAAGCCCGGGCCCACGAAAGCAGTAGGACGAGCGAAGAATGGTGACACGGATGAGAAAGAGGAGGACCAAATGCCAGACGCACTGAGGACGAGAGCTCGTCCAACAAAGGCGCCCGCGGCCGAAGTCACTGAGCTGGAGGCTCCAAAGACAAGGGGCCGCCCCAAGAAGACGTTAGAAATCACGCCTGCAGTCTTAGAGGTTCAAGAGGAAATAGAGAAGCCGGAGCCAGTGAAGAAGACTACTCGCGGACGTCCAATCACCAATGCGACGAAGACACCATCAATCGCCCCAGCCACGAGACCAGCGGCAGCCGCGCAAAAGAAGAGGGTCAAGTTTCAACAAGAACCAGACAAGGAAAACGTTCCGATAGAGACTGAAGGGCCAAAGAAGTCCGCCATGAAACCAACAGGACTAAAAGCGAAGCCAGTCCGCAAGCCAGCGGCAGCACGAGCTACTACCCGTGGTAGGAAAATTGTCACGCCGACTACTCAAGAAAGTCAGGGGCTTGAGACAAAGGATGTACTGCCCTTGTCGCCAAAGAAGGTCAATCAAATTGCCAAGAGTGACCCAATAATTTCGGAGGATGAGCTTGCCGGCGAGAAAACGCCCATCAGAGCTCTTAGCAAGTCTCCCGCCAAACGAATTATGAGTCCAGTCAAAGACTTCGGTAGCGTCTCCAAGTTGAACTTTGCCCAAGACACCGCGCCATCATCACCGTTGAAGCCTACGTCGTCGAGCATATTTGCAAGCCCAGCTCGGCGACCGCCAACGTCACCATTCAAGGACGCGCTCAAGAGTTCTCCTAAGAGAGTGCAACTTGGAGACCCCATAGCTCAGCCCGTGCTTTTGTCATCGCGTACTCCCATGAAAGCCTCATTTCTGCAAGAATCGCCAAGAAGAGGAACTCTTCGAGACAACATGACACAGCCAATACTTCTCCCTTCCAAGTCACCGTTCAAAATATCATTGCTGCAAGAATCGCCAAAGAGAGTGAGAATGGAAGAAAAGACAACGCAGCCCATACTTGTCCCTTCCAAATCGCCGTTCAAGGCTTCGTTGCTGCAATCTCCTGCGCGCCGCCCAACAGCTTCACCTACGAAGTCAACAGGGCTTGGCTCGCCAGTCAAGTCTAGTATGAAAGCAGCGGCATTGCACGCCGCCATCACCTCCAGACAAAGCAGTCCCTCGAAGGCTCCAAGCCTTTCACCGGAGAAGGTCGTTAGCAGTCCCTTCCGAGCAGCCAGGTCTCCGGAGCAGACTGTCAAGGTTCATACTATCACGGACGAAGAACGCGAGGTGGACGCAGAAGAGGACGATTTCCCAGAATTTCACTCTGAAAGCCCAATCATAGACGTTGCCGCTGAAGCCGAGTCACCCTTGCGAACTACAGCGGCCACCTTTGAGGAGCCGGTATCTTTTGACGATACCATCATGATCGACCAATCCGAACCCGTCGCTCGCAGCGATGACATTTCAGAGAGCTCAAAGCCCGCAGAAACTCCTACGGTATTCAAGGGTCCAGCCTTCTGGCTTGCTTCGGCCGCCTTAAGGAGAGTTTCCATCGAGTCTGGGTCTGAAGATGAGCTTGCGTCTCCAGACAAGGGATACGGATTCACCCCACTGCGCAGTCATGGAGTCTCCGCAGAGGACTTTGGCACTCCTGCAGTCCTTGATGGCCAGGACTCGGATATCTCTGAAGACCAACTATCCTTTACCCCACTGGCGGATCAACTGAGTTCGTGGGCTGCATCTAGCCCCAACAAACAGAACGCGACAAGCCGTCCTCGTCAGACCCGCGGAATGTTCTCACTTGGAGGTGTGAGTATGATCGTAGCTCCGGAGCAAACAATCAGTGACATTCCAACGGGATCTCCTGCAAAATCTTCGTTCTTTGAAGATGAGATGGTAATGCGTGATGGCGAAGAAGACGTTGAAGACACTTCATTCGCGGAAATGGACGTGGGCAATGAACATGATATTGCGGCCTTGCAGGTTAGCCAAGAGTCGCAAACATCAGAAGAGTACGGAGATGAAAATGCAGTGCCATCGGGTGCTGAAAGACTGCGGGCAGAGCAGGATCATACTTTGACTTGCACCCCAGCAAAAGTGTTCACACCTGCCAAGAAGATCTCTCAACAACCTCGAGAGATCCACACAGTCTCAAAGGTACCTCTGCGCGCTTCAGCTGAAGATACTCCTCTCATAGTGACTCGCCAACGAAGTCGATCGTTTGGAGGTCCTTTGTCAGTGGTCAGCGAGCCTCATCATGCCAGGTTGAAGCAATCCGAGATACCCGACAATGCCGAGAACGAGCATGTGACCCTCGATCGACCAGCTACGCCAGTGCTGGCAGCGACCACCATTCCCCAAACGCCTGGCAGTGCTATGAGGCTCGATGCTGAGACTCCTGGGCGAACTGCGCGGAAAGGGGTTATTCCAGACGTTCTTCAGGGCGCGGTTGTCTTTGTTGATGTGCACACATCTGAGGGCGCAGACGCCAGTGGGATCTTCGTTGACCTTCTGACCCAAATGGGTGCTCGCTGCGTCAAGCAATGGTCATGGAATCCAAGAGCAAGCATGGGCAGCTCTCTCAACAGCACCACTCCCGAGGCAGCTTCGCCAGACACCACCAAAGTTGGTATTACCCACGTCGTCTACAAGGATGGTGGGAAGCGGACTTTGGAAAAGATTCGGAGCAGCAACGGAGTAGTCTTGTGCGTCGGGGTTGGCTGGGTCTTAGAGTAAGTCAAACGATTCACCCAAAAGCACCATGCTCTTGTTAACACTACTAGCTGCGAGCGTGAGGACAAATGGCTCAACGAAGCAGACTATGCCATCGACACATCCATGATCCCTCGTGGTGGCTCTCGCCGTCGCAAATCAATGGAACCGCGAGCGCTTGCCAACATGAACGGCAATCTGATCACTGCTAGCATTGAAACACCAGCCAAGATCTCCTCAGAAAACGAGATATCACCTACGACAGAATTCCTCACCTTCGATACTCCGGCTTCTCGCAGAGACACATTCATCATCGAACGGCAAATAGCGCGAGAAGAGGAGCCAACGGTAGCGCCGGCAACTCCCATCGCGGCCTCGGCGCAGGACGATATGCTCGAAGACGGCTCTACATGGGGCTCGCCTACCACACCATACTACCTATCCAAGGGCGCAGAGTTGGTGCAGCGCACGTGCCCGCCAAAGCAGATGGGGTTTCCTGTCAACGGGGAAATTGATGATCAGCCGGATGAGACGGTTCGAAGGAGGCTGCTGGAAGCGAGAAGGAAGAGTATGCAGTGGGCTTCACGAATCAGAAGTCCGCTGGGAAGAACAGTCAGCTATGGGAAATGACTGAGCGCATGTTTGTTGTGTTGTTCTGATTGAGAAAGAAGTAATGTATAAGGCGAGAAATCCGTGTAAAAGGTTAGAAAGTGACTGCAACGATATTGGAAGCAAATACATTGAATCCAATTCCAGGTCAGGTTGTCGAGGTTCCCGTGGCAGAAGAATTGCAATAGTACGGCTCCGTGATATTATCATGTCACAGGGAAGAGACCTTTTCGTTAGTTGAAGAATAATATAACTATCAATAAGCCATGATTACCTGCCCTTCGGGGATATGGTATTAAATCTCGTTGGAGCTTTCGTAGGTAACCAGAAGTTGAAGCTTTCAGACTGAGGTTTTTGCTCCACGAGGTTCGATAAGTTCATGTATTCTTTTTTCTCTTACTTTTACATTTGCTAAAAGGTGCTTGCGAAAGCACACCTACTCAGCAGACTATTACTAGCTTCACAAGCCTATTCTACTCTCGATTTCAGTCCGATATCGAGATCTTCAAGACAGAGATACCACAGCCACCAGAGCTACCGAAGCAGCCTACTCCAGAGCTACCAGAGCAGTCACCACAGCTATCAGAGCAACCAGCCATACCAAGCAATTCAAGCCTTCGCCAGTACGAGTACCCCATGTGCCACTGCAGCCTATCACACCAGTCCTGACACACCCAGTCCTAATACAGCAGCCTCTCACACCACTACCAGTCGTACCACAGTCTGTTCCGTCAGTACCCCAGCTACAAGAGCACCTACCAGAGCATCCACCACAGCTACGAGAGCAGCCTACACCATAGCTGCCACAGCAGTCTGTCGTACCAGAGCGGCCTATTGTATCACTACCAGCCATGTCAGCGCAATCAGTCCTCTCACAGCCATCAGTCGTATCACAGCCCACTGCGGAGCCTCGTATCGGTATGAATCGAGACCATTGGTTCACTTCACACACCTCACTCAGCAATCCTGTGGTGTCACGACTACACATCTACGCTTCAAGATCAAGGGCTTACTAAGACGTTCCTCTGCTCTACACTACTGGGCCTGGTTTGCCGTGAGGGGTTGGCTAGCTTGATGTGCTATGAAAGGGGTCCTCTGATGCTCGCTGAAGGCTTCAGTGCATTGCGTCAGGTCGCGGGGGCTCTGTTTTATTATTTGGTAGTAGTTGGAAGGTGCTTCTTACCAGGTCTAGACACATATCACTGCGCTTGGCTGAGGGGATATCTTGCTGCAGCTTCCACAGACAACCAATCCCTCCTACACGCTACGAACACTGTTCCTTGTCCCACCCCGTTGCTCTGGAGGGTTGATTTACAGTTCATAAGGAAACTTACAAACAGGCGTTGCAAAGACTGATCCTGGTTCTTTGGGACAAGGTTGGTTCAGTTGCACAGCTACTTGGGCATGTGTAGCCGCCTTGCATCTGGCCTCGAGTTCAGGTCATAAAACTCTTCCGATTTACTTTGCCATTCCACGTGTCTGATGAGGACTATCTAAAGTATGCCTTCATATCTTTGTTGCCCTGCGTCTACGTACAACTACTAGCAACTGCCCGGGTACGAATGTTCCGTTCTGGTACAGCATCAACTTCTGGATACCAAATGAATTTGATCTTGATCAATGCTGATGTTCTACTATTCGTTATCCTTTTCAATTCTTCATATACAAGTAGACGTAGACATTGCCTATACAGTGGACCGACTAAGTAGGGTCCGGCAACTGTGCCACGGCCACCCGATGGATCATGAGCGATACTAGATGTGAAAGCGGTGTACGCTTTCAAGCCTACAACTAGTATAAGTTACTGTTTAGTGACGGACTACTAGTGATCACCTTCGTAGCATACCCGTCCCGCTTCTATACTGAGGATTGAGTGCCTTAAAAATTAGTCCCGGGAATAGTAGGCAACCAGCGTCCCACCGCGGAGCTGCAGTCCGGATGCGGTTAGCGTATCATTCCAGCAAAAAACCGAATGCGCTACTTGCAGAGATTTTGACGAATCGGAGCTCAAAGCTTTTGATTCCGACGCTAGCCTCGGTGGTTGCCGGCGCTACCGGGAATTTCTTCTACTTAACTTCTCTTTTTTTCAACTCACTTCCTTCTTCAACAACGCACTTCCCTTCCATCACTCACACCCTTCATCCATCACTCACATCCTTTATCCATCACCCACATCCTTTATCCATCACCCACATCCTTCTTCCATCATCCACACTTCTACCACAACACAGTGCTTGTCTACCACAGTCGATTGCCGGATTTCACTTGCTTTTACAAGCATTTTAACTCTCACATCAGTGAAAGATTTTCCAACACCGCAGGAATCTCGGGGTTTTTTTGTACTTTCTGTGCCTTGGTGCTGATTCAGCTCCCAAGCGCAAGCATCGCGTCAGTGATGGCGAGAAAGAAGGCTCACGCAGTCTTGCTGCCTCGCGGTGGCATTTCTAACGCGCAAAAATGCACGTTCAGACTTGTCTGCCTCAGCAGGACCTCTATCGGCCTTCTACTTCACCGAGTCTGGTGTTGAGTGCTTTCTGGGTCATTGTACCATCAGATCCGCTCAACGCCGCAAAAAGACGGCTTCGAACAGTGTTTCACAGCGAGCTTTCCCGTTCTAATAAACCAAAACTTCAAGTTATTCCCGTTCTAATGAACAGGTTGCTCACGGCACGCTGCAACATCAGCTCAACGCCTCAAAAGGACGGCTTCGAACAGTGGTTCACAGCGAGCTTTTCCGTTCGAATGAGCAGTTTGCTCAAGGCATGCTGCTATTGCAAAGAGCTGACTCTCTTGTGCTTCAAGATCGAGAATCTGGTATTACTGACGGTCACAGATTCCTTTCTTCGGCGGGACCGAGGCATAATAACGATCACCATATCGGAGACAAGAATTGGCTAGCTCGGCGCGACATCGCGCATTCGGCGCTGAGAAACCTGTGGGCGAAAGCAGGAGCGTATCAGACAATGTTGAAGACAAATGGTATACCTCAACGGGTCACCTTCAAAGTGACAATGTCGCAGCCACAATGACATTCAAGCAGCTCTATCGAGTAAGAATGTGCGACCAATGCCCAAATCTCTGACTGCCAGCAACATTGCGGATGAGACGGTCATCCTGCTAGTTCGCATGCTCCCTGACCTCCACCAGCTCCTGGAGCCTACGAAGGCCCTTGAACCTTCTGGTCCCTGCCCTTGATCTCTGCTTCGCATCCTCCCAGCGTCCTTCGCTGCGGGAGCTGGCCTCAGTGCTACCGATCCCACCATGGAATTCTGTCATGTGCTGACTTCAATATTAAAAGATACATCGCCATCTTCTCTTTGTCCCCCAAATGACCAGTAGGTCATGCTCTTACTAGAATTGCTGACTTATATATATAGATAATGTTTGCGCACTTGGTCGTGGTAGAGGGGCTACCCTATCCACGGGATAGCGGACTGTGCACACGGTTCGCCACGCAGATCGCAGTCTCGATCATTTCAGCTGGACTGGATGAAGAGCCCACGCCGCCATCGGCGCCATGGCGAAAGACTTTCTGGACCGCAAGTTGGAACATTTTACTACTCTAGATACCAACCCAGTTGGCGAAAAGACGCGTGCGACCTGGAACGAGGCCAGACTCAGCGCTGATCACTACCGGCCTCTCAACTGGTTGCCTACACTTGTAGGTAACAATCACACGTGGCTAGTTTACTAGCACCAGCTTCAACCACCGTAGGAATCTCGGGGGTTTTCCGTATCTCAGCTCTTGCCTACCTTGGTAGGTAAGACTCTTGCTTTCATTAGCAATCCACCACCGCAGGAATCTCGGGGGTTTATCAATTTCAATGTCTTCGTCGAGCAATCGATATGCTGTTTTGGGGGAAGTCTCCTCCAGCTCGAAAGAGCAGCAGCAAGACACAGCTCAACCAGGTCCTCCCGCCCAAGGAGAGGGTCTGTCAATGGGGAGTCTCGAGAGTTCTCTCCCTCGTGTGCTTTCCAGAGAAGAAGGTCTGGCAGAGTACAAGAAACGGAGATTAGCATGGAAAGAGGAGCAGGCACAGGAAGACGAGAGAAAGAAGAGGCGACAGGTCACCTCATCGACGTTGGTGCCGAGGCTAATCCCCTCCGCAGCTCCAGAGTCAGATGACGGCATGGAGGTAGAAAAGGAATTCAACTGCCAGAACATCATCAACCTCGACAGACGTACCCGGTGCGTTTTCGGATACGAAGACGCAAAGGGAGACTTCACAGACCCCCTCGACAGCCTATGAGATGTTGAGAACAAGGGCTGGTCAGCTCACGTACAGGTTGAGGCCGGTCGATTTGGATCGCCAAGAGTATCCTTGATTGCTCGGATCAACAAGGGGACCTATCCACGGGATAGCGGACTGAGTACACGGTTCGTCACGCAGATCATCGTGTCTCGATCATTCCAGCTGGACTGGAATCATCCACGTGATAGCGGACTTTGTACACGGTTCGCCACGCAGAGAAAATGCTTCGTGACGCGACATTCTACGCGCCCGTGACCGCCATCCTTTCACAGTGGGCGAGTGCGGCATGCCGATGCAGACGGCTGGCTTTTGCAACTGCCGCAGAATATCCTGCAACCTTCTACATATAAAAATAATATATTCCTCGTCCTTGTCGCCTTCCCTCCCCCCCAAACTCCATACGAGACACAAGCCGCAGAGCCAACCACACACGACTTTGTTGAGGTTGACCTGCGAGTCTTACCCTCCGAACACCTGTCTCCGCGAACTCCTTCCAAACGCCGACGCTGCGGGAGTCCCCTCACGTCTTTGTTGAGGTTGATCTGCGAATCATACCCTCCGAACATGCCGCAGAGCCAACCACTCACGACTTTGTTGAGGTTGATCTGCGAATCATACCCTCCGAACACACGTCTTCGCGAGCTACTCCAAAACGCCAACGATGCGGGAGTCTGTTTAGACATTGAGGTTGATCTGCGAATCATACCCTCCGAACACACGTTCTCGCGAGCTACTCTAAAACGCCACAGCGCTCTTCGGCTTTCTAGCAAAGGCCCTTCAAGCTGAGCTCAACAAGGGCCCTACGAATACACTTTACTCGCGCACTCTCACCGTCCTTGCCGCACTTCTCCGAGTCCTGGAGTGCAATAATACTGCGTCTTTCTTAGAAGACCTCTGCTCCGTCGTTGACACCCTCCAAGCCTGCCTCGACGCACTATCGAACACTTTCCAAGGCACTTTGATGGAACAGGCCGCGTCACACCAAAGACGCGGCTTACAAAGTCCAGGTCGGGCAAGGAAGTCCCATAGTACACATCGAAAGGCAGGACCAGGAGAGAACGAAAAGGTCGCGACAGAGCAACTCATCGATACTTGTGGGACAACCAGACGACGTCATGAAGGTAGGGGATGACTACAACTGCCGGAATATCGTCAACCCTAAGAGGCGTATCCGGTGCGCTTTTAGCTACGAGCATGCAGATGGAACGGATGATTACTAGCAAGTTCTTCGCTCGGGGTACTTGTACGCGTGGGCAAGCCTGTACATACAGTCATGAAGTCGCGTCTTCTGCTCAGGAAATTGATTCCATGCCGCTTGGGCCAGAGAGTTGTTACAAATGTAGTAGTCAGAGAGATGATCAGACAATAAATTCGTTTCTCCGTCATAGACCTGCGTGACATAAGTGACCTGCGTGACCTTCGCCCTTTCGAGTCCTAAATAAGCAATGCTACCCTTGATCCTTTATCTACAGGTAAACTGCTGTTCATATGGGTTCACGTGAGCATCTGCGGGAGCCTGTCGCCCAGGTATAGCATGGACCAGAGCTACATACATCCGTCCAGCAACCGCCTTAGATAGTATACACTTGACGTGCCTCTTTCAAGATGAATACCCATACAATACACCAGTATGCTCTCTCTCGCCGCTCATTCATTTGAATACCTCGGGTGGAGTATCACGAGTAGGTTCTCAAGGCATACAGTAAGGGGCGAAAGAGGGCTAAATCCATTTCGTCGTATATCCTCGCGTCCCTTCCCATCCTCTTTTCAGCCATCATACGGTGATGAGCCACATGTCCCCAACTCCGCATGTCCCCCTCTTCTTTTCGCCCTTCCGATCGGAAACGTAGAGAGATATCCAAAGTGTTGTAGTGTTGGCTGCTTCTTGGAAAGAGCGGAGGTGTACGAAGGGGCTTCGGCAGACCCGATATCAGTAGGACGGTCGTCGTATTTGTTCGTTGAGTCGTTCGCTGAAGTCGGGATCGAAGGCGTTTTGAAGAGGTCGCGTTCGTACTCGAAGAGAGCCCAGCTCTCCAATCGGTGTACTGGGTTCGTCCTGTCAGAGTAAGTGGATGTCTCTTGACTCTACTGAACCCGTAGAACAGACAGCATTCGTAGCTGGCACCACGTACAGGCGGGCAGTGGTCTGTACAGCACTCGTTTAGATCTTGGCGGAGGTTCTAGTGGCTTGGCACCCACATTCACTCGCATCTTCTCGAAAAAAAATTGAAGTCACCACATCATCTCACTAAATACAAACACCATTGCATTCGCAATAATGCTGGCTCTCAGGCTTTGGGCAAGCGAGTTTCCACTCTTGTCATGAGGGAGGTTCTCCCTCTGTCATGAGGGAGGTTCTCCCTCCAATTTGAGGAAGTCCGCGAGGACAACCTCTTTTACCGCCGTAGAATACTCGGTCGGTCTATTCAACTTCGCTTTATCATCATTGACAAGGCATGTGGCTAAACAGCCAAACCTACTGGCAGGGAACTCCCTCCTATTTAAGGAAGTCCGCAAGGACAACCTCTTTTACCGCCGCAGAATACTCGGTCGGTCTATCCAACTTCGCCATGTCATCATTGACAAGGCATATGACTAAACAGCCAAACCTACTGGTAGGGAACTCCCTCCAATCAAGGAAGTCCGCAAGGACAACCTCTTTTACCGCCGCAGAATACTCGGTCGGTCTATACAACTTCACCATGTCATCATTGACAAGGCATGTGGCTGAACAGCCAAACCTACTGGCAGCGGACGCCGACTGGAGGCAGCAGTTGTCAGAAGTCATTCGAGAACTGAAAAAGAATATGCCAGGGATCAAACGGCTCTTGTTTGACTCAAAGGGCAACGATCACGACGCTGTGGTTCTTCGACAAGCTGATGGGTACACTCCACAAGCTTGAGGAACGTCAACTGGCTGCTGTGAACCAACTCGAGCAACACCAAGCAGCATGGAGTGCTGCCATCGTGTCTCGAGACGGTACGCTAGGAAAGCTTGACGCTCGGTTGCAGAAACTGAAGGACGAGGTCAAACAATCAGAAGGCACTGGAAGAGACCCAAGCGAATGAGCTCCGGATCAAAGAGACTCGCGTGACCGAGCAAAACCGACTCGAAGAGCTCAAGTCTCGGCTGTACAAGCAGAAAGAGGCCTTAGCCGGACAGGAGAGGGAGCTAGGCAATCGGGAAGCAAGACATACGTCAAGAGTCACCGCCTTTGATGCAGAAGAGCATGGCAGGAGACAAAAAGCTGGAAAGCCGGGAGAGGGACTTTGAATCTACTCGGATATCGACAGAGACCAACCTCGCGGAACAGAGGGAAGATTTGGACACTCGCTTTGGTGAGTTCTATGGTAGAGAGAACGCTGTTGCGAATGCAGAAGCGAAGCTGCAACAGGCGAAGAGCAGGAATGACATAGAAAGCCAAAGTTTTCGAGGTGCGCTTTCAAGTGCGCTTTCCTTTCTACAGAGCCTTGCTAACGCAACGGGTAGTGGATACGATGCCGACCACAGACTCGATAACGTCCAAAATCTAGTAACGTCTATCAAGACGCGATGTGAGACACTGCGGGAGACCTGTTCCGAGAAAGACCAGAGTCTCACTGACCAGCAAGAGCACCTTCGGAAGGTCGAAGCCAAATTGGAATCGACGAGTCTGGAATTAGGAGACCTGAGGACGAGACACGGAAGAGAGATGGAGAAATTCAACTCCCTAAAGCAGACAAAGTTCAGAAAAGGGGCAGCGGTGGAAGCACTTGCGGAGATGCGAAGAAAGTTCGCTGACAAGACCGCAAGGCACGATGGACTTCTAGCCAGATATGCAACCCTAGAGGCGTATCACCAAAGCTATTCCGGGCAACTCGAGACAGCTAAAGAAGAGCATCTGGCGGACCAAGCGCAGATATCTGGACTGCGATCCCACCGCATACCGCAGCTAGAGGCCACCGAAAGGGACCTCCGATCTCAAGTAAGGGAACTCACAGAAGAAAAGAAGGAACTTACAGCTGGCCGTTTTGCCAGCGACGTGGAGGTCGGAGCAGTCAAAGTCGAAAACCAGCAACTGGAGGCCACGATACAAGACCTCCGAACTCAATTGTCTACAGCGGATGACCACGACAACGTTATGAGGAAGTCGTTCGACATTATACTGAACACAAAGGCTACCGAGGCTAATGTCTCTAGCGAAGCACATCAACGCTCGTTGCAGGCATTGGAAAAGGTCCAGGCCGTCAAACATTCACTCAACATAAGCCTCAGTGACAGTAACGAAGAGTGGCAGGCCGCGGCAAATGACAACAGCGCCCTGAAGGGGGAGAAGACCGAGCTGAGATTACAAATCTCTAACACCCAACGTCTTCTCACTGAGCGCAATACGAGGATCCAAGACCTCGTGTTGGTCGCCGAGGAGACCGAGACCAAGATCAATACTTTGGAATCTTAATCCAGTGAAAAGGACGCCACCATCACCCGCCTGGAAGATGCAGCTTCGAATGCTAGACAAAGGATTGTCGACCTCGAGTCTGACGTTGAGCAGAAGGATTCCCAGATCCAGGCCCTAAATGAAGGTCGCAATGCTAAACGCCAGAGGATCCAAGACCTCACGTCGGTCGCTGAGCAAACCGAGATGAAGATTACTACCTTGGAATCTCAATTCAGTGAAAAGGACGCCACCGTCACCCGCCTGGAAGATGCAGCTGCGAATCCTTGGATTGCCAATCTCGAGTCTGACGTTAAGCAGAAGGATTCCCAGATCCAAGATTCGGTTGAACGTTGACGGTCTCTTGAGGCCGACAACGAAAAATTGAACACCAATGTCGACGGACTTCAGGAGAAGCTGAAGACGGAGCAGGTGAGTGTCGATGATCGCTGATGTAGTTCCTTGGCTGATCGGAGGGCAGCGAGCGAACCACCGCCTCGAGCAACAAATAGTGGGTGTCAACGGTCTGGATGACCAACTAAGTGCCAAGAACACAGCGGTTGCAAACGCAGAGGCCACCTCCCAGAACCTCACCGCGGAGAACGAAAGATTATCCAAGGTCCTCGGAGAAGTGAACGGGCAGAATGAACTACTGAAGCAACGATCTGCTCAAGTGACTGATTCTCTGCGGACTGCTACAGAATCCCATCAGAGGTCGACAAAACCGGTTGGTGATGGTCAGAAAGAGCGCGATCATCTCAAGGCCGAGGTGCAGAACTTTCGCGTGGTCGTTCTCCCAGAAAATGAGATAACCATCAACAGTCTAAAGTCTGAAGTTTGCTAAGCAGAGGCAGGAGGCTAGTGCATCTCAGAAGAGGCTCAATACGCATGTGCTGAGGCTAGAAGACAAGAATCGAGAGCAGGATACTCAGCTAAGTCAAGTCGAGCAGGACAAGACATTGCTGCAAGGTGTTGCTGGAATGCGCAGGGCGATTTAAACCAAGGTACCATCGAGTCGCTCAAGGATGAAAGATACATAGTTCAATGTCGGAACGTCGAACTGAAAGCGCTTGTCGACAAGTGCATAATTGAGCATTCAGCGATCCGTCGCCTGAGCGAAGAACAAGATCGTCTACCGGAAGAGGATGCTGACACGGTGAGGGATAGTGACAATCTCCTCACCACTGCCGACGAAACCAACACCGAGCTCGAACCCTATGTGGAGGCCTCCCGCAAGCGCGGCCATGATCAAATGATTTCCGAAGGAGAGAAAGCTTCGTCTGCAGGTCAATCCAAACGCATGGCCCGAAGGTTGGGGAAAGCACCTGAGTCAACGGCCGGCGTCACTGAGAGGGCTACCGGTCTATCCGGTCCTGGAAATCAACTGGACGACTCGGTCAGCCCAGCGAGACATGGATCGAGGGGGCAAGGCACCTCAGGTGCGGCAGGCCCAAGTATCACGATCGCGCCTTCGGATAGCGTTGCCTTTACCTTCTCGGTCAACGATGCCAAGCTCGGGAACTTCTCATCGGACGTCCTCCCAAACGAGGTTCTTCAGGCACTTCGAAGGAGGTTTGGGGAGTGGAACTCAAAGTTGGGACTAGGCTGGATCAACATGCAGGCAGTTGGAACGGGTCAAAGACCAAGTTGCATAGAGGGACGTTTAGAGAAAAAGAAGTCTATGGGATGATGGTTCCGATAATGCCTGTGCCTTGTGTGAGAGGAGGGACCGTCTGTGTATGGTGGTTCACAGCCCGGAGCGAGTGTTGTTGTTGCCTCGAAAGGCTGCAGAGGATGAAGGGAGAAAGCCCACAGATACGATGTATTAGATAAGATGATTGTCAATTCTAGTACATGCAGGAGCTGTTCCCAGCGCATCAGATAGCAAAAACAATGTTTTCGTACGAGCTGCAAGCAATTGACGCCAATCTCATTTCTTCGTCTCTCATTCGTTACTTTAACGTATTACATCGTACTAGCGAATAACTCTCAAGCCGAAGAGCTACATACCGGTACAAAGCCGGAGTACACCAAGCTGGTCCACTCCACCGGATTGAAGTTCATCAAACCGTTACTAAGCCGGCCTTCCTCACCAAATCGGAACGTCCCAAAGTCGCTACTAAGTCGAAGCTTCTCAGACTGATTATCAAACCGGCTAAGCAGACCAAGGTCAGCATCCAAATCTACTTTGTTCTTCGCTTGATCGGCCTATGATGTTGAAATCAATACTCCTACGCCTCGAGATATACTTTTTAATTATCGCGATGGCTAGCGATGTAAATAAACAAAGACCTCTAAAGTCTAAATGGCAACTTGTACGTGGACTGATAGTCGCTCGAATAACGAAATTAAAGTCAAGTTTTTGATTCCTTAGCGAGCATCTAAGATGAATGGCGAGAGGCCTGGACGAGGACGTAGGTGTTGGAGAATGAGAAAGAAGCCGTAGTGTGGGTCTCCAGCATCGCAGTAGGGGTTCGACTGTACTTACGGAAGCAGCATATGCACGGATCTAAACCGTGCTTGATGATTCAAAAAGGCATTTTACGAGAATTCGAAGCTGGATCTCTCCCTCACCCCATCGGCGTACCCTGTCGACGTGTTCAATCGCCTCATCAAGCCGCTACACCAAGCCGCTACACCGGACCGTTACCAAATCGCTACACCAGATCGCTACACCAAAAGTTTACTTCAAGCCGCTGCACCTAACCGCTACACCAAGATTTCGCCATACTAAACCGCTACATTTAACCGCTACACCGAACCGCTGCACCAAATCGCTATACCAGAAACCTACTTGCCAAACCGCTACCCCACCACACCAAACCGCTACCCCAAGCCGCCACACCAAACCGCTACACCAAGAACCTGGCTTACACAATGACTCAACCGCTGCTGGGTGTCGGGAATATCAGAGCCAATACCTTCCACTTGGCAGGGCGAGTCTGTAACAACAGCATGTCTATAGAGCAGTCTACAATGTTAAATTTAATTGATCACGGGTAAATAGGTGCTGCCCTTTCACTCTGAGGGCCTGTCAGCTTGATGTACGCGATTGAAAATTCGACGTTCTCTATTTTGACGTGGCTGTGTTATGCAGCAAGTCTGATGAGATAAGAGTCCTCCTTGTATTCTCTTTTGAGCAAGTTGTCTCAACGCGATGGTACTCGCTTGCGGATGAAGTTTCGCAACCCTTCAATCCCCTCGCTTTTTCTGAAATGATACTTCCTCTTCTCCAACTCCTCCAGTCCAACGAATTGCTCCGGCAGCAGATCGCGGAATTGGAAATTCTTCTCATTCTCCAACGCTTGCGAAACCGCCTTGGAAAATTTTGCTGGATGAGCCGTAGCCAACGCGATGTGGGTAGTTCCCGGCGGTGGAGCGCGCTGAACAGATCTTAGGGCTGCTTCGACACCGATGGCGGAATGAGGATCCAGGATGTATTTGCCATGGTTCGTAGCGCCTGCGGTACCACTCGAGGCGTCTTCTTTGGCAGCTGGTGTCTGTGCGGAGTATTGCTGCCTGATCATTGCAATCGTCTGCTTGTTGGAGACACGCTCACTTTCAAAGTCCAGCTTTGCGGCTTCAAGGAGCTTGGGCTCGACGCCGAAACCCCCTTTTGATTTGAGCTCGTCCAGCCAGCCTTTAACCCTCCGTCCTGCTTCTGCCCTCTTTTCTTCAACGGTTTTCAGGCCTTCACCGTAGACTTGAAAAGCTAGGAACCATAGTAAGCGCTCGAAGTTGCTGCTTACAAGGATATCCATGGCGGGGCTGAACGTCTCTCGTACGCCGTCCTCGTGGGCTTTGACGCCATCTTCGGCGAAGCCTCCATTCACTTGACGGCCATGAATAGGTTTCTTCTCGTAATAGCCGGTTTTCCAAAATCTATCGAGGATGTCGTTCTCATTGGTCGCCACCACGAGTTTCTCTATGGGGAAGCCCATGCGTTTTGCAAAGTACCCCGCGAGGACGTCTCTACGCAGATTTCGGTGTCAGCAAAGGCCATTCGAGGCAGAGACTGGAGTTGCAAGACAGGTCTCGGGAGTAGAAGGGTCCTTTTGCTCCCGAGACATGCCATGTGACTCGATCTTACTACCGATTAGGAAGAAACAGCTCCGAAATGTACGAACCCAAAGTTGCCTGTGGGAACTACGAAGCGAACCTTGGAGCTTGCGTTGATCCTCCCGTCTCGAAGGAGTCGTCCTAGCGAAAATGCGTAGTAGGATCTGTATGAACGCGGATTCAGCATCTCGCTTTGCCAGGTGACAACGCCTTGTTGGGTTGATGCTGAAATGAGCGAGAGAAAATGGAAAACCCCCCAGTCCAATAACATGGAATCCGGCAGGAATGCTGAAAATAAATGCCAAACTGTACGTACATCTGTGCCAATATACGAGCCCAATTAATCGAATTGACGGCAGCGAGCTGATGAGTCCTCTTGATCTCAGCGTCTCCGAACAACTCTTTGACGAAGTCTTGACAATCGTCAAAGCTGCCATCAACGGCCACATTGTGCACGTTTTGGTCCAAGCTATTAGAGGTTTCGGAGTCAGCGTTTCTTCGTCAATGTATTAACGGAAGAAGGAGACAGGCTCAAGAAGCAAAAAGAACGATCTTGTGCCGAGAAATTGCCTCGACCCCTATCTTCTTTTGGCTTGAAAAAGAACATTCTTTGAGCACTTACACCGATGTCATCTGCGCTTCCTGTACTGGTGAGACCTTTCCTTCGGGAAACATTATCATAATATCGACCTGCGTATTTCAGAGTCAGCATGAATCATATAAGCTACAAGACTGGGTGACAAGATAGGCATGGGGAGCAGGATAAGCCCTCTGCATGCGAAACGCAACCGGCGGCTTAGATTTACGGCATTGGTGGAAGGAAGGCCCCGAAACATGGACTTACATCCTTCTTAGATCGAAGACCATAAATGGCCGCAGATCCAGTGTCACCGCTCGTTGCTCCGACTACAGTTAAGTGTTCCCTTGTTGATTCGGGTTTGTCCCCATTTTTACGAACAAGGAAGTACTCAAAAAGATTGCCAAGTAATTGTAGAGCAACATCCTTGAAAGCGAACGTAGGACCGTGGAAGAGCTCAAGCAAATACAACTGCTTCTCTTCATCCAAAGTCACCAAGGGAGTGACATCAGGGGCACGGAAAGTCGAATACGACTTGTTGACAATTTCCTTAAGATCTCTCGATGGAATTTCATTGGGGTCGATGTAGAGAGCGAAGATCTCGAAAGCTAGTTCTTCAAAATTCCTACCAGAAGGTCAGCGTTAGTGGATTTTATCAGCGATTGAAATGTAGGAACGTGCCAATCTGTCCAAAGCCCTTCCCAAATGGCGGGCATTGGCGGAACCTCTTGGGGTAGAAATAGGCCGCCTCAACATCCCGGTTAGCTAAGCTGGAAACAAGAGCCATATGAAAGGAGAGGACCAACCATCTGAAGCAAGGCCAGTGATGACAACCTCTTCGAAAGAACGCTGTGAGACGTATGAGCAAAGCGTGTGAGTCGGACGTTTGGGTAAGACGTGCATTTTGATCATGGGTACCCCCTCTGGATGAGAGATATCTTGTCGCCATTGAGTCAGGACCTTCGTATATGCTTCTTATAAAGCCATATGCAAGGTATGCTCAGACTCCAGATCTCAACGACGCTGAGAACTAGAATGTCGAATTTTTACGTTGTATGTCCATGCCTATTGGTCGCCTTATAGGGCTGAATTAGTTCTCGAACATTGCGGTCAGTCTACCTTACTAACATCTCTCCCTCGTCTCATCTCTCAGGTCATTCCATTTTTGCACACTTTTGTGGCTATCAACCAGAATGAGTTGAGTGTTCTTCTCGAACCTCCCTGAACAAAGGATATCCGGAGCAGGAAATACAGCTTCCCTTCACTTAAATTGATAGTGTTTAAGGTATGTTCCGTTACAATTGTCGCGGCAGCGCACCTCTTGACTTTACAAACTCTGGGATTGACTCTATGTGATCTTTGCTACATTCTCTTTCTGATGGGCTCTGGGAATACGACCAATGTCATGGCGCTCCCTTAACTTATCCACTTACTGCTTCGGCTTTGGCAGACGGCGCTTTCATCAGAAAAGTCCCAATGGACTTCGATTGGTATCATCATCGGTCAGTGCTGAATTTGAAGATGTCTTCCTGTCGATGCGTACATTTCGCTTTAACCGTCCTGAGGGCTTAGACGCATTTGTTGGTCACTTGACGGCTTATCAGTTGAGCCGGCTGCATTCCATTGCAATCGGATTGACCGTTTGCTTGGCCCACCTCCACGAGGGTAAGGTTGGACTCCTTGGCACGTCTGCCGACTCGCTTGCAATATATAGACTGCCGGGCTTATCCCGCTCGCAATGGCTGGTTTGGAATGGCAAGAACTATCCCGGGCCTATCTTATGATCGTGACGTTGACCAAGAAGAGTTCGACTTACTCGATGCCCTAGTCAAGCAGGCTGGTCAGAGTGCTCCCAGCTCGAGTGACTACCTGCGGCGTAGCAAAAGAGCACCCGCTGTCTACACGATGGCAAGTTGCTGTTGATGCTATCATAGCCAATGGTCGATTGCACTGGTCAACAGCTTGAGCGATCCAGCTACAGGATGTCAGCTGATATCGCTGTCTTCATCTTTGGTCTCCGTACAGTTCTTGCACGATAGTGAACATTATTTTGAATATAAAACTAGAATCCAAGCGGAGTGTATGGATTACAAAGTTGAAAGCATTGATTCATGTTAGCCAGGATTTGCAATCTTATGAGCACCGCACCCTCACGACACGCTTGCCAATCTCTGCTTCGCCAATCACTCGCTATATGTTGATGTTGATGACTGGAGAGTCGATCTTACGCGCTAGAAATTGGGTTTTCAAGGTTTCTAACGCCCAATACTCAAGCATGCGCTTCTGACAGCGCATGGAAACTGTACCATGACCTGATGCAGGGCTCTTTCCAATTGTCATGACAATCCTTTTCGCACCAGGGAATTGGAACTTTGAGCCGCCAATGATTCTGCCTCCAAGCGCAACGGACCCTGCCACCGCTGCATTGGTCATATGAAGTCTTCGAATGCGAGAATTCATGATTGCTAAGATGGCAGAAAACACTCATTCGAGGCTCTCAAGGATTCAGATGACTTTGATGGCTCCAATCCTCAATTGACAGCCCGAGAGCAGTTTCAGACTGAAAGAAACTGCAACACACGGAATCCTCTACCTCCAGTACTACCATCTCAACGCCTCCAGGCCCCTCTCCGTTCCCCTTTGCCCTCGCACATCACCACCCTCAGACTACACATGGCCTGCCGGCTGGACCTTCACCGTCACGCCAGGCCCAATCCTCATGCCGATCGAGCTCGGCGGACATCCTAGATTCATTCTACGGGCAAGTCATGGCTCTACGCAGCGGCTCGGATACTCGCAAATGCCGCCCCACTAGCCGTTGGCGTCGACATAGCTGACGGGCCCTTGGTGCTTGACTTCCTGGTGGTAGATGGGGCTAATTCGCATGGTCTGGAATGGAGCATTGTGTACTGGTTTGCGGCTTATATGCAGGCCATGGCAAGGAGAGGATACACTGGGCTGGGGAGTGTGACACTCAGGCACGAAAATGGGTGGGTGCTCGATGTGACATTGAGGCTGGCGTGGAGTGTGAGGGTTGGTGGAGGATTGTAATATTCAAAGTACCTGGACTCATTTGATTTTGCCCTCAGTTGGGTGATGATGGGTCTGAAACGCGTCTGAAGTACGCGATACCTATCTATGATACAAGTGGGCATGCGTATTGATTGGAACCTTAGTCCCTGAAGAGTTTGTACAGTAGGGGAAGGAGCTCTCCTTGCCGCTGTGGTGGCTCGAACTCTAGCCCCTAACACCGCTCCAGTAGAATGAACACAGCACCCTGGAATGGGCACCAAGAAGTGAAAACGCCTCCCTCGCTATGCGGTAGTATGGAACGCCGTAGTTGTTGAATTCTGTTCATGCTTTGGGTATCTTGCCGCGCAAAACCTTTTCCATGCATATAAGTGCGCCAGATACACCTCGCTATGCTTCGTCACATTTCCCTTGCAAACGCCGAAAAGATTAGTGTCGTGCCGCCGTCTTCCTCTTTTGTCCTCGATGAGAGTCCCCTGGTCGCGACCCTGGCATAGGTGGATAGCCATAGGTCTCGGCTTTTTTCTCCTCTTCAGGATTTCTTCCGCCCGGTGGTGCTGTTATGACGTTGCCACGTCGGACGAACGGTACCTGCACGGGCCCATTAGAAGGCAATGTTGGAGGGATGGGGAACCCAACGACAGGGATCCCAGCAGGAGGAGGGCCCCATGGTCGCATCTGAACAGGAGCCCCGTAAAACCGGTTGATGCCTTCCTGAATCTCACGGTCTCGCTTTTCCTTGATTGCATGGCTCTCAAGCTGTTGGTAGAACCTCAGTCTAGCTTGGCTCTCTGCCAATGGTATGATCGTGTTGAGCACAGGCTTCGCAATAGCCATTAGACGCCTCAATTCTGCTGCCAGTCGCTGCCCCTCTGCTGATGCGTAGAAGAGCTGCTTCGTAGTCCCACCAGGGTGACCGCGCCAATCTTTGTAGAGCATGATTTGGTCAATGATCCTGCTGACCTCCGTCTGGACCTGAGCGTCTGTTTGAGACGATGAGCTTCTGGAAGGAGAACTCATTCTTGTGTTCTTGTTTGGTGTTGGAATCTTGCCACCATTGCCCACGGCGAGTAACCAATCAATGTTCTCCCTAGAGGTAAAATCTCCAAGGCGTTCACCGGTAAAGAGTTTATGGTTCTCAGCTGGGGGGACGATATTTTGGTTGTCAGTCTTTGCTGGCATGAAGTCATCGTCTGTCAAGTCATCGTCTGTCAGATCGTCATCGCTGCGTGTCTCATCCTCTCCTCTGCTGTTGCCCTGCTTGTCGGCATCATCGACGTCGGTTTCGTCCAAGTCAACAACATTACTCGCCTCTTCTTTTTTATTACTGACGCCTTGGCCAGGAGCTTCGTTGCATGCTTTGCTTGTCTCCTCTTTTTCATTGCTGACGCCTTGGCCATCATTTTCCTTACTTGCGTTGCTTGCATCCTCCTCTTCATTGCTGATGTCTTGGCCAGCAGCTTTATCGTTCTCTTTTTTGGCTTCGGTCGTAGCTCCGATGATATCCTGGAGTGCTGTATGAGCTTCCTTGTTGTCATGTGGTGTCTCATGACCATCATGCGTGTTGGCTCGATTGTCACCGCTACCGACAGATCCAGATCCACTGGCTTGATTGGGGACCATAGAATTGGCATATGGTGAGGCATAATTTGCAGGAGGCTGGTTCACAGGATTGGAGTAGGGGGAGGCATAGCTATCCGGATGGGTAGCCAAAGGAATGGCATAAGGCGAAGCATAGTTGTTAAGATTCGCACCCACAGGAAGGCCGTGCGCCATTCCATAGGTGGGATGGTCAGAATATGGAGGACCATTTGCAGTTCCATAGGTATTCATATGGCGCTGGCCAACAGGATTTGAAATCATGCTGCCGCTGGCATAGGGTGTAACAACGTCCATGCCAGCCTCACCTTGTTGGATCTGGACTAGAATCGTTGTTGCCGCATCGAGCGCTTGGATGGCTTCTTGTGATCGTTTTTGTTTCTCTGGATGAGACAGATTAGTCTGTGGAGCAAGGCAGCAGTAGCACAAGCGACATACCATGTTTCTCGCTGTCCATTGCTTTGTTTTTGGTTGTGGCCTTAAACGAATTCTCTGCGTCAGTTATAGAGGTGCCTGCACGACTTGTGAGATCAGACGTTTCGGTAACGGTCGTCGCCCCAGAGGTTTCCAACCCAGTGGATGGACGAGACTCATCAGCATTTGAGGCTTCCCATTGAAGGGGATCATCTTTGCTGAAGAGAAAGTTGATGAAAGCCATGATTTCTGATGATGATGCAAGCAGTTTCACAGCGGAAAGAAATGGAGCATCATCTTTTCTTTCCTCAAGAGCCGACTTCAGGACCGCAGCAGAGTTACGGTTAGCCGAATCGCCAATATCAACAAGGGTATTAAACAGAAGCTTCCCGCAAGCATTCCGCTCAATAACACCAGTTGACATGTCTGTCGAGACTGAAGGTCCAAACAGTCTTTGTTTGAGCTCGTCGTTCAAGTCATCTTTCAACTGCATCTCTATAGGTGCTGCATCTCTCGGCCTCAATAAATTTCCTACTCCAGCAACAAATTTGCCGCTCAAGTCTACAGTCGGTAATAACATATTAGCTGCTATATCCACTTAAGATTGGGTACTGTTGGCTGCCAGCACAGGAGCAATACAGGAATACAAGAGAGAGACAAGCTTATACCATTTGCAGGCTCTTTCGCCTTCAATTGTTGCAATCTCTTTTTTTCTTTGCCTCTCGTCATGCGAACATCCTCTACATTGTCTCGCGCATCAACCATTTCTATATCATGTTCAGGTTGTGGGTTAGAATCTTTCTGCCCTGACTCGGATACTGCTGTTGTAAGACTCTTGTCTGAGATTTTGCGGATTAATTGCGCGACCCAGATGGCTAGATCACCTATATCACTTGGTTTATCTGTTAAGTCAAGGTCATGGCCAGCATAGGACTGTTGATTGTCATCGGTAAAGCCGTTCGGACGAAAAATCGCTTTTGCATGCGAAGGGGAGGTATGATCTGTTGGAACGGATTCGAAGCCCGTGTTGGTGATGAGGTTCTCGTTCTCCAATGTTGCTGATCCATTGACCAATTTTCTAATGCTTTTGCAACGCGAACCACGCTCCTTTACTGATGTGTCTGGGACCAACATGTCTTGAGCCGACATCCTCCTATTTTTGAGAGACCCTGATGCCGGCGATGCAGTTGTGGACTTGTCTTCGATATCTGGTGTACGTGATGGAGCGGCACGCTGTCCCAGTGCTATGCCAGAAGCCGACTTGTCTTCCTTTCCCAGACCTTGCGATGGTACGTCCTTCTTTTCTTCTTTTTGTGCTTTTCCAAGATCCTTCTCTTCATCAGTCCTCATACTAGCAGATATCACATCTATCCTTCTCAGCTTAGGCTTGGGCTCGTCCGCTGTGGTCTCGTTCACCAAGTCACCAGCTGGCTTTGCATGGGACCTCCGAGTCCCATACGTCTTGGGTCGGGGCGCCATGGCTTTGATGTCTTCAGCTTGTGATGGGTCGCATGTCCTCCCTAGGTAAAGGTAGGCATCTCTTAGACGTGTGTCATTAAAGTTGTGTTGGGAGTGAGCGGACTATTAGTGGAATGAGTTGAAGTTCACACTTACCGAGACTTAGGGCTTCTGCAACATGAGACTGATCTGCTTCGACAGTTGATGCAAGTCCAGGAGAGCTCCTGGAGTGTCGCTCACAGGCAGAACTTAGACCCGAAGGACTAGGGCGTTCAAAGAGGCATTGTGAAGGTAGGTTGATGGGGGTGAAAGAGACGTCAAGACGACGGAGTGCCGTTAACAGAAGAAAAGGCCTCGCTTAGGAATTTTAGCTCCGCTTGTCCTCCCCAAACATTTCTACGTTTTACTAGACTATTGGTAGCTCTACTTTGGCTTAGCAACTTGAATCATGCGAGTGGAGATCTTACTGCATCAGCAGCAAAGAAACTGCTTTGGTTATTTTGCTATATCAAGCACTTTCTGAGGAAATAAACACTCTCTTGGACAGAAAAGGTAGACACCGAGAGCCCGAAGTTTACCCACTGGCTCCGTCTTGGCACATTTGCGATCGGAATTGACAGGTCTCGCAGGTGTGTCCTTCCAGCTCTGTCTTTTACATACACAACTGCACAGAACAACATGCGACTACCGAATCAGCTACTGTCTTCTCTTCTGGTCTTATGCGCTGCATCTCTCGGTGTCGCAGCCACATGGGGGTTTGAAGATGCCACAGTCTCCGTGAATAAGAGAGGAGCTGGGGTAGGGGGAGGCTTCAAAGAAAAGTACGGATTGTCTTTTTCGCAAGCTTTATCGGACACTCAGACTGATCATAACATCCAGGATCGGACAAAACAAAGCTTTGTCGAAGCCTGTCACTCTAGGAGCATCAGAGACCCTCAAGATCCTCCTGACAACCAAAGAGGACAACAAAGCCAAAAGGCCGCATCAAGCATTCCTTCTGGTCCAAGATCCCCAGAGCAAATTAGACACATCCTTCGCATTTCAGGTCAAAGAGAATGGGAAGGGCAAGATTGAGCTCGTATGGCCCCCAACACAGCAAAGCTTTCTCGGTTGACCCTGAATTACAGACCCAGAAGGACCTCCCAACTCAACTACTATCCTCAACAGGACCTCTCGATGCGTCACTGATCATTGCATCGTTCGGCTCATCAAAGCCATACAACGGCAAAGCCTTCGATCTTACCATCGAGCTCGACTCTGGCTCTCCCTTACCCGCCTCTGAGAAGCCTTTGCGCTATGGAAAGCTTCCGGAGATCCACCATATATTCAAGTCAGACCCGAAAAGCCCCCCAAAAATCATTACACTGGTATTCGCAGCAGCTGTAATAGCGGCTCTGCCCATCTTGCTAGGCGCTGTAAGTACAAACATTGCTAGGCCCATATTTTCTGCTAATGAACTTTTGTGTAGTGGATATCACTCGGCGCAAATCTCAACCATTTCTCTAAAGCTTTTAGCAGCTCCCCAATCCCACACGCGCTGTTCTTCAGCTCGATCTTGGCTATGGAGGGCGTGTTCTTCATGTACTACACGTCTTGGAACCTGTTCCAGACACTACCACCAGCTCTTGGCATAGGATTGGTAACCTTCCTCAGCGGAAGCAGGGCATTGCGCGAGGTACAAGGACGGAGAATTGCCGGGCTGCGGTGAGATAGAACTGGCCAGACCAGCCAAAAAGAGTCCGGGAAGCTGCTGGCTCGATTTGTACACTACCATATATCAGGTCTACGGAAGGGAACTCCATCCGGTTCATTGGGGGTTTGCTACCTGATCGTGACAATTGTATCATCACCGACAACATAAAAGTGTCAAGCCTGCAAAGGAGATTTCGGGTTGATGGATGTACTGTGCAGGCATCCTCTATGCTAGTATGATAGCTCCCCAAAAGTTATCACGGCGGCTTGCCTGCAGGCGCGACGTTAGAGAACATTTTTTTTCGATTCAGCCGTGATAGCATCGCTCTAATGCAACCAAATGGACTTGCTCATGGCACATGAAAAAAAGCTCCTATCCGCAAGGCCTTGATACCTATGCCCTCAGCACTCTCGCACCAACCTTACCTCCTCCCCTCAGCCTGCATTTCCTTATGTGCCTTCCACTACACCATTTCAGAGTAAGCATCTCTCTTTTAAGACAGATTCATGAATTTGAAGACATCTTTGGGGAGCAGGGGCACGTTTCTTGCTCCTCAGACATGTCTTGGTGCTCGAAAAAGGATGTGAAAGGTGAAGAAATAACTTAAAAGGGGTGCTTACATGTCCCTCTGCTCTCTTCCACCCATTCCTAACATTATACGCCCCCACAGCCGCGACCCCCAAACTAATCAAATCCATCTTCCTAGCTTGCATCTTCTGTTTCTGCGCTTCTGCACCGCTTATTTCCCCCTCCTCGAGCTCCTTCTGGCGTGTGTGGTGCGCTTTTGCCGATTGATAGATGTTGTTTGCAGCGGCAATGGTGGCGACGCAGGCGAGACCTGTGTAAAGGAGTTGTTTTGGGGGCGGCTTTGGCTGCGCTTTCTTTCCGCCGCCGTCGTCCGAAGAGGAGTCGCTGTCGCTGTCGCTGTCGTAGCGTCTGCGAGGGCCGTGAGGGCCGTGAGAGCGTGATCGTAGGGGTCCCATGGAGCGAGAGCGGTCTGGAGGGTTGACGAGGACTGGGCCAGCGCGGACTACTGGGAGGTCTTTGTTGTAATGTCTGCGGCTGCGGATTCGATGCGGGCTTGAGCCATCGGTGTCGGAGTCGACTTCAGAGTCGGAATCAGAAGAATTGCGCCTATGGCGACCTGGAGGAGTTAGGAGGGCACGGATAGCTACGGTGGATCCAAGAATACCTTTGTTGGCGACCACCACTTCACGACGTTGCGGGTTGGCAGATCTGCTTGGGCTACGGGGCTGTCTCGGAGACGAATCTCGACGCCGTCTCGGTAAATCGTCGATCTCTACAATTCGGTGCTCGCGTGAGAAGCCAGGACCACGGGAGATACGTTCCCGATCAACGATTATCTCTGCTGGCGTATCCTTCGGGTTGAGATACTGCTGACGAGCGAAAGGCCTATCGTGCCATGTCTGGACGTATCCTTTGCGATCTGTTAGGTCAGGACTCATCGAATAGGCGGTAGAGCTCACCCTCATCCTTGTTGTGCCTTGTCTGGACGTATGCTTTGCGATCGGTTAGGTCAGGACCCATCGATTAGGCCGTTCAGCTCACCATCATTCCGGTCTGGCATTCTGATCGGTCGAGAAGAGAGAAACTCGGCAGGTGAATAGTGAACGTGAGGGAGAAATCAATTCAATCCAGTCAACATAAGCAGATCAAAACCAAATGAGAAGTCGCCACGCAAAAGGGTTCTGACCAGAACGCCGAGAATGAGAGGGAATATAGGTAAAAGAGCATCCGGGACGAGGCTGAGCTGCCTCAGGTCTGTACCGCTTTACGTTTCATATCAGGAATATAGCGGTAAAACACTACTACGTGTATGAGAATAAAAGCGCTCTTGTTGAACGGGTAGGATTCATCCAACACGATCCTTTAGCTCCTCCCCACAACTAAGACAAAGATGAGAGGTTTGAAACGGGTGAATTGATCCTCCTGGACGTGTACTGCCTGGCTCGATTTGGTAGTCTTTGCGCAGCGAAGTAGTCAAATGCTTGTAGTTCTAGACGCCCACTGTAACAGTAGTGGGCTCTCAGACGATTTGACAAGAAAGCCTTCGAGAGCGAATTGCGCATGCAAATACCTGATGCAGATGGATCGAAGAAGGTCGCTCAAAGCCTGGAAGGAGTTGAAGGAACCCGCGCCAAGCCGCCTGCGGAGTTGCTGACCTCATGCCGCAACTCGACCAGTCTAAAGTTTCCCTCCAAGCTATAAATCCTTCTCATTTCAACTGCCTTTGATCATCAGTGCCATCTTCAATGGGATCGTCTACTTCAAAAGCAGCCAAAACAGCTGCCGGCGCCGCTAGACGTCAATATCCCCAGCGCGTCTCACCTCCGCCAACGTCCAACGCCCCCTCCGCACCCCCTCCTCCAGCAGGCCAACCTACAGCTCCAGGTCCAACTGTACATCCTCGATCACAGGCCAGCAACACACGTGATGAATGTAGGCTCTCCTTTCTCAATTCTCTACTTGAAGCGAAACTGACACCGCCCATTAGCCATCAACCTCGATGCCTCTGACCCAGACTTTGCACGATCCCTCCGTTCTCTCGGCCCAGTCCAGCCCAGCTCAACTCTCTCGAACTCATCAACCTTCAGTCCCTCACCATCTCCCCCATCTCAAGGCCCTAGAAGCTCCCCAAACCAGTCACATCCACAAATCTTCCCCGACCCTAGCAAGAATCCTGCCCTGATGGTATTGACCGCGCGAGAGCGTCTACAGCAGCAGGCGGAGGTCGAATTTGCGAAGACGGGGAGGGGCCATGGAGGGAAAAGCTTCCTGGATGTTTCTACGATACGGCAGCTACTTGTACTAAGAGATGAAAGGGGGATGGGTGGAGAAGAGATTGAGAAGAGGTTGGGGCTGGCAAATGGTGTGGTGGGGAGACTGGGACCGAGGGGTGTCGTTGGAGACGTGAGAATCGGGAAAGTTGACAAAGATGACGCTGGAATATATGGATGAGGCGTTTTAGCATTCGCCCTTTATGCGGTGGTCTGCTCCACCAACGAGCTCCGAGGGTTACCAGCTTGCGTGCCCGCCATCTATCCTCATGTCGGCGCCTGTCATATATGAGCTTGCCGGGCTGAGGAGAAACACAGCGGCGCCTCTGAAGTCTTCTGGTTTGCTCAGCTTGCCGAGCATATTCTGCGCTGGCCACTCAGTTCGCCGCTCGGGGTAGAGGCGGAAAAGCTCTTCGACCATCGCGGTGACGATGTAACCAGGAGAGATGGTGTTGACTCGAATGCCATACTGGCCCCACTCTGAAGCCAAGTTCTTGGCTAGCTGGAGCACACCTTGATGGTTTCGGAGTCAGCTTTACTCTTTCCGGAGGAATTTAACTCGCGAGACATGTCTTAGGAGCAGAGAACTCTTTTACCGGCTTTTGATGCGTTATAGGCTGGACAGATGAGACCCTGGATAATTCAGCCTGGCGCATCAGAGCGATGGCTCCGGGAAGAACGACATACTCGATTGGCAACGTGCGCACTCATAGATGCAATCATGGCGATACTACCTCCGTTGCCAAATCTTATCATCTGTTTCGCTACAGCTTGCGCTGTCATAAATACGCCGGTGATATTGATCTCAAACATCATATTTGCGTCCTTGGCTGTATACTCCAAAGCTGTTGTCTCTTGCTGAATCCCTGCTGCCGCAATCAGCCCATCCATCCGTCCATGCTTGTCGCCTATGCTCGCAACGATTTTGTTCAAGCCGTCGACATCTCGGACATCAATTTGCCGGTAATAGAAAGTTGTTCCCAATTCCTCTGCTGCTCTTTTCTGCACGCGGTAGAAGTCCGGGGAAGGTTCTGGAAGCCGATCAAGCGCGTAGACTGTAGCACCAGCTTCGAGCAATGCCTCTGCTTGGGTGAGACCAAGGCCACGTGCAGCCCCTGACACGAGAACGACTTTATCTGTAAGATTAAACTCGGGTAGTCGTTTGGTCGTGCCTAGGAAGCTTGCTGAGGCCGTATTCTTTTGCAGATTCTCTCCTTCTTGTGGTGGAGGAGCTGGAGGCTCACGGCCGGGTGTCTTGGGCTCATTGCCGCGTGGTGGATCTTCTAATGTGGAAGTTTTTCCAAATGCGTGGCTTGTCGACAAAGGTCGTGAGATTGGAGGAACGTGTACTTTGACAAGCCTTAACGCACAAGGTAATCGGCGTGCAACAGCAGTCATACTCAGGACAGATGATGTTGAGGCTCTCCAGTTGATGCTGCATCAGGCGATTTCCAAAGGGTTTGCAGAAGACAAATCGCTGCTGTCAAGGACGATTGACCGTAAGAAGCCAGCAGACGTTTGAAGTAACTGGAAAAAGGAAACAAGAGGAAGTCTGCACGATAGGGGTTTTGTGATTGACAGCGAAATGATACAAGATACACCAATGAAGAAGACCTTCTGGATGTTGTATTTACTTTATCTAGGGGAAAGACGTCACCGTGGTGGCGGGGTAAGAAACGGCACGAATGTGAGACCAGAAGAATGGGATTCCATACGCGAACGATAGCGAACTCCCGATGCAAAAGGCGAGAATCTGAGACAGATGGGTCGAAGGCTTCAATTGACAATATGATACGTGTATCAAAGAAGCTGATTATGCAGCAAAATGCAACCAGAGTTCTCGGTTTCCAGTTTCCGTAGGGCGTTGAAGCGTTGTCCCGCCATTAGTTTAGCTCATCTCTCGCGTGCGTGCCACGAGTAGATATACCTCTAATAATTTCGCCTTTCTCTTATGAAAACATTGAGTTCTAACAGCGTTAAAATCCCAGTGAAACGAAGACAGTTTTGATGGATGCTCTTTGTAATCCGATTTTCAATTGTAAAGCTGATACCTGGATTTGGAGAGGGGGGCGTCAGATCTTCAATGCCAAGAATCGAAAGGAGTTATGCATACGCTAAATTTCTGTTAGGTCGCAAGGCTCTTATCAGAGGCTTGGACGGATAAAGTAGCTGCAGCTTGAGCAAGAATTCGCCCGTGATTATCGCTCTCACGATGGGATTCTGGCCTTCAACTGACACTGTCAGTCGGCTTCGCTCCTCGACAGAATCGACAGAATGGAAGACTCGACAGCCACCATGAGCAAGCCAACCTGGCAAGAGGTTGCAAAGGTAGCACAAAACCACCGAGATGATAGCATTCGACGCGTCGAGCCGCCAATCCCTGAGGTTCCAGACCCTGATCAGTTACCTCTTGATCGTACAGATGTCCCAAAGTACTTGCTTTCAACTGAAGAAACTGTCATTACTCAGACAGCACCTGAGGATCTTGTCGCCTCTCTTGCTTCAGGGAAATACACGAGCACTACCGTGACAAATGCATTCCTGCGACGGGCTGGCCTTGCGCAAGCTCTAGCTAATTGTATCACCGAGCTCCTCCCAGAGCAAGCGATGGCCCGAGCCAAGTTTCTTGACGAATACCTCTCTAAGCATGGAAAGCCAATCGGCCCTTTACATGGTCTGCCAATCAGCGTCAAAGAGCATATTGGAATGAAAGATTTGGGATTGAACGCAGGATTCGTTAGCTGGTGGGATCGAAAAGGGGAGGATGATGCGCTTGTCTTGAAGATCTTAAACAACGCCGGCTGTGTGTTCTACGCTCGCACGACCCAGCCTCAGACCTTGATGCACCTCGAGACGTCTAGCAACCTCTATGGAGTGACTGTGAACCCTTTTAATAGTCAGCTGACTCCTGGTGGTAGTTCAGGGGGCGAAGGAGCCCTGCTTGCATTGCGAGGGAGTTGTCTAGGTCTCGGGACAGACATCGGAGGCAGCATCAGAAGTCCTTCGGCAAATTGTGGAGTATACGGATTGCGACCATCAAGCTACAGGATACCGGTAAGCGGATGGTCCGCCACAATGCTTGGCCAGGAGCAGATTATTGCGGTCCTTGGACCCCTGAGTACTTCACTTGAAGGAGTGAAGCTGTTCATGAAGACAGTAATCAGTGGAAAACCCTGGCTGAACGAGCCATCATTGGTCCCACTCCCTTGGAGAGACCAAGAAAGCTACCTTGATAAACCTTCTGGGAAGAAACTCAAGGTTGGAGTCATATGGCACGATGGCGTTGTCAAGCCGCATCCACCTGTCCTACGGGCATTGCAAGAAGTGGTGGACAAGCTCAAAAATGTGCCATCGGTCGAGATTGTTGAATGGAAGCCATATAAGCATGACGAAGCTTGGAGCATCATTTCCAGTCTGTATTTCTGTGATGGAGGTCAACAAGAGACTGCTGCCATCGAAGCGTCGGGCGAGCCGTGGCGACCGTTATCCAAGTTCATCCTGAAGGACAACCCATGGGTGAAGAGGCTCACCGTTGAGGAGATTTGGCACTGGACTACGAAGAGAGAAACTTACAAGACAGAATACGCGAAAGTTTGGAACGACACCGCGACTGGAACCAGCGAGACTGGTGAGCTCGAAGGCGTCGTTGATGTGATCCTCTGCCCCGTAGGCCCAGGGGTGGCTCCTCCACTGGACTGTGCAAGATATTGGGGCTATACGGCCCAATGGAACTTGCTCGACTATCCAGCGCTAATCTTTCCAGTGACAAAGGTAGACCCAACAATGGACGTGGTAGATCAGGACTACAGGCCAATGAACGAGAAGGACGAGTACAACCACCAGCTGTGGAAGTCTGGGCCTGAGAAGTACAAAGGTGCCCCAGTATCATTGCAACTAGTCGGACGAAGATACGAGGATGAGAAGGTATGATAAGGAGCCCCTTCAAGGTACAGGTAGCAGGTTGCTAATGCCTCCAGGTAATTGAGGCTATGGAATTTATCAAGGAGAATACTGGTCTTCCATTTGCTAATTTCGTGTAACGGACGAGTCATGTCTCTAATGGGAAGCCATGTTTTAGAAGGTTGTTGGACGGATTCTGTTCGACAGAAGATGTTGTCCTGTACCGTTGATAGCGCTGAAGTGGTGTTGGAGGAACCGTCTCCTGTTGAGCCTTCGTAGTAAATTGAGGCTAAATTGACCCTGAGACAAATTTTGGTTACCTCATTCACCCGATGATGTCACAAATGGAATTCCCACAAACCCATCCACTCTATATATTCAGAACAGCAACTTAACGACCATCAATCACACCATTGATTAAATTGCACAAAAACTACCAACGCATCCTTCCTTCATTCAAACACATCAGCTGAGACTAAAATGCCTCGAGCAATGGCACCACCGCCATCGGGCGAGTTCTCAATTCGCTTGACACAGAGTTTCAGTCCGCCTTGCCTCAACCAACCATATGTATTCTATTCGCAATACTGACATGACCGTACAGGCCAGACACCAACCAAGAAAATCGAAATCATTGGAGAACCCAACCGTTCAGCAAACATCAAGGTCACAGACCACACTGGGAAGAACAACCAGAATATCCATGTGAAGACGGGCGATATCCCACAGTACGTACTGTCAAGCCAAGCATTCAACGGAGACCCCGCGCCGTCTCTGCTCTAATCCTTTTTTGATTTGGAAAAATGGACGAGCACCCAATGCGTTTCCCCGGGAGTGCCTACCTGGTGTCCGGGTAAAGAGCCCGGAAGGGGCACCCCAAGCAAGTCAGCTCGAAAACCGTTCAGATGCAGGACGAAAATACATATGCAATCGTACAGTCGCTAACACGGAGCCAGCGACGACGTCAACGAGCTCCTCGCCGTAGTCCGCCCCTTGGAAGGCTTGCCCACAAACCCCGACGTGGACGTCTACGGCTTCGACACCCGCATCATCCTGTCGACGTTCGAGGTCCAGTGGGACAACGGGGAGGAAGTCGAGGGCGCCGAGGCTCCTACTAACCCGACGGAGGAGAACAAGCAGACGTTCAAGGATGTGATGGATAGTATCATGACGTTGACGAGAATGAAGGCGAAGAAGGATGCTTAGGTTTTGCCAGTGTGGGCGTGTTGCTCAGGGACAGTAGCGTAGCAGGTGCTCGCATTGGGCAGATAAGAGGCGATTCTCTTAGGCATTCATCATGGTAATGGTCAATAGCAATCACTACGGGTCATGTTTAGATGTGCTTGATGTATTTCTGTTTTTGCGTCAGGCTTCTGTACCCCCTGCACCTGTTGGGTTGCGCCAAGGGGCACTGAGTCCAGTTGAGTCGAGTAGCTCACATGCAGCCCACCAAGTCTGAAATTCACTTGTCATCACAAAAGACTGCATTAAAATTCAGGTCCTGTCACAACTTTTTCTAATCTCTCATTCTCATCCTCATCGATACTTGGCTGTCTAGCTGTCTCCGAAGCAAAATGGATCATGCAATTTTTACCCTTCTGGGCAGAAGGTCCAGCTGGGTCTCACGGTGGCATGCCCTCTTCTCTACAGCAAAAGACGGGGATATCTCCGGTACACCTCAAGGTTTCCTAGAGTCAGGGTCTGCAAAAGTCTCCAATACTAGCGTGAAAAGCTCGCTCCTTACATTTGTACGGTACCCTATCGATTGTGTAAGCAAACGCTCAAAACCGAAAAGCCCGACTCCTCCGTCCCAATTCGAAGCCCTTCCGCGGGGGCTCATCTTGGAGATGACGCAGTACCTCTCGCTGAGCAGCGGGCTGTCCTTGAGTTATGCATGCAGGAGTTTCCGACACAAAGTTGAAGCTAGGGTGGAGGACCTAGACTACCTGATCGAAATTAAAAGCTTCTTGAAAGACCCGAAGGAGTCAAAGACGAAAGAAAGGTAGTGTTTGAGAGGCTAGCTTTCCTTTGCATGCTGGAACGAGATGGGCGATTGTCCGCGTCAAAAGCTGTAGGCGGTGGATGCAAGACAACTCACAACATCTCTCTCTTCTCTTCCACAGCTCTTCAACAAAGGCCTCACCAGCGCCTCTGTATGGGGTGTGAGGGAACATTATGGATATGTCCTCACATAACTTGGGATCGCGCACATTCCAAAGAGGTCCAGAAGCAGGGCTGCAGAACGAAGAAGTCTGTGGCAAAGTGTGGATGTCCAAATGTAAATTCTCCACCAACGGAAGGAACCTCATTATCCATCTTCTATCCTGTCCTCGCCATGCCCCAAGGATCCGCATTTCATACCGCTTCGATTCAAAAGGCCCTGAGAGCACTTGGCGTGAACATTTGTCCTCATCAGAGATTTGGAGATCCCGATGCGCTTGATGCCTTTCACTCCGGCCGCCCTCGATTGGAGGACCCCTGGTCCTTGGACAAGTGTGTTCGATGTGCTTCTCGCGGATCACGAAGTGTGCATGGTGTCGAAGTCAACTGTGAATCATGCGAGACTCGGACTGCCTTCTTCCTATCAGAGTCGCATGACGAAACCACTACTCTATGGGCGCAAGAGTCCCGACGTATTGCCAAATCCGCAGAGAGTGTTACGGATCCCACGTGGATTTCATACCTATACACGCCGGCAAAAATTCAATTGCCAGAGAAAGAATGGAAGCAAACTCGATGGGCAACATATCTGCCTCCAAGCGGAATATGTCGACACCACGTCTAGGACAACGCAACTTCGAGCTAGCAGGACGGCTATCTAAATTTCTGGCAGCCTAGGGCGGTAGCTTTCTTGTGCTTGCGTTAAATCGGGGTATGATACTATTTCAAATCATCGACCATGCTTGAAACTGCTTCAAGTTTGATAGTTGTTTCGTCGGATTAGGGTATGATACCCATAATCGTTGCCATCCAAGTCTAAAATTGTTTCAGATCTCACGGATATATTTTCAGGAAGTGAAAACACTGCGTTTCGTGTGTGGAAGCAAAGGAAGCACAGAAGAGGTCCCCCTGTCTGATTCCATGTCTGAGGAAGGATCGGCACGTGGGCATTCGATTCCATTCGATATCTCTGGTGCTCTTGTATGTAGTGTTGGTAAGAGCAAAGAATCTTTAACCCAGCTTGGTGTCTCTCTTGCTTCTCTGTTGCTGTGCTGCCCTTGAACAGATCCCGCCTAATGTATACGGAATGAGCACAGCGGAAGAGGTCCTTACGTGGATGTCGAGGCTGTGAAGTGTGTGAAGTGAAGATCGGGAGATCTGCAGGGAAAGCCGCTGAGCCTCAAACGCGTCAATGGAAAAGGGAAATGACGTTTATATCGGCTGAGGTAATGTATCAGAACTGCCTTGGAAAAACTTGGCAACATGGCGCAGTCACGTTTCTATTAATTGATGACTTTAAAACAGTGCTCCAGTGGTACTCCTGACGGGCCCGGCTGCTGGCGGTGTCTCAGTAATCCAATCTTTCTTTTTAACACTTCACCGACACTTCTCCGGTCCTTTCGCTCCCGAAGCACTCTCTTGCAACTAATTTGTGCGCTCCAACCTTGATAAAACCAAATCAATTGTCGCTCTCGTTCTCATTTCTTGTTCCCCTCATGAAGGTGTAAAAGTGGTCGCTATTTTTCAGTTCATCAAAGTCGGGAATATAGACAAGGATGGGCGCTACATCACGCGCTTGTGCGCTCTTGTTCGCCTTAGCTGCATCTGGCCATGGTAAACATTCCAGAAGATCACAGAAGGGAAGAACGTCGCTAATCCATTACCCAGCATCTTTTCTCCTTCCAAGAGCTGATTCGCCAAAGGTCGAGTCCAATGTCGCTACACCAGAGTTGGAAATTCGAGCCTTCCCAAACGCTCCGGATGGCTACACCCCTCAAAATACCACCTGTCCTTCGACCCGACCCACCATTCGTAGCGCATCTGCTCTATCCGACAATGAAACATCATGGCTGGAGATGAGAAGGAACAACACAATGGATCCCATGCGGGACTTACTAGGAAGACTGAACATATCTGGCTTCGACGCCGAGTCATACATCACCAAATATGCCAACAATGCCTCAGCCCTGCCCAACATCGCTATTGCTGTCAGCGGAGGCGGATACAGAGCTTGCTTGAATGGTGGAGGTGCCGTTCAGGCCTTCGACAGCCGAGAGATCAATTCAACTGCTGCTGGACATCTTGGAGGATTATTGCAGTCTGCGACGTACCTGGCTGGTCTATCGGGAGGTGGATGGCTTGTGGGCAGTATTTACGTCAACAACTTCACGACAATCACAGGCCTTCTCGATAACAATGCTAGCCCTGTCTGGCAATTTGGTAATTCGATTTTCGAGGGTCCGGCTAGCGGCAGCATTCAGTGCGTATATTCCAAGTCCCAATTTCCTCTTTGGGATCAATCAATGAGTCTTGACATATGTCTCGAGAGGCTTTGTACTCGACATATGTTTCAACTCAATGTATCCCCTCAAATTAGCAATACTGACTGTGAAATTGTAATCCAGGGTACTAGACTCCGCGGAATATTACACGGATATCGAACACGAAGTGAGCGGAAAAGGGGACGCTGGGTTCAATACCTCGGTGACAGATTATTGGGGGCGCGGTACGTTTATTCAGAGTCCTCATCGCCTCTTTTGGCCCAGATGTTGAGCCTCGAAACATGTCTCGGAGGTTCATACTATAAGACGTCTCCGAAGACTTGAAACCCTATTATGAATAGGAAGTGCTGACTTTGGAATCATTGACAGCTTTATCTTTTCAACTTGTGAATGCGAGTGACGGCGGCGCAAGCTATACGTGGTCGTCAATTCAATTGCAGGAAAGCTTTGCCAATGCCGACTCTCCCATGCCCATCTTGGTTACGGATGGCCGTGCTCCAGGAGAGACCTTGATCTCAGGGAATACGACAATCTACGAATTCAACCCCTTCGAGTTTGGAACCTGGGATCCCACTACTTATGGCTTTGTTCCTCTGGAGTTCCTGGGATCCAATTTCTCAGGTGGTATTCTGGCCAAAAATGAACAATGTGTTCGGGGTTTCGACAATGCCGGTTACGTAATGGGAACTTCGTCCTCACTCTTCAATCAATTCATCCTGGACGTGAACCAAACATCAATACCGCAACTTGCCAAAAGCTTCGTGAGCGACATCTTGAGCCGTTTCAGCAAGTCTGACAACGACATTGCACAATATCAGCCAAATCCCTTTTATGGCTACAACACAAAGACCTCTCAAGTTTATCAGGAGCCAGCCCTCAGTCTCGTCGATGGAGGCGAAGACCTCGAAAACATCCCTCTCCACCCGCTTATCCAGCCATTCCGCCATGTGGACGTAATTTTCGCTGTGGATTCATCAGCTGACACGAACAACTATTGGCCGAATGGCACATCCCTCGTGGCAACCTACGAGCGCAGCTTGAACGGTACTTCTGCTGATGCGGGGAATCTTGCAAATGGCACATCATTCCCTGCAGTTCCCGACCAAAATACTTTCGTCAACCTAGGTCTGAACACGCGACCTACGTTCTTCGGTTGCAACTCGTCAAATACCTCATCTCCCACACCTCTGGTCATCTACATACCTAATTCCCCCTACATCTATCAAAGCAACGTCTCGACCTTCGACCCGAGCTACAATACCAGCCAGCGCGATCTTATCGTAGAAAATGGCTACAATGTGGCTACCATGGGTAATGGAACAGTGAACTCCACGTGGCCTGTGTGTGTAGGATGCGCGATTTTGCAAAGAAGCTTGGAAAGAACACAGACGGCGATGCCACAGGTTTGCACTCAATGCTTCGCAGACTTCTGCTGGGATGGCACGGTCAACAGTACGAACCCGGCAGGTTACGAGCCCGCCTACAAGCTCGCCCCCGCGAAGAAGAGCGCCGCAACACGAGAAGGTGTTTCCTACAGCTTTGCCGCTATTGTCGCAACGGCGATATTGGTGACGGCCTTATAACAAGGCCAACCTGTACGACTAGTATGTATGAGAAGGTTGAGATGAGAGGGAAAGTTGCGACGATTGGCATGCGGGAACGACTGAAGATAGTAGCATTGGAAAGAAGACGTCCTGTCCACTTGCTCGGCTCACAGCCAGCGCAAGGAAAACTCCATGCCACGATCACGACTTGATTAATGCTTGCGCATATAGAGGCGTTCTTTTTCTTTAGTACCCTCGGTCTCTTCTTGCCTGATCACTTTGTATCTTACATAGTTCTTTGTATCTTACACACCGAGACCAAAATCCCACAGACCGCGTCTCCCCACGTCACGTACCCACGTGACACGACCTGCATCGGTCTTCCGCGGGCATTAGCTCCTCCCCAGTCACACACACGCACAAATGTTCCGCATACTCACACCCAGTCGTTTGCACCTCGAACGAGTCTCGTCCCCAATTATGATCAAAAAGCTCGAGCACGAACGACAGGGTACAGGGGGCCCTTTTTTCGGATGGTTTCCCAACCAACAGGACCGTCCGCCCACTTTTTTTAATCTTTTTATTTTTATTTTTATTTTTCCCCCCTTTCCAACACCAGCAGTAGTAGTAAGGTAGGTAGGTAGTCCGGGGTTGTTTTTTTCTCTTTTTCTCTTTTTCTCTTTTTCTTCTTTTTTTTTTTTTTCGTCCATTTTTATTTTTGGGCCCCGAACCATCCCATCCCATCACCCCCCCACGCCCCGTCACAATCACCCCCATCCCATTTCGGAGAATTCGTCCCTGCCCCCATGCGAACAAGGGAACCCCTTCCTTCTTCTTCTTCTTCTTCTTCTTCTTCTTCTTCTTCTTCTTCTTCTTCTTCTTCTTCTTCTTCTTTCACGTCACGTCAAGCGCAAAAGGAAAGGAAAGGGGAAGGGGAAAAACCTCGACGCTTACCCTTAGCTCAGGCAAGCCCTGACGCACGCACGCACGTCCCCCTGGTTCTTTCTTCTTTTTTTGTTTTTTTTTTTTTTTTTTGTTTTCGGCTCCGGGGGAAAAGTGTCTTGGTCGGAATGATGCGCGCGCAGCCGTGGGGCTTTTTTTCCCTTGGCGTGCGCGTTGGGCTGGCTGTCGGGGTTTGGGAGATTTCTTTTTGGACAGGGCTTGGGGGGTTGGGGATTGGATTGGGGATTGGGGATTGCTGCTGCTGCTGCTGCTGCTGCTGCTGCTGCTACTGCTACTATGTTGATAATGATGATAGTTGTAGAGAAGGGATTCGAGGATTCCCGCCGCCGCTTGCCAGAAGCGGGGGTCGCCAGGCGAGAAGGAAGGGAAGGGTGATTGATGGATGGAGTTTGGGTACTATAGTTACGGTAGTGTGTTTGCCATTGGGGGTTTTTTCCCTTCTTCTCTCGAAATGAAACGGAGTAAATAAGTGATGCGACGGACGGAGATGATCGATCAGCTCGCTTAACGGACAAAGGTGTTGGATATTTAAATCCCTTCTTTCTCTCCGAGTCTATCGAACTAGCTCGGCGCAGGAAGTCTGGTTTCGAATCTCCCTCCTCCGTCGCAGGGGAACAAGTTTCATCATGGAAGGAAGTTCGGAGAATTGATCCGCCTCCATCACAGGCCGGCGCACGAGCCTTTTGCCTTTCCTTTCCTATTTCTCCATCTCCGGTAATTAAACAGAAGACCGGGTCATGTCGTGATCCGTTACCCGACGAGTACTTTCTACGCCCCCCCACCCCGAAAAAAACCCCCACGGGTTGCCATAAAAACCCCCACGGCCGCAAAAATAACCCACACCAGGTCCACTGTCCACAAGGTACCTCCCATGCCCGAAAGGCCTGCCCCGAAGCCGAAGGGGGGAGGGGGAGGGAGGACCCAACTCCAAGAGGCGAAGGAATCCAGTCGCCATCTCGCCCCCACCCGAGCCGCGCAGCGATGGAATCCTGGAAACGTGCATTCCGAACGATTGATGTACCCTTTCGCACTATTGTGTGATTGTGGTCACTCGGTACCGGTGATCAATGTACATACGCCCCGCAGGGACCCCGAAAAAAAAAAGAAAAAAACCAATCCTGCACGTCGGCAGCCCACTTCCTTCCTTTCCCCCCCCCTTATGCAGATGCAGATGCATGTGCCCAGATTGCGCCATGCGTGCAGCAAAATCCCAGCCAGTTGCAGGCTTGCAGCAAAGACCCGCCCACCTGCATGCATGCATGCCCTGCTGCTGCGGCTTCGGTTGGAAGATCATTTGGTGGTGGGGGAGGGAAGGGAAAAAAAGGGGGTTGTTTTTGTTAGTTGGGACTCGGGAGTGCCGAGGGAAGGGTCGCATGAGGATGTTTGAGTGGACGAACCTGACTCGCATGAAGATGGCTGTGCTGCTGCATGACACGGCCTTTAAATTTTAAATTTTTTTTTCTCTCAATCAATCTCGCCCGGGGTCTCGATCTCGATCGAATTGCAACCCGACCCGGCGTGGTGGGCCGTGGGACGCGCGACGACCTCCTCCATTCGGCGCTATGGTATGGAAAAAGATGCTGAAAAGATATGCGGTCACTTTCTTTATCTTTGATCTTTTGCCCATTGTCGATAAGACTTCAGCACTCCTCTCGAGGCGGTGAGAAGAGAAACGTGCGTAGGTTGCGGCCAATGGAAGAAGAGGAAGAAGAGGAAGAAGAAGAAAGAAATAACAATAATGTAATGAATGATACTGATAACGATCGCTTGACACTCGTATGATTAAGGCATGTTTTTGATGAGTTGGCATCATTACTAGAAAGCATGTAAACCATTTTGAGCAATGAGAGAAGACATAGCGATTTATAGGCCAATGTTTGTGAATTATATTATCATCTACCTATTGCGCTTTTACTTCCCTTCCTTCGGGCAGGGTTGCATGGGATACCGAGATGGTGATGACGATGATGATGATGACGATGATGATGATGATGATGATGATGATGATGAGGTGCAGTGGGATCCGTGCGTGCAGGTTGCAGCTTGCAGCAAGAGAAAAAAAGCATCGGTTGTAAGCACGGATCCGGTGTGTCGGGATTATGATTAACTACGGCAAGTACTTTACTCCTGTCTGTGGGAAGGCAGGAAGCGAGATGGGATTCACCGCTACTTACTAATTATACCTTAGCTTACTTTACCTTACCTTACCTTATGCTAGGTACATGCACGACATACGAGTAAGCTTAGCCTCCTTAGGCACGTGTATCTTCTTCTTTTTTTTTTTTTTTTCTTCTTTCCTCCACTGCCCAATTGCCCATCTTCTCAAATCTCAATTCGTGCTGCCAACTTTCTATCTTTCCTTTTTTCCCATCCCGCTTCTGGATATCTTTGCGACGCTATCTTGCCATGCTGTTGCCCTGGTTCTTGCCTTGTCTCGGACATGATACCTCAGGAAGAGAGCGGCCTTACTGCATGCGGTTACAGTGTTCGTGATTGTGAGAACACGTGCGAGTCCTTTCCACTTCTCTCTTTTTCTGTCTTCGTATATTTCCTCCATTACCATGTGTATCCACTCGCCCAGCGATGGTGTAGTAGAGTCTATGTGCACACGTTCCCATTAAATACAGATCCCATCCTAATTCCCCCTCCCGTGTAGCTCTGTGGAGACATATATCCTCAATGCAATCTAAATGTTGGACCAACACCAAGGACAAGGACAAGGACCCCCGGGTGTGATTTGCCTGCCAGAAAACCGCCCACCAAGACAGGACTGTAATCTAACCCAATTGCCCGCACCTAACCATGAAGGGGGGTTGGAGAAACAACGACGCTGCACGCTCAGAACGCTGACAATGCTGACCAGGTCATGGGGGTATCTTTTGCGCGGAAATATATAGACAAATTCAAAGTAGAGTTACTCGCTAAAGCGCTCAATGAGTCATGTTTTCAAGTTGAGTAGGAAGCAATATATATACACCGCTTTTAGGGTCTTGTTTTCCCCTCATATCTATCACCGTGTCGTAGATGGGTCGAAAGGACCGGTTTGAAGAGAGAGGCGAGCGTGGTCGCCTCCCTGGATATGCTCGGTGGGTTTGCTTGCCATCCGCTGCTCGTACTGAGGCATGGGCCGTGCTGGCTCAGCAGACTGTGGAGAGGGTCCAGTAGGGGGCACGTAGGCACTTGTTCTTCGCCTAGTATTTCGGCCTCCGGTGCGGTTTCCAGTCTCCGGTCCTTCAAACTGCACATTAGGATACCCCATGGATCCACCGATGGAGGAATGTCGCCTCTGCCTTGGCGACAGCGGTCGAGCCAGGACATGTGTTTGACCAGGTTGGCGAACTGCTACTTCGCGGAAGTAATCCCTTTCCCTCCTATAATGTTCTCTTTCTTCCTCCATCTGTCGGATTTGGTCTTCCAGCTTCGCAATGTTTTGAGAATTCTCGCGCTCCTTTTCCTTCCGACGTTGACGGAACCGGTGGGAGGCCGTGGCATTGCGCTTGCGTTTCTCGTCAGCGACTTTCGACGCAGCTTGCACGTCAACAGGTACCTGAATGGGACCTTGTTCGGTGTCGAGAGTCATCATTTGATATGTACTCCCGCCCGCCGTGCTGCCCGATGCCGCGTCAAATCCCATGTGGGCCATCGACGAGGCCGGACCCGGCGCGGTAAATGGTGCAGTGAAGAACGACTGCGGTTGACCGGTAGATGGAGGTGGAGCAGGAGGAGGCGTGTGACTGACTTGGCTGTAGGACGAATATTGAGTGCTGGGGCTGTCACCTTGAGAGGCTACCGATTGAGGTCCCGTTGCCATGCCACCTTTTCTCTCCAGCAGATTCTGCATATGAGAGTAGCGGGTGGAGTCTTGGCTACCTCTACGACCAGGAGGGGATCTTGCAGGCGGCAAAGGAGCACCGTAAGGGTCGCCAGGCAAAGAGGTGGCGGTGGCAAGGTCCGGAAGACTTCCTCGTCCTCCTGCACCGTTATGATCTCGAGGCAGGACGAAGGGTGACTGTTTCACATCCATCGTCCCGCTCGGATTGTTTATGGTGACAGAGCCAGGGCCGTAGCTTGATGGCGACAGATGGGGAGTCATCGCCCGACCCAAAGGCAGAGGATGCACGCTGACCAAAGGCGGCGTAATACTGGGTAATGTCATGCTGACTGGAGACCGATTGGTCATGGAAGTCGGAGGCAAAGATGGAGTTGACGCGCGAGGCATTGCGGTAAGAGGACTTGCTCTCGGAGGGGAATCCACATGCTCGGCATTTCGGCGTCGGCTCTGGATCTTGGTCGTTTCTCCACTTGTTGCAGGATTAAGCAAGTTTTGGACACCGATGGGACGCGACGGTCGCTGGTCTGGAGGCGTGGAGGATGGCGGTGGTGTCGGTTGTGCGGAACAATTTTGCGTGGCGGAAATGTTCGGAGCACCATTTTTTGATACTCCGGGGGCGGTTGTATTCTGGATGGGCGGTAGAGTTCTGGATCCCAGGGGAGGAAGACGTTTGGTTCTGTCATGCGGAGAGCTGGACGAAGGACGCGACGAAGCAGGCCGCTGCGACATGTGTACCTCCTCCAGGAATCGGCGGTTCTCTGAACGCCCGTGGCATTGAATTGGGAGGTTGTCTTTGGAATGATTGTTGGTATCTCTGCAAGGTAGATGATGTCTATACTGACTATGGTACCACCTCGCAACAATGTCAGGACAATTCTGCTCGATCTCGGGAATCGACAAAGGTATTCCCCGAGAAGATGAGGTGGGGACGTGAAAAGGTAGGACCTCCACGTTGGCGGCTAGAGGGACGAATGATGTCCCGGAATATAAATAAATAGGGAGGACTCGGCTGGATTGGGCAATGCAGTGGAGACGAGGTACAAATTAAGAGATGGATGAAAGTAGATAAGCGCCAGGTGGAGTTAAGATTGACAGTGAGCGGACTTGATGGTATATGGACGGCGCGTGATGTAGCAGGGAGGTTTGGGCAGCGTAGCAAAGGTAATTGTAGTGAGTCGTAAGAGATGTCAGGTTGAAAGAAGGAATATGGGGCGACCGTTCAAGTATTTAGCTTGGGTTGCAACTTGCAAGCAGCATGCAGGAAGCGGTGAGCTATGAGGTGTCATCATAGCTCGTAAACTGCGTGTCACCCTTTCACCCTTACCCTTACCCTTACCACCTTGGCCCTGTGAGATCCAGGGACATGAAACTAAACAATCCCAGCCAACTCATCCTTGGAGCGTCGAGACACTACTACCGGGGGTGGTTTTTTTGGTTCCATTGGGTCGGGCGGCGGGCACGGGGAGCACGGGAACATGTCCTTAGAAGCTTAGAAGATGTTAGACCTGGCTTAGGGCCATCGGGGGGGGGGGGCAAGGGACTCTAAAGTAGATTGGAAGCCATGTGCGAAAAGGATCCAGGTCGGACGGGCGACGGAACTTGAACTCCAGTGGCTCCCTCATGATTATTATTATTATTATTATTATTATCATCATGTCACTTATCTCGATCAAATCAAAGCCTTCTCCGGAAAACGGAGGGAAATATCCGCTCGGTTTGGAAGTACCGGAAAAACAGTCAGAGTAGCTTGACCACCACGGCTCCGTTGCTGACTATTTGACGTATGGCGCATTTGAATTCCACCACCCACCCAGCCGGCTCACGCTAGCCACTCATTTGCATCTCACCAACCGATTCCAGAGAGATCAGGGGTAAGGCGTTAAAGCACGAATTAATGATTCACATCTGTTACAGAAATCCGCGCCTCATATTCGTATATTGGCGAACAAGACCGTCTCTACTACTACCGTCCTCAATGCTAAGCGAATGATTCGAACGGGAGGCATGAACATGGTGTCGTGTCTCCGACGATAGAAGCGCCATGAGAAAAGGTCGAGGGAGAGAGGGCATGAATGAATGACGTGGCGTGGGCAAAGGTGACATGGGGGTGAATGGGTACTGGTTATTGGGTACGGGGGTACTGGGTACTTCACCCCGTGGTATGGGCCGTTGAGCTAAGGGCCACAGCGGGGCCACACCAAACGATTGCTGTGGCTTCTAGTGGCTTGAAGGCTTGAAGGAATGGGATGCTAAGGCAGGGAGGACAAGTTCGGCTCTTAGATAAATAGGCTTTGCCGGAACCAGTTCCCCCTATCCGCTAGGCAAGTCTATTCTGCAGGCCTGCGAGGCCACGTTTTTGTGGTATGCAGAAGTGCTGTAGATCTTGAGATTACTAGCTGCTTCGCGTTTAACAGCAGTAGCAGCTAGTAGCAGCAGCAGTAGCGGTACCTAGCATCGGTACCTTGGGCTCGGTACTCCGATGTGATAACCCTGCAGGACAAGTGGGAGCGTCAGCTTGACGGGCCACGGTGTACCATGATTCTTGCATGATGTCGATAAGTAAGGAAGAGATTACTCGACTTGATCATAATTATGGATCGACAAGTCATCCATGTTGTTAATTGTATTGGCACTCATTTCTGCCTGTCAGGTCGCTTTCACTCTACTGTATCCGAGGTACAGGTACAGAAGAAGCCGTTCAGCCTCACGAGTACATTCAGCGGTCGATAGGACCGTCGTTGCAGTGGCAATTGCAGCTCATTATTTCCTGTTCTTGACCATTGCTAGGTATTGCTTTTAGATGGACACTTACTTTAGCCTTCGCAGAATTAAATCCCGCTGAGATGACTATTTTCGTCTCAAGCTTTTGGACAGTACGTGCGCGATGAAAGCTTGACAGCTGCAAGAGCCCAACAGCAGCCTCGTGGAGTACTAATGAGTATGCCTATTCAAACTCTAGCTGCGACCCTTGTATGCCCCCAAGCGACCCTAAAAGCAAGCCTACAGTTTGGGGAGTATCGGGTCTCAATCCGAAATTAGGGAAGGCCCAAGGGTCATATTAGGGCAGATCTGATGCTTCGATCCAGCTTCTTTGGGGTCGAAAGTCGGCTTCTTTCAGTCACACTGACAATAGCACTTGCTCAAGGTTCGATTGCTCTCCAGCCCAACCATGCTAGAGATTGACCGAGATAGACCCATGTGTACGGATTTAGCGCGCCAATCGAGCTTCATCGTCATGTCAGATCGTAAGGACAGGGGAGTGCGAGGTGTGAAGATTGAAAGGGTAATTGATATTTTGCTTCCCCTTTTGAAGAGGAGAGACTTCTGTTTTCAGCTGCTTGCGCAATAAATAATGACAGTAGGCAAGATGTATATTTTGAAAGAGGTGCAAGCGAGGTCAATCAAATGTTACCATTCCTTTCCGGTGGTCTAGGCAGGATTCTGTCGTCTGAACTTGAAACCCACTTTTTGTGGGCGGGAGAACTGAAAGCGTAAAAACATCCCGTGAGCGCACATGGCTTTCCGGGTAACCTTTGAAGCTTGCAGGCATCAGCCGCTGGGCTGCCCAACCCTGCATGTTTGACATTTTCTCCCCCCGACCCAAATAACTTAATTCCACTTTTACTTTCACTTTTCACTTTCACTTTCACAATCATAATCATAATAATAGTTGGCACATAATAATAATACTATAATAATCCTTTGCATATGCTTTTTATGAAAAGGTCACCCACATATCGGGCACCCGCACATTATCTGCTTCCTTCCTGCATTATCATTATCATCCAACATATCATCTCTACAGACACTAAATTCGATTCAGCCACAATTCCCTTTGAGGAGAATTGAATACTCTGCAAGCTTCCTAGCTGTTGGAAAGACCTTGTCAAAATAGCCCAACTGACCGCTTTTAATCTCGCCTGGGTCTGTTGAGTGCGAGAATACTTCCCCTTCGGATCGTCAGCCTGTTTTGAACATCACACGCAGAGAAGCCTTGTTTTGTGTTGAAAGTGTGACCAACAGGCCAAGGCTGCGTCAACCCGTCGCCCTGGAACAATGATCCACTAGGGCTGAAGATCCTTTGGTCTGCCTTCGCGAAGATTGGACCCTGCCACGCCACTAGGGCTCTGCTTCTGATGTCTGGGCAGAGGCGCGGTTATCATTGGCATGCACAATACGAAGACACGTTGGGAAATCTCTTCAGATTCTCGATCAAGACACGAGTTCAGGGATGGAAAGGCGGTCAAGTTGTTCTGCAGGAGCGAATAGCCTAATCAATATGCTGCGACCCACAGAAAACCGTTAGTGATATCAACACTGGCCAAATAAAACAACAGTCGCTGAGTGGGGGTCTATATTCCTTCAACGTCGTTTGAAGTTGTGCACTCCGAGGCCATTTACCCCCACGTGAACTTTGAATAAGCTGCCTCCATACTTGACCGAATCTGGATATTTGTCAGGTTCCTCTTCTTCTGCGGACGTGATGAACAAGTCCTCATCAGCAAAGGCCGGGCACGTAATCATTCTCGCGTAAGGTAGCAAAATTTCCCCCACGACCTTTGCCTCTGGTGACACCTTCAGAACCTTGCCACCGCCGCAGATCGCGATCCACAGGCACCCATTTACATCGATAGTCATGCCGTCAGGCACAGCGTCTCCTTCGACATGGTAGAACACCTCGCGATTGGAGATATCACCCGTCTTTCTGTCGTACTCGAACTTAAACACGTTACTCGTAGGTGAGTCAATGAAGTACATAATCTTTGCATCGGGACTGAAGCATATGCCGTTGGGGATCGATACTTTTTCGATCATTCGATGGAGGGTCATGTCCGGATCCAGACGAAACAGTACTCCTTCGTCTGTTGGAGGTGCCTTCACTTTGGGGTCATTCATTGTACTGGCCCAATATCTTCCCTCGTGGTCGACGACACCATCATTGAAGCGCATTCTGGAACCCATTTGATCAGCAATATCCCAAGCAGACCGATCTCTTCTAGGACACTGGCGTACCTCTCGTCCTTTCCCAGTCCATCACGCTCCTCCCAGACCTTCTTGATGTACTCAAGCTTCTTCGTGTTTCTGTTCATGATGGCGTATCCATGCTTGGCACCGACAATGATTTCATCATCAGAGCCTTCGATGTCCGCCGTTGTGCTATCGTGAACGTTAGAGAGGTAAAACTACGCTTCAGTAGCAGTCAAGCTGACCTAACAGGAGTACCCAGATCAAATGATTCCAACGACGATGGACCTTTGTTGAGATCGACTATGTGTAATTTCTCCTTGACAATGTCTACAAATCGGAGGGTATGCCGGCTGCTTTCGTAGTATGGTGCTTCGCCCAACCCACAACTCATTTTGATATAGGGCTAAGCAAGGTTTAGCCCGTGGGATGCGGGAATCTTGTCCATTCATGCCACACACCTCGGTCACCGTCCATCGTTGCATCTCAGCCATGTCTCTGTAAGCGAATATCTTCTATGGGCTTTTTCCAACCCTTGTGTCGAGGATGTGATGGGAAAGGAAAAGCATTAAGAGACCGCGCTCGCCGGGTCGAGGAAAACAAGTACACGATGACGTCGCCACTAGAAGGCCGAATGCCGAAAAGAATCTCTGAACTCAAACATGGGAATCAGTCAATTCGACTTGCCTACTCATAACTCAGTACAGTAACTCTTCTCGTCATCACACACTCCACTATGGTTGCGAGATGCGACGTCCAGGATGTGCGTGCTCTTAGGGTCGGTGTTCCTTCAAATCTATTTTAGATTTGCCCTGCTTTCGTTCTATCTTTCAGATCGCATACATGAGTCGCTGCACGATTTTGGCTAGCTTTCCATCATTCCTGATTGCATGAAATCCATCTGCAAAGAGTGTGCCTTTCGAAACGTCAAGTCTTCTTTCGGCGTACCATAACCCTCAGCATCGTGTACTGGTTAAGCTACTCCTTGCGTCTCACCGCTGGAAAGGCGCGCAGCATCATTGCTACCGCTCTTCTGAATCGGTATCACGGGCAACCGTCATCGGCACCGGGGCCAACACAGGTCTCGGCCTCGAAGCCGCTCGCCATTGCGCTTGCCTCGACGCCTCAAACGTCATCCTCGCCGTCCGCGACCTTCCCAAACGTGCCGAGGCCAATGTCTCCATCCAATCCTCAACCAGCTGCTGCCCAATCCTCGTCTTGTCCCTCGACCTCTTGTCATACGCAAGCGTCGATGCTTTCGCCTCCCAAGCCTGTACCCAGCTTCATCGCATTGATCCCATTGTCCTGAAAGAGGGCTTTGGATCCGAGACTTTTTGCCCGGCCGAAGCATTGGAATTAATCAATACAACACGAATTTCCATTAGCACTCTTCTGCTCGCTTGATTTGCTCCCGCCGAAACACGAACAGACCGCGCAACGCTGCCGCACCGCTCCTCATCTGGTCATTGTGCGAACGCACCTCCTTCAATGACTTTGCAGAGCGGACTGCTGCAGCGAATCGGAAAAATCGATGCAGCGTCAGCCAACTTCTCGAAGCGTCCGTCGTGCGTGGATTGGCTGAGTGGCACCTTGCGGACCATCCGCCTGTTACTGTGAACCGTGTCAATCCCGGATTGTGCCGTTCAGAGTTTGGACGCGAGTATGCTGGTTGGGATCAAGTCACGTTCAAGGCTTTGCCGGCGAGGCGGGCAGTGGGACGCTTGTGCGCGCCGCTGGTGTAGGGAGTGGGATGCATGGACGATATTGGGATGATTGTATGGCGAGGCAGACGGCGCCGTTAGTGCTGGACTAGGAGGGAAAGAGGTTGCAGGAGAAGCGTTCGAGGAGTTGGTTGCGAGATTGGGAGCGATTCAGCCGGGAGTACTGGCGAATACATTGGGAAGGGCAGTGTTACTGAAGGCTATTTATATTGGGGTGTAGATCGTTGCTATAAATATGGTTGGCTGTAGCTCATACACATTGATTCACTCACTGTAACATGTTGATTATGCCAGCAGTCATTTGATCCAGTATCAAAGAGCTCGTCTCTGAAGTGTTTCGCACCAGCAGCTTACCGTCCCATCCTGTCGTTCCTCTTTCCAAAGTCGTCACCGGCCCAGTCTGTTTCTAGGACGGGCGATGGCCACTTCCACATCTGTGGATACTATATCAATTCCTAACCTCCATCAGATGCTTTCTGATGGGTAAGCTGAAAGCACCAGCATACAGCACATGTTGTCTACCACGCCTCCTCTATGGCCTTCAGCCTAGCGGCCAAGCATGGTGTAGCTATCCTAGCAGGTCCACCGCGGCGTGATTGGACGACAAGAACCAGGTGTTTGTCTTATGCATCAGTTAGGTCAGAAAGTCGGGGTGTGATCAGGGTGACGTCGTCGCAGACGAGTTTGGCGAGAGGAAACGCTGTCTGGAGAGGGGTAGCGCAATGGTTTCATATAGGTATTTGAGGACGCATAAGAAGAGAGGGTCACGGAACACGAGTAGGAAATGTTGGTATGAAAGACCTTATAATGCCAGATCCTTGGCGTATGGACAGTGGAGGAAGCGACTGAAACTCTTGAGAGAAAGGAAAAGCCCCATCGACTTTTGCCGTTTCACATCCTGACCCGACCTTTAACCAGCTCCAAGAAGTTCTACATCTAGCAGGCTCATTATTAGACACAGTGTGAGCAGTTGAACCAACTTCAAGCAATATCTAGACGAGCAAGGGCAAGGTAAGTAGGTGAAAGAAGAAGGGAAAGGGCCCAAAGCAGCTAGCCTATCCGTTAGCGCCATACGCGCGGAAGTCGCATTTGTGAATTTGATCTGAATCAAACCTCACTGTCACAATCTTGCTAACTATACCATCTAACACAGTGGAAATCATGGCTCCAGCTAAGCGCAAAGTAAATACGGCGGCTGATGCCACGAGTACCGCTGCAACGAAGAGACAGAAGAAAGTCGTAGAACCCACCGCGTCGTCATCGAGGCCAAGCAGGACCTCACTTGCTGTAGCTGCAGCTCCGCGTTCAACAAGAAGCTCGATCAGTGGGAAGTCTACACCCGTCAAACCAGCTAAAAGTACAATCAAGGGTTCAGCCAACGAAACAGCAAATAAATCCGCAACAAAGACTGCAACAAAGGTCAAAGCAATTGAGGGTCGAAAGCGAGGAAGACCAGCCAAAACAACCACTGTTGAGGAAGAGGCCGCCGTACCCGGAAGGACCTCCAACCTTCTCATCGACGTTCCACTCAGAGAGAAGCCTGCCGTGAAGGCTGAAGCTGAGGAGGAAGCTGAGGCTAACAACGAAGGCCCAGCTTACTTCCTTATGAAAGCCGAACCCGAGTCACGTATCGAAAAGGGCAAGGACGTCAAGTTCTCCATCGACGATCTCAAAGCTGCAAGCGAGCCCGAAGGATGGGACGGTATGTATTGGTATGGAAATGAAAAGTTGGGCAACAAGTGCTGATACCATATTTGCAGGTGTCCGCAATCCCGTCGGTGAGTAATCAAGGTCAGTTGAGTACCGCGTGAGTGACTGATCGGCCTGGCAGCACGCAACAACATGAGGCTTATGATGAAGGGAGATATGGCATTCTTCTATCATTCCAACTGCAAAGTACCAGGCATCGTAGGTACAATGGAGATTGTCCAGGAGCACTCAGTTGACGGTGAGACGATCCTTTCCCTGTAAATGGTCCTTTCAACTGGCTGATCTTGGTTCAGAAACCGCGTTCGACCCCAAGCATCCCTACTTCGACGAGAAATCAGACCGTGAAAAACCGAAGTGGTGTCTCGTACATGTCAAATTTGTCCAGAAATTTCCGGGGATGATCAAGCTCAAGGAGCTCCAGAAGTACGCAAAGAATGGTGGTGTTTTGGAGAACCTGCAAGTCCTCAAGCAATCTCGCCTGAGCGTTTCGAAGGTGGCCAAGAAGGAGTGGTACGTATCTCCTAATCGACGCCCGGACTGAGGTCGCAGGAGCAGAACCGAGGGCATTTCCCCCAAATTGCGGCCCATCATTCTGATACAAAGAGAAATGCTGACCCTTAAAACCTCCATAGGGACTTCATCATGGGCCTGGTCGATGCGGAGGATGTTGCAGCTATGTCGGCTGCACACCAGCCGCAGATGACTGTCTAAGCAGCGGCTTTGGAGGCGAAAGGACGACTTCAAGACTGAGAATCACCGAGCGGCATAGAAGTCTTTGTCTCACATGCTCGTTGGGGTTCTCATAACACACATCATCCATGGTCAAAGCTTGTACCTTGCGCACTCCAGTTCCGTCGATATTTCCAGCCAGTGACATCCCACACTTTCAATCTATTCAGCGTTTGAGAGCATAAAACCTAACAGGGTACAGCCCCTTCGGAAACCCTCTCTGGACTTCCGTCCTGATAAGTCTCATATCTGCTTCCTTGAATAGCTGTTTGAATTTCTGATCCGTCCGCGTAACACTGCTGTCCTGTTGGTCAAAGAAGTCTTCTCCGTCAACGTTCGTGCTCATGTTCTCTTTGACAATGATCCATCCATCTATTGTCACGGCATTCTTGCATCTTTCGAGATAAGCCACCAGCTGCTTATCTGTCAGATGTCCTAGGCACCATTGGTTCCAAATGAGATCATACTGCGCTTCAGGCACCCAATCTTCCAGCCCAGCCACGTAGACACTACCTAGGGAACCGCTGCCAATCATCTTCTGGCCTTTGACTTCCCGGGCGAACTTCTCCACCGGTTCAACGACATCGACAACTTCACAAACGGTGCTTAGGAAACCAGCAGTGATTCTGCCAATTCCAGCGCCGCAATCAACGCCTCTTCGGAGTGGGCCGTCCGCAGACCGGGAAGTTTGCTCACGGCGTAGCTTGGCGAGGAAATTGGCAGATCCTTTGAGATCTGTTCGTGATATTTCCGGGTAGCCACCGAGCATCCCGTCGACAGTCGTAGATATCGAGTTCCAGTATTTGAGAGAGTCCAAAGTGGAGATGTTGGCATCTGGGGCTTGATTTGTGGATGGAGTCATTGTAAAAGGTCGAGGGCTCTGCTGCGCTTTAGTCGTTGTAGCTTCGAGGGCAGAGTGGGCTCAAGCACTAGGGTTTCTCTGCACGGTATCCTTTTTGCACCAGAGACATACCGATGCTCCACAACGCTTGATCTGTAGGCTCCGGGGAAGAGATAACGATCTTGCGCAGGAATCCGCAACGCAGAGTCTAGAGTTTTTCACCCAAAAGAGGCTCACAGACTAAAAGTCTGAATGTCCTTGGGTCCCTGCAGTGTAATACCTTCCAATCATCAGCAGAGGCTCCCTTCAGGCCGCGTTCATACAAATATACATGTCCCCAAATGTAGTACCCACCGAAACAATTCAGATGTTCGCGATCCAACGTCAGACCATATTCCAAGCGACACGACTCGTTTCAAGTATCCTGGCTTAAGGATCTATGACTTCAAGACGGAGAGGTTGAAAAGTTGCTCCGGACGGATATCGTCGGCGGTCATGGTTTCCGCTAAGATTAATGCGATAAAAGACCAAAATTACGAGTACTAGTACCTGACTAGCGTACCATCTCCACGCGAGCAATTTCCGAAACACAATATTACTTGCATGCTCTCGCGACAATATACTTGCTTATCGGAGCATCGCTCCGGTCATGTCATCGGATGATGCACACGTCTGCTGATAGGCCCAAACTGTCCATGTTATTAGGACAAGGCCTCGAGACAGCAAGAAGGCGTCCTTGGACCCTCGAACCCAGCGGCCATGTTGACGATCCATGTTTGACTACTTTGGCCCGCTCAATCAGGACGATCGAGGGGAAGGCGGCCAAGTGCCTGAATTCTAGTGGCTTGCCAATTTCATTCTCAAGGGGCACTTCTCTTGGAACGAGGCTCCATGCAAGGGATTACTTCACGACAATTGAAAGCCGATGGTATCAAACAAGAACCATGATACACGGGAGTCCACAGGAGCTGTGCAGAGCGTCGAACGGTCTTGCATGTCTGGGCGAATACAGGAACAGTTGCACGCTTTCTTGCTCAGTGGTTGGCGAATATTCCAATCAAGCGATAAGACGGGAAGACTCGGGCAACATGCTAGCATCCGTGGCTCTACGAAAGCATCAAATCCTGCGAACAAGACAACAAGTCGTACTCTGGTGCTCGAGACAAGACATCGAGAACGTGAAACGTCCTGTTGGCGATGTCATTTCAGTCAAGATTTGGCTTCAAGGCCGACTTCCAACATGATAACACCGATGCCTTAATCAGCCCTTCTGCTCGTGCATCTTGCTGCTAGAACCGAAAATAACCCTACTCATAGCCGCGACCCCATATTGACATGCACAGCTTTTGCATTCGTATAAGCCCTCAGCCCTTCCTCTCCCAATTCTCTTCCAATCCCGCTCTGCTTCACTCCTCCGAACGGGATCCTAAAGTCCGAATCATTGCTACTATTGACCCAAACCATACCCGCCTCGATCCTCCTCGCTACTCTATGCGCCTTGGTCAGATTCTCCGTGAAAACGGCGCTGCCAAGCCCGTATGTGGTATCATTCGCACGGTTGATTGCCTCTTCTTCCGTTTTGAAGCTTGAGATGACGACAAAAGGTCCGAAAATTTCTTCACGATAAATCTTCATGTTGTCGGTTACGTGTGTGAAGACTGTAGGGGCGATGAAGAAGCCTTTGCCATTAGCATCTTTGTGAGCTTCACCTCCAGTCACTAATGTCGCTCCTTCAGACTTCCCGGACTCGATATAACCGAGTACTTTCTCGAACTGGGCTTTTGTGACTTGTGGACCTTGAAAGGTATCATCGCTAAATGCTGGATAAAGAATTCGAAGTCAGTATTGCCTGTTTGAGGGGTCATCTCGAGGCTTGTAACATGTCTAGAGAGTGAACCCTTCCAAGACAGTCTCTCAAGACTCGGGATTGAATCCGAAAGGGGATATGGACTCGGAAAATACGTACGGTCGCCGACTTTACTGACTTCTTTAACCTGTTCTTTAAAAAGCTTGACGAACTCATCGTAGATGCTTTCCTCCACGAGGACTCGAGAGGTGGCCGTACAGATTTGCCCCATATTCGACATTATGCCAGCATGGCTCCATTTGACGGCTTGATCTAGATCCGCGTCGGCGAAGACAATCAGAGGGCTCTTTCCGCCAGTCTCGAGTGTTATGTTCTTGAGGTTGATGCTGGCCATTTTCATAATCTGCCGGCCTGTAGCTGTACTTCCAGTGAAGGCAATCTTATCAATGTCGAGATGGCTTGCAATCGCCGCACCTGCTTCCTTGCCGTGTCCATTGAGGATGTTGACCACACCAGGCGGGAATCCTGCCTCCTTGATGAGCTGCGCAAAGTACAGTATACTCAACGGCGTCTGCTCGGCTGCCTTTATGACAACAGTATTCCCACACGCCAGCGCCGGTCCAAGCTTCCATGCAGCCATAGCCAGTGGATAATTCCAGGGAATAATTTGCCCGCAAACCCCAAGCGGCTCGCGCAACGTGTATGCAAATTTATCAGGACCGGTATTAATGACCTGGCCGTGCACTTTGTCGGCGTAGCCACCGTAATATCGAAAAGTGTTTGCGACTTCTCCAACATCTTCATTCAGGGCGACGCTATACGGTTTGCCATTATCCCAGGTTTCAATAGTGGCGAGTGTTTCAGCGTGCTCCTCAATGAGGGAGGCGAGCTTGAACATGAGACCGCCGCGATCTGTGGGAGGCAAATCTCGCCATGAGCGATCTTTAAAGGCTTTGCGGGCTGCGGAGACGGCGAGGTCTACGTCGTCGGCCGAGGCAGCGTAAACGGACGCTATCTCGGTTTCGTCACTTCCGAGATGTCAGAAGGGGAATTATCCTATAGCATTGCATTGGAAAGGACTCACGTTGGATTAATGCTTGCAATCTTCTCTCCGGACCTTGATTTGACAAATTCATTGTTTATGAAGAGGCCGATGGGCTGCTTGTATTCCTTTCCATTGGGGGCTTTGAGAACAATAAACAGATCAGAAGTCATGATGTGCTAAAGGGTGGAACGATCTTTCAGGTATGATGATGGTAAAGGAGAGGAGTGGATGTCAGGCTGTGCGAAAAGTATCAAACAACGACTGCCCCGCGGAGGGGTTTGTTCATGACGGGAGGAAGCGGAAGTTTGATACGATAGTTGGATACAACTTCCTAATCCATTCTAGCTTGTCAATTCCAGATGCATCGTGACGAAGGAGTTTTGCAAAGCTAGAGGAATATCTCCTGCCGATCAATCCATGATCTCCTGAGCAATTGTCAGACGATTCATCCTTGTGGATCAGGAAACTCATAACCTACACTGGCGAATTTGCTCCTGGCACGGATCTTAGGTCCATAGAAGACCAGAACCCAAGGCACGACAGTAAGCAATGCTCCCACGCCACCAAGGAAGCTCGAAGCCCCAGCGAATGACATATGATTGAACATCGCCGTCGTCACCAAGGGAAAGATCCCTCCGAGCATGTTCCGACAGAATGACTGTGCTGCTAAAGCCGAGCTTGCGTAGCGATGATAGGTGTCCGCAAGGTAATTAAAGACGGCAAGATAGATAGAGAAGATCCCCATTGTGGCACAGGTAACAGCGATGGTGGGGACGATCCAAGGGACCGAAGGGAAAGACGTCCATCCGAACCAGAATAACCCGATTGGGAGAAGGGCACTCTCGATGCAAGCGAAATAGAGCCGTCCTTCCGGCGTTGATGACATTTTGCCGTAGTGTCTGGCGACCTTTTCCTGGTAGATGCTGAGGATAGTCGATAATATCGAGCCAACGCACATAGCTGTCATTATTAGAGGTAAGTGGCTCAAGAACAGAAATCCTGCTTACCAGCAAAGACAGCGCCATTCTCCTGAGTGTCGAAATTGTGATTCTTGGTGAACACGAGCGGTATTGCCGAAAAGGTCAGGTATAGTACGGCCCAGCTGAACGCAACCCATAGTGAAAAGAAAAAGACCACAGGCTTTTCGGAGTCAGCATTGCTTATACGAGGTAGATAATGAAGTTGCGAGACGGGTCTTGGGAGTAAAAGGTCCTCTTGCTCCCGAAACATGCCTTGCAACGCGACTTCAATACCGATTGGGGAGGATCGTCTCCGAATTGTACGCACCTCAGTCAAGAGTAGATCTGCAGGTCTTCAGCACTGTGTCTTTGGTCATAAAAAGGGGTACAGCCTACGAAATGGTCTATAAATAGAGATCCCAATCATCTTGGCCAAGTTTTGTCGTTCTTCATCTGACTTGACTTTCCACCTAATCCTCTGGCTTTGCTTCTTACCTCCACCGTCAAGGATCATCTCGAAGCCCACAAGGCCGACCTTTTCCCTGGCCTCATACCATGTATTCAGTAGTTTCGCCCTTTTGCTCAAAAGCACACTGCCGCGAGTTTCTTTGAAAAAGATCGTCACGGCCAGAATCAATAGACCACAGTCTATGACCTGTACATAAAAGACCCACCGCCATGATAGATGCTGAGCAATGAATCCAGAACACAGAGGACCCAAGCCCGTGCCAAACAATGCGGCCCCTGAAAACAGCGCCATAGGCGTGTTCCTGTCTAGATCAATGTCAGATGTAGCCTAAGGTTGAGTTCATCTGACACTGCAGTACCTTCCGTGTGATAAATGTCGCTGACTACACCACCCACCATCGTCGAGAAAGTGCTCTACCCACATTTCCAGTCAGCATTGCTTAATCAAGGCAGGAAATGAAGTTACAAGCCAATTTCCTGGAGCGAAAGGGTTTCTTGCCCCGGAAACATTTTTTATGACTCAGTCCCAGTACCAAAGAGGAAGGACCAGCTCCGAAATGTACGTACCCCACCAACACCAGCAAAGAATCGAGCAAGAAGCATGCCTGGGTAGGAACGAGTAACAGCACAGCAGAGTTGGCAGATAACAAAGAGGATCCCAGTAGCAATGAAAACAGGCTTCCGGCCATTGAGCTCAGAGAAGGGAGCTAAGACCATGGGCGCGACTGCAAATCCAGTGGTGAAGGTGGTAATGCCCACATAAATGGCTATTTGACTGACGCCCCAATATTCTGACATCTGCTGAGAAGGTGGGCTATATGAGCCGGCAGTGTAAGCAGTTACAACGGTAACCGCGCACGAGAGCCACGTGGTGAAGGTCTTGCGGGAAGGGGACCAGGTGAATGGAGAAACGTAATTCCTTAAATCTGGCTGCTGCGGTACAGCCGAACCATTCTGAGCTGGTCCCAGGCTTGTTGGTGAGGGTAGTTCAGTCTCAAAGGTTAGATAGCGGTAGATGATGGGGACGTCTCCGAATTTGAGGCGAAGAGATGGACGATTCCTGTGCTTGAAATGCTTTATATACATCTTTGACACCCACTGTCGAGTCCTCGCTCTTTGGACTGATCTCCAATGGCTCAGATGGAATTTTCATCTCTGGCGTGGCCATGGTGGGGTCAAATTTATCACCACAGATCCCGATTAAAATGCAATGGGATGCCTCTCATGAATCATAGGGTATTCAGTAATGCGCCGTGATGTTGGGAAAGAGACTAATATAAAATAAACAATGAGAGCGAGAAAGAAAGAAAGAAAGAAAGAAAAAAGTAAGAAGAACAAAAATACTGCTTGCCAGACTGAAAAGTGGGCCGGTTCGGCTTTACCCAATTTAAAGTACAGTTACATACCATTTTCTTTATTCCCGGAGAGCTAAACGTAGAGTACTAGTACCAGCTCGCAGCGAATGACATATGTGCAGTACACAGTTTCATTGTGAAACGCAAGCTGACATGTTTTGAGGCTTCATTGAAAATGGTTTCTCACCATCTTCCAAGGCTTGGCAACTCGTAGAGACTACCTAGTACCTACTCATGTGGTGGGTACGGGCTTTGCCACCGGAAATGACGTTTTTTGCGATATGTGGCAGTAGCGCGGGGCTGCAATTGCGTGATAGTGGGTTTGGTCATCCTGGCTCAATAAATTGACCATTATTGGAAGAAGACACACTTTTCTTTCTCTTCCTTTCAAATCAATTCTGACTTCAGCTCAGTCGCACCATTCAACTCTATTCAGTTCAGGAAGAGACCACTTTTTACAGCTCACCTTGCACACGCACACACAGACAATGGCTTCTTCAGGTGAAGACCGTCCCGCGCCGTATGCCGTTTCCAACACTCAAGCTTTGTAGACGCCTTGCTGATTTATGATCCAGTCTGCGCCTTGGCTCGATAGCACCGAACTTTCACGCAGAGACCACAAACGGACCCATCGACTTCCATGAGTGAGATCCTCTGCCCTAGCCGCTGTAGAAATTCTCTGACGCAAGGCCAGGTTCATTGGCGACAAGTGGGTCGTTCTATTCTCGCATCCGGAGGACTACACACCAGTCTGCACCACGGAGTTGGGCGCCTTCGCTAAACTCGAGCCTGAGTTCACCAAGCGCGGTGTGAAGTTAATCGGCCTGTCCGCGAACACCGTCGACTCACACGGAGGATGGATCAAGGACATTGACGAGATTTCCGGTAGCAAGCTGAGGTTCCCAATCATTGGTGATAAGGAGCGGAAGGTGGCATATGCGTATGACATGCTAGACCACCAGGATATCACCAATGTGGACCAGAAGGGCATTGCCTTCACCATTCGAAGTGTTTTCATCATCGACCCTAAAAAGACCATCCGCCTCATTCTTTCATACCCAGCTTCGACTGGTCGTAATACTGCCGAGGTGTTGCGGGTGGTGGATTCTTTGCAGACGGGTGACAAGAACAAGGTGACCACCCCAATAAATTGGGTACCAGGTAAGCAATTCCAGGATGCAGCACGGCATCTCGGCGACTGACTCAATTGTGCGCAGGAGACGACGTCATCGTGCATCCAAGCGTCAAAACCGAGCAGGCGAAGGAACAATACCCTCATCTCAAGATTGTGAAGCCGTACCTTAGGTTCACTCCCTTATCCAAGGAGCAGACCAGCGCGGCCGTTTGAAAAGTTGTCATGGCGATGCTTAATTTGGGAGCGGGCGTATCCGTTGTATAGCTAGAGCATGTGGGAAAACATTCCTCAATCAGGTTTCGTGAACGATAGTCCTTCATCCCGTGCGGGGGGTATTTGATGCCGTGATTTGAACTGGAAGTGACTGGTCACTACTGGAGGGAAAGCCGGGAATTACGGTAGTAGCTTGAATTGGCTTGGCTGCCGCTCGGTAGATACGAGTAAGGTATTTGACTGGTCGTATTCGCCTCGGTTACGATTAACTGATTAAGGTAAAGTAATGTACCTTAAGTAGCTTCCGTCTCAGTGTAATAAAATGTGAGCGGTTTTTTATTAATCATGGCCCTGTAACCCGCTGCCATGTGCCCGCCTCCGCCCTTACACACTACAGCCCTATCATATCCTACCTAAGGTATCTTACCTTACCACTTTTCTCTTCCTTACTTGCGAATGCGCAGCCACCGTCAGGATGGCTTCCCCCTTCTCTCCTGCATTTTCAGTAGTAATTCATGAACTACGCCAAACTACGCCACTGAGTTAATAGCTGCTAAAAGCGGTGGAAGAGCTGCAAGAGCTGCATCCCGCTTGGTGCGCAACGGTCTTAGACAACAAGCACGTTGCCGAAACTTTTCCTTTACCAAGACATTCAAGAGCACCGAGCGTCAAATTACCCTCTGTGGAAGGAGCGAATTTGCCTCATTTGGCAACAACACTGAAACGGTCCTGATCAAGGGCAAGGGCAAGAGCAAGGAGGCTGGTCCGGCTGTCTCTTCTTTCCAAGGGTGAGCGCTATTTACTGCATATACACCTCGCTTGCGTCCCTGTCAAACCTGCATTACTCGTACCCCAGGTTTCCTCCCATCCCACTCTCCATACATCCCACTCTTTATATATCCTGCATGTGTCTCTCTCGATTCATCTTTCGATGAGAGCTTAGAGCTTACAACCATGTTAGCAGGCAGCCAGGCCCAGCAGGCAGACTCGGCGCCTAGGCCCGAGGTAGCACTCACACTCAACCATTACGATCCTTTTGGAAGTCCAGTGGACAAGACGCCGGCACACAATCAGCTTCACTCCATTGCTAAACGCTTCATCCCATTCTCGCCGCTTAATGGTCCAGATCCTCGCCCAGGTTTACCGTCACCTCCGGTAGAACACACCCCACTTGCTCATGCTCTCCCCTCCGAAGCAGGCTTTAGCAAACGCAGACCCCGACATGTACCCATTGTCATCCCTCCCAATGTCATTGGCTCCGTCTTGAAACACAATCCGACCTTACAAGAACCTATTACACCATATCCACAAACAATCACGCGTACAGGTCCTAGGCTTACGTACGACTTCCAAAAGGAGGAGCCACTGGTGACGAAAAGATACAAAAGACCACGCCATATCCCTATCGTCATACCCGCTTTTGCTGAGCCTCAAGGTCTCTTCCCGCCTACACCTCCTAACAGCGCCAATAACACTCCACGAGCTTCGGTTCAAAAACCACATTCATGTGAACAATTCTTCACCGACATGTCACGACCCACCACCAGTGGCAGCCGGACGAGTACGATAGACTCCAATGCCTCAGGTCCTTCGCCAAATCAGATGGATGCTGGACGGTTCAAGCCCTCCTCGAGTACATATTTGGCAGATATGAATAGCAGCAGCGAGTCCAGCTTAAACCAAGACCAAATGGCACAACCACAGGTTGCACAGCCGGCTGCGGACTCTGCGCTGCTAAGACCCCCGCAAGCCGCGGATGCAACACCCCAATCGACAGCCCCCCCGCCTGCTGTGAATCACTCGCCACCACAAACAAACAGCACGACGAATTTATCTGGTCTTAGTCTGCAATGTACATAAGTGTACAGGAAAAGAGCCACGTGCGTTAGTTGGTGCTACAACAACGGTACTGGGCGACAAGCTATATGTGTTTGGAGGACGTGTGCTCTCGAGACGGCATCCCCAGCTGACCTCGGATCTATATGAACTGGATCTTGTACGCCGGCATTGGACCAAAGTCGAGACCTCCGGAGATATCCCGCCACCAAGATACTTCCATAGCATGTGTGCATTGGGCGACACGAAGCTCATCTGTTACGGTGGCATGTCCCCTGCAAATCCAGTATCTTCTCAAGCGCAAGCCAACGGCATAGATTTGCAACCTGAGATGATCGTCATGTCAGACATCCACGTGTTTGACGCTCCTACACGAAGGTGGACGTCAATAGCCACGGCAAACACACCGCAAGGACGATACGCACATTGTGCTGCCGTACTTCCATCGTCGGCCACTTTCACTTCCGCAAACGCCCCTCTCTCTGCCATACATCACAACCCACCATCTGCGACCCCGAACCAAGGTAGCTTAGGTGTGGCATTGGACGGAACAGGAGGAGCAGAGATGGTCGTTGTAGGAGGTCAAGATAGTGCCAATACTTATATTGAACAAATTAGTGTCTTCAACCTGCGAAGTCTCAAATGGACTGCGACATCTTCTCTTGGTAGAAGTTGTGGTGCATACCGAAGCGTGGTTGCTCCTCTCACCAGCATACCAGCCTCGAAAATTGGGAAAGGTTTAGATCAAGGAGTAGAGGTAGATGGAGCTGCGAGGAAGTCAGATAGAGCGGAGTCGGACTCATCGATGTTGATATACTCTAATTACAACTTTTTGGACGTCAAGCTGGAATTGCAAGTTCGACTGGCAGACGGGTCACTTGTTGAGAAGCCAATGAGTGGACAATTTTCCCCGCCAGGACTGAGATTTCCAAACGGCGGGGTGCTGGATAATCACTTCGTCGTTAGTGGGACGTATCTAACTTCGTCCAAGCAAGAGTATGCTCTTTGGGCTCTTGATCTGAAGACCTTGACATGGAGCCGCATCGACGCTGGTGGAGGCGTCTTCAGTCAAGGAAGCTGGAATAGAGGCGTTCTTTGGCCACGGCGGAATACATTTGTGATCCTAGGTAATCGGAAACGCAGCTTAGTAGAGGACTACAACCACCGTCGAATCAATTTCTCGCATCTTTGCATGGTTGAGCTTGAAGCGTTTGGCCTCTATGATAACCCGCGGCGAGCATGGCCGACATCCAATTTTCCATCCATCAGCGCCCCCGTGCTCCCTCCATCCGTCGTCTTGAAGAACGTGGCACCCGCTGGCCGTCCACTTCCCGGCGCTGCGGTGGACCTCGGCCTTATGGCCATGAACCTTCGAGACCTGGCTGACATGGATCTGATTGCCATCGGACAGGAGCGTATACCCGTGAACTCCTACCTCCTTGCACACCGATGGGGTCCGTTTTTTGTTCATCTTCTACGTGAAAGTTCAGGCACGACATCCTCATCATCCCAAAACGACGCTTCCTCCTCCTCAGACGGTGGCACTCTGCGTCCAAGCAATCTGAACCCAGCCTCGGTCACCTCTCGCAACTCATCCGTTACCATAACACCTAGCGTAACAACTGCAGCCTCTGCTGCGCCTTCTAGCCTCACTGCCAATTCAAATTCATCCACCAACAATAGATCTTTGGACCCACCCAAACCAGAAGCCCTCCCCCCCTGTTCTCGGCCTCGGCAGCTCTACCTGCCACATACTCTCCTCACTCTCCGTTCTCTTGTCCACTATCTTTACACCTCAACCCTTCCTGGGCCGAATCATCCTTTGTGCACTCCTCAAATTCTCTGCTCCTTACTACAGCTAGCACGACCTTATCGTGTTGAAGGCCTTCTTGAAGCCACAGTTGAGCGCCTCCACCAGATCCTCGATGGCCGCAATGCAGCCGCCGTTTTCAACGCGGCAGCCATGGCGGCAGGAGGTGGCCGTGGCACTGGCGCGGCCTTCAGCAAGGAGGGCGAAGCAGAGAATGAAGAAATTGCACAAGGAGGCTTGACCATAACGCGACTCCGAGGCAGCCACCGGGCGAGAACCCGATCGAATGATCACAGCGAGAGCGAAGATACTGGGAGTGAGATCAGTAGGAGCGAAATAAGTAGCAGTGCCGCGAGCGAAAGTGAGAGTGATGTAGGAGGAAATACCCATGGAAGGAGAGTGGCGGTTGGGGCAGAAGAAGTATGGGCAGGGGGAATCAGCTGCGTTGTTGGCCTACAGAAGCGAGGTTTGAGGGGTCTGATGGAAGGCAGGAGGGCGAGGGAGAGGGGACAGACCTTCGGTAAGGGCGGTGTCCTGGGAATCAACGGAGCCGTGAATGGTAACGACGTCGGGTTAGGCATAGTGTAGCCATGGGATGGGAGAGTTGGATACCGTGGAAGGTAGCTCGAATGATGGACACTGAGGCAAAGACATGGCCAATCGGTGGATCAGCAATGTTTGTAGATGTCACGATAACGTATATATGCCCCCTTTTAACAAGCATGTTCTCTAGTAGATCATTCTTTCAGCAAGAGTACGACCCTTGCTCCCTCGGCTCTGTTCCAAGGATTTGCGCCAAATTTCGTGGGGCTGTTTTTGTCACGGTCTCGAGGCAGTAATGCGCTCTGCAGCGCTATAAATCTAAACGGACGAATCTAAGTCTATAATCCAATGATCCATCTATAGCAAACACCATATCAATACACGAGACGAAGTCCGACTTCATCCTTCATAATCAACATCCTTACTCCATCTAACCTCTTTCCTTGCCGCTCTCTCAACACTCTTCCCACTCCCACTCCTCATTACGCCGTCCCGACTTCCCCTCGTATCCCTGACCGACCTCCCATCATCAGGCTGCGGCGTATCAGCTCTCGCCCTCTGTTTCTCATACCAACTTTCCTGACCCTCCTCTCTTCCCAGGCCCTCCCATTCCGGTATCTCACCCATCCGCTGCCGTTCCTGTCTGTCTACCATTTCCTGCGCCTCCAGGCGTTCTTGGCGGAAAGGTGTGCTTTGCCTGGAGATGCTGCCTTGTCTGAGCGGGAATGGGCTAACGCGTCTGAAAGTGCTGTCCTGGCTTTCTTTCCGTGGAGGAAAAGGGCTGTCGCGTCTGTGAGGGGTATTCTGTCCGTATTCCGTTGAACTGGGGCTTCTTAACGCAGCATGCATCTCCTCGCTCAAGCTGGGGCTCCTTAATGCAGGGTGCGTTTCCTCTCTCGATATAGGACTCGTCAGGGCGGAATGCCTTTGCTCAGTTGACGCAGGACTCCGTAAGGCACTATGTCTTTCCTCCCTCGACACACGACTTTGAGAAGCAGGCACCACAGGAAACCTTTCACGTCTCAACCCAGAACTTCGCAGACTAGGACTCCTTGGCATTGGTACAACCTGTACTCGCGTCAAGGGGCTGATCGGACTGGGACTCGGGCCCTGCTCAGCTCGTATCTGGGCATTTTGGATAGCGACGCGCTCCCAAGAGACGAGACCTGCTTTTGAAGGGCCAGGTCGGGGTTTGAGAGGTTCCAAAGAGGTCGAATGCGGATGTGGAGGTGAGTATCTTGTTGCTGGTAACATTTCGGGAGTGTAGGTCGCTGGCGGTGGAGGTTTGGATGGTTGCTCGAGGCCATAGTTCGTTGGTTGATAGTAATTCCTTGAGAACGGGATTGGGGAGTTCCGAGTGCGGAGAGGAGCTCGCACGGCGATTTTCGCTGGTTTCAATGGCGCCGGATAGAGAACTTGATGCGAGGCCGAATTAGATGAACAATTCCGAGAGTTGACACCGTTCCGTGGCGGGGTTTTACTCCAGGCTGACGTGGATTTGGATACGTGCTTTTCGCTGTAGTTGGGCTGGCGGTTTGTGTGGTGGTTGCAGTGGCGGGGACGATCTGGGGGAGCATTCTTATGGACATAGAAGTAGACGAGGAGCAAGGAAAAGATAAGAAATACGACAACGGGAACGCTGATCGCTATAGCGACTCGGGCGTCGTGGGAGATACCATGAGAAGAAGTGCTGATGGCACCGAGATCGGAGAAATTAGATGGGGGTTGGTAGGTGAAGATGTCAGAAGGCTTTACGGGGAAGGGTAGCACGGGCGAGGGCTGATTTTGGCATGCATACTCGAGGGTGTGGAGAACTAAGTACGTTCCATCAGGGCAACGATCTTCGCTTGCGAGAGAAGAATGCTTACAATTTGATAGATAGAGTTGGTTTGGGACATTCTCGTAACACGACGCACAGCTTTCAGCGTTCGGAAGGAATTCTGGGTCTTGACAGTAATCGTAAGTAGACGAGGCTGCGGCATCAAGTAGATTGATCTCGAGAGCATTCGATATCCTTCCGCAAGCCGTGGTACATTGATCTGAAGCTGTCTCATTGTCACCGTGAGGAAAATCGAACAGACACCAATCCAGGGCATATCTCATATTGTCTAGCATTTAGCAAGACGGTCAGTCCTTCATCGGGACGTCTTTGAGAATGAAGAGATTAGCTTACAGAGTGCCCATCCCAGATCACTCTGTTCTCCTGTTAGGGGAATTGCCTGGCTTTGAATCTCGCATGACACACATGCCTGAAAATCGACGCCGGCGGAGGTGCTATTGTAATCGGTATCATAACAGGCAAGATCACTTCCATTCGTGTTGTAGACAGTTGGGGGACTAAAGCAGGCGGACGAGCAATTAGAGCCTCCGACCACCAAGAGAGCTAAGGTGTGTGGGATAGCCAAGGGAACGAGGAGAAGGGCGAGAGTGAGCTGATACAAGGTATCGTTGCAACCAAACCATCTTGAGGGCCCCATTGCACCCTGGCGGTGGAGAGTAGCATGAAACAATATCCTTGCCGTTTACATTAAAGGCTGAATGGAAAGCGGACGTAAACGCCATAGAGGCCTTCTCCGACCAGGGAAAAGTAGGAAAAGATAATGGATAACGACGATGCTGGTTAACGAATATTCCGTGAAGCGAAAGCGTGGACCGGAAAATAGGCCAGTTTGTCGTGGAGCTTATAATGAGCGCAAGTGAAATGACTGAAGCGAAGCAATCCGACAAAAGGCGGTGACACGCATGATCCCCCTTTCGCATCCTATGCGCATGTGGAGGATAGTAGAAAAACCTTGTCAAATCAGAAGGAAGTCAGGAAGCAAGGTTGATGCCTCGGGTGTGCTATTGAATGTGGTGCATCTCCGATCTGTAAATCGCCGTTACTTGTATGACCTGCAGATGCTTGCAGGAAGAGGGGTTAGCAGAACAAGCTTTTGCCTCACGCGAGGGAGCCTCTCTCGTGGACAGAGGACAGAGGACAGAATACTGCAGTAGCAAGTAGCAACAGAAATTTCGGAAGTGCAAGTATACAGGGTTCTGCTCTCATGACGCCTGGCGCATAGCGCTTCATCATTGTCGAGACACTCATTTGCCATTGGTCTGCTCAACGCTCAGAAATGGTCGTGCGAGGGAAATGAGATGCGGCGAGCCATGCCGAGTTATCGTATGCGAAATCTGTATGAGCCGGATAGTCGCGTCTGGTGGCATTCGAGCTGAAGGGATGCTCCTTCGAGCTCTTAACGGCGGTTGGCTCTAAGAGACCGAGTTTTGCTTCCAGCTAACATGACGTTGCATGCGCTTAGGTACTTCTTGACCCTGTAGTCACAAGGGTAGGTAGTCTTGTCGTGATCGTGATTGCCATCATGGCACATTTTCTAAAGCTCATGTGGCAAGTTGTTGGACATTTTGGGTTGAATGTGGATAGGAGGAAGGTGTACGGTTGGGGTTGGGGTTGGGTTTACAGTTTATCTACCAGACAGGGAAACCACGCCCCACCACCGATGTAATCCAGATTAGAAGAGAGCCTTGTGTGAGGAAATCTTCGATAAGAGACGATAGTTGGCGGGTACTTGTAGAGTAATGGTCTTGATTTGATCTTTTATATACATAGTCCCCCTGTGTACAGCAAACGCAAGACCATGAGCCAAGCATTGCTTTAGGGGAATCGTCTCGAATACCTCTCTCTCAACACACAGGTACAGTAGGTCCCATCAATATCATTACGCCCCCCTCTGAGGCTCTTAACCTCGCATGATAGCTCGCGCCTCCCCACGTGCTCGGAGATTTGAAGGTGCCTCAATTATCCAAGCGCAGTGTGATTGCTTGGCTCGCCTGTCATGCGCGACGGTCAGGGAATCAAGCGCAGATTAGCGAGGCTCCTTGATAGCTTATTCGGATGCCTAAGCGGTCGATAGTCGCAAAGACGGGAATGGTCATGATTTGCCATTTCCCAGTGTCTACCCGGCCTCGCTGATTAGTCAACATAGTGGCTGTTCAAAGACCTTGCGTGGTAGTTCGATTGATCTGATCGCTACTGCTCATCTTCCATATGTCCAGTTGGTACTAGGTACGGGTACAGCAAGTCGATCTGATTCGAACCGTGGCTCTATGGGTGGTAATTCCTTATCGACGATAATGGATGGAATAGGCCGCAAAGCAGACTCTCGAAAAGCGGGGTGGGTCACGCCGTCTATCACGGCAGAGTTGGATTGGTTGGCTAAGGGCGATAGTCGTAGTCTGGGCTCTGTTACTTCTTGGTATTTTCGAGTGGGTCGGGTGTCGATAGAGTGTTTTGTTATCAATGGGGCCTCCGCGGTCTCGTCGAAAGAGTATTGTGTGACTTGCTGTGGTATCTCGAAGCAGCCTATATAGAAGTTTTGACGATCTAGGCACTCTTCCAATTGGGCCAAAGTCAAGTAGTCGTCCATGCCAGGCGTTTGACCTCGACGCTTCCACGGAGTCGATACGTCCCAAGAGTGTGGTCGAGGCGAACATTTGGCACAAACTGTACAGGCTTGACCGTTTAATCCTGGTTTGTGGAAGGCATCGAGAGCACTCCCGACATTCTCAAGACGTGTGGGTGACAGTGATTTGACACGCGGTCGATGCACTAGGCCTTTCAAAAATTTGGACGGTCGGCTATGGCCGTTTGACACCGTAGCCTCGCAAGTGCACTGAGAGAGAGTATCGGATGACATTTTAATACAGTGACGAAAGTAATATATGGATGTTAGCGGAGAAGATAGAGACATCAGGCGGACAGTCAATTTGTCTATATGTGAGTAGAGAGAAGGGTGTTAGCAGAGCTTCATTGGGAGCAGCACTGCCAAAGTCCGAAAGTGAAATATAGCAAGGCGGAAAAGCTGGCTTCCTCCGCGAATGCCTGCGGCCGCAGAAGTAGGAAAATGGGAAGCATCTACATATCCTTCGACTATCGGCTGGATCAGTTTGCATGTCTCAGGCAGCCGAATCCAAATCGTATTCGATCCTTCCATTACGGCCGCAGCTACGTTTCTTACCAAGCCTCGGACCCAACATTGCAGTGAACTGCATCATGCATTATGCATCGCACCAAAGAAGGAAGTGCTTGCGGATCGCTGCCCCAGTACCAATTCACAAAGTCCATTGCTGGTGGGCTGAGAGACGGGGCGTTGGACGAGTGGTAACTTTGGCTAAAGAAGAGCACTGCCCCGCTGCACGGCGTGAGCGGTGGAGTCAGACATCCTCCTCATTGCCTATTCAGCCAGGCACTGTGTTTCGGATGTCGAACCAACGCAGAGCATCACAGAGCATTAACCGATTTGCGCAGCTGCAGATGAGATAGGAGGAAGTGTGCATACTGGGGACGGGAGTAGAACGATAAGGTAGTTGCGAGTGTCCTTTGTTGTAGGGCTGAGATGCCAAGATATGTGGAAGCTAGTCCATGGGCGGAACTCTTCATGTCGACCAATCAACTGGAGCTTCACAAGAATGCATTCAAGCTCAGTGAACCGAGGTGAACTGAACGAACTTTCACTCGCAGTGCCATAAAGACTATTAAATCTCTATATTATCACTCTGAGAGAAGCCGACATGTCATCAGCTGCGCTATTAGATCAGGACTTCGGCTCTGAATCTGAAGATGACAACTTCAACCCAGCACCCGCTGAGGACTCGGACAACGATGCTGCTGGTGACTCCGATGAAGAAGTCAACGTGAGAACGAATGGAAATGGTGCTGAGCAGAGGCGGCGCCCCTCGGAACAACAAGCTCATGACGACGACGAGGATGATGATAATGATGCGGAAGGCTCATTTGCGAACGGCCGACAGAGCAACGGACACGGTACAAGAGTGTCTGCAGATGAAGAAGATGAAGGCACAAAAGGAAACGGCGCTGGCAGGCTGAATGCTACAGAAAATGGCGGTGACGACGAGGACGAAGACGAGGAAGAAGAAGAGGAGGAGGAGGATGAAGAGGAAGCTATTTCCGTAGGCCTTTGTCTTTTATTGAGTGATTGAGTCTAGCTCACATTTCGTCCAGGGCCGGCCACGAAAGCGAGCTCGTCGGGACCCTCGCAACCAATTCCTTGATGTTGAGGCCGAGGTTGATGAGGAAGATGAAGGGGACGAGGAAGACGAGGGGGATCAGGCCGATCCCTTTATTGCCGAGACACATCCAGACGACGTCGCTGATCTCCCAGACGGTGCAGAAACGGATGATAGGCGGCACAGGGAGCTTGACCGGCAGCGGGAGAGGGCCCAGCAGATGGATGCAGAGAAACAGGCCCAGCTACTGAGAGAAAAATACGGGCGAAGAACGGCTACTAACGCAGATGCAGTCACGGTTCCAAAGCGTCTTCTACTACCAAGCGTAGATGATCCAAGCATATGGGGCGTGAAATGCAAGCAGGGAAAGGAACGTGAGATCGTCTTTGCGCTCACAAAGAGAATAGAGGAAAGGGCTGGCACAAAAAATCCAATGCCAGTCATCTCTGCATTCGAGCGTGGTGGGACTATGATTGGTTATATCTACATTGAAGCCAGGAGGCAGGCGGATATACATACGGCTCTTGAGGGCATCATGAACGTGTACCCCAGAACCTCGATTGTCATGGTTCCCATCAAGGAAATGCCGGACCTGCTACGAGTTACCAAAAGCGAATCCCTGGTTCCTGGCGGCTACGTTAGAATAAAGCGCGGAAAATACGCAGGTGACCTGGCACAGATCGACGAGGTAGAAACAAATGGGCTCATGGCGTCGCTACGAATCGTTCCTCGACTTGACTACGGACAGGCCGAGGACAACAACGCGCCTATGGTTGATGGTGGTATAAGAGGAGAGGCACAGAAACGGAAGAGACAGAACGCTGTGGGCCTCAACAATCCGGCAACCCGACCTCCACCTCGGCTTTTCAGTGATGTCGAGGCGAAGAAGAAGCACTTGAAGTTTCTTCAACAAATGTCTACGTTCGACAAGAAACACTGGCAATATATGGGAGATACGTACATTAGTGGCTTCTTGATCAAAGATTTCAGGATCCAGCACTTGACAACAGAGAATGTCAATCCTACGCTCGAGGAAGTCACTAGATTCACAGCAGGCGCGGAGGACGGCACAGAGAATCTAGATCTTTCAGCTCTGGCGGCAACGTTGAAAAAGGGTACTTCTAATGAGAACTACCTCCCCGGCGACATGGTCGAGGTCTACGAAGGCGAACAACAAGGTGTCAGTGGGAAAGCTGTTGCAGTGCGTGGTGACATTGTGACCATCGCCGTGATAGATGGAGAACTTCGTGGTCAGAACATAGAGGTGCCAGTCAAAGGTCTCCGCAAACGTTTCAAAGAGGGTGATCATGTCAAGGTCATCGGTGGCAGTCGATATCGAGATGAGGTTGGCATGGTGGTCAGCATCAAGAACGATACTGTCACACTCTTGAGTGATCTAAGCATGCAAGAAATAACAGTCTTCAGTAAAGACTTGAGGGAAGCAAGTGACACTGGTGTTGCAGGGGGCCTTGGAAGGTATGACATACATGACTTGGTACAGCTTGATCCTGCAACAGTGGGCTGCGTGACAAAGGTGGATCGAGAGTCGTTGCGCGTCTTGGATCAAAATGGGTCTACGAGATCCATCATGCCTTCGCAGATCTCTAACAAAATCGAGAAGCGACGACATGCAGTAGCTACAGACCGAAACGGATCCGAAATACGAACGGATGATACTGTTCGCGAGATTGGTGGTGAGTCGAAACAGGGTGTCATTCTACACATCTACCGTTCGTTTCTCTTTCTGCATAACCGGGAGCAGACCGAGAACTCTGGTATCTCTGTGGTGAGAGCTAGCAATGTCGCTACTGTGGCAGCAAAGGGTGGTCGAGTTGCCCACGGTGGTAATACCGGACCGGATCTCAACAAGATGAATCCTGCATTGATGAGGAATGGCGTGAACGGCAATGGGGCGATGGCACCTCCCAAAACATTTGGACGAGATCGTGCTCTGGACCAAACTGTCACTATTCGAAAAGGACCGTACAAAGGCTTGCTTGGCATTGTCAAGGATACCACAGACCTCGAAGCACGAGTGGAGTTGCACACCAAAGGCAAGACCATTACTGTGCCCAAAGATACTCTTGGATTCAAAGAGTATGTTTAATTATCGGATTTCATGATTATTACTGACATTCCGTAGCCCTTTGACCGGTCAGAGCATCGACTACACACGCTTCGCTGGGACACGAGGAAGAGGCGGAGGTGGTCGTGGTGGATATGCAGGCAACATGGGCGGTGCTACTCCCGGAAGAGAGCCCCAGTGGCAAGGTGGCCGCACTCCTGTGCCAATGGCAACAGGAGGCCGTACGCCAGCGTGGGGAGCAGGTGGTTCATCAGCTCGAAGTATGTCCTACACTCACATATTTTTTTCCCCAACTAACATCTCCCAGCACCAGCCTGGTCTGCCAACGCCTCAACAGCGCGAACCCCCATGTGGCGCCAAGACGCCGTGAGCTCCAACGGTGGTGGTCGCACACCCGCCTACAATGCCGGCGCCGATGGCTCCCGAACCGTAAACCCCTACGCCGACGGCAGCCGCACCGTGAACCCCTATGGTGGCTCCACATCCTACGGTGGTGCTGCAGGAGGAGGAAGCCGCACCCCAGCCTGGAACCCCACTGCCACATCCTCCTCCTACACACACGACCCCTTCTCCTCCCGTACACCTGCTCACGAACCCTCTTCCGGACGCACACCTGCTCCATCCTACCCCACTCCTCAAGACTTAAGACCCTATGATGCGCCTACACCTGGCAAAGATTTTACGACAGCGCCGACGCCGGCGGCACATCCGAGCAATGGATATGCTGGCAGTACGCCTGCGGCGATAGGAGGGGCGCCGACGCCGAAGTTCAGTGGGGATGCGCCCACGCCGTTTAGTGGGCAGCCGGAGACGCCGGGGTGGAGGGGTGAAGCGGACGACGAACCTAGGTACGAAGAGGGAACGCCTAGTCCTTAGGGAGAGGGGTGGAAATGGTGAGATGGAGCAATGGTAGCACGTGCATTGGTTGGCGCAAAGGGGACGTGGTAGCGAGCATAGTGGCACTTTGAGATTGTCTGGACAATCTGAGCACGGGACACCAAAAGACTGGTGCTCTTGTCCTCTTCAAAATTCCAATGAAAAAACTTTTTTTTTTTTTTTTTTTTACTGCAGGCAATGGTATCATGTCTTAGAAAAATTCACTTTCAGTTCTTTTCATTTAACATACCATCAAGTCTCATCGCCGCATTCGACGTTTTCGATCAACACAGCAACATACTCTCCCCTTATACTGTCGCTGGTGGCTGGGATATAACCAACCCTGACCCCATCCCAATCTCCCACCTACTCATATCTCAAATTTCCTGTCTTTCACATATGGTCAGGGTATCAAAATGCAACGCAATGCCCGCTGAATGAATGCAAACCCATTGGCGCCAGTGATGTAACATTCCCAATACAACAAGGTCGATTCCTTTCTACGATCTTCGGCTCGTGATCTGCCGTCGATCACCCAGTCGAATTCCTGCTCTCGCGGTTCCTTCCAAGAAGGTTGGAGGCCGTTTGACCCGTGGGCCTGAGGTGAAATGACCGCGTGTGCCGGGATTCGGAAGGATTGGCTGGCACGTTCGTGGAACTCTTGCTTGGCGTCATGGCAAACGCAGGGATGGTGGGCTTAGCGCTGTGGGGCGCTGGCGTGAACATCTCACCATCACGGTGGGATGGTGTGGCAGGCTGGGATGCAGAGCCGAAAAGGGACCGGTGCCACTTCTCTTCTCCAGTGGGAGAGGACGGGGATTCAGTAGGGGATGAGAAAGAGGTGGAAGATGAGGAGGATGTTAGATTGGAAGTTTCATCGGCGCCGGAAGATGTGACGTCGTGGAGAGGGTTGGAAAGGTAGTCGGACGTTGCGGGTCGCTGTTCTTCGCGTGATCGGCCGTAGAAAAGGGTGTTGATGCTCAAAGACTTCTTATGATGAAGGTTTGGTGCCAGACGACCAGATCTACTTTGGCTGTGTGTGTGAATGGAAGGTGTCCTTATGGGTGCAACAGTCGCTTCAGGAGCGCTGCGTTGCGAGAGAGGCCGCCTCACTCGTGTGCGCCTTTGGGTTCCCTTCCTTGGGTCTGAGGTTTGTCGTGGACGCATCCTCAACTCGACTTCGCTGGGACTGAAAGCCACCCTTGCACGCAGCGTCTGCACTGCGTCATCCAGTGCTAATTCTATAGCGCAATGATTCTTGATGATGCTCATCTTAGGCCAGGTAGCTCGCTCGCCGCCTAGCATAGCTCGATGCATAAAAGCTGGGGTTGGGTTGGACAACATACGGGGAAAGTCTGCATATGAGATCTCCGGGAAGATGGTGATGTCGCCAGAGTACCTCTGGCTGAGCACAGATACTGTCTTGGTCAAAATGTTGGGAAAGATACCCATATCTGCCAATGTGTGCATCCGATGTAGCGCCTCACTCTTGGCAAGGTGAGAGATGCTGTTAAACCATGTTGGCCCAGGTGATATTGTGCCGCTTGATGTTCTTGCTTCCTCTCCTATGGCGTCCTCGTCTTTGATGAGAAAAGGGACGACGTGCGGATTAACTTGGGACACAATGAAGTGATTGACGTTAAACATTTCAGCTAGTCGAGTCATGGGTATATCGTTATCGACTGAGCCATCAATCCATCGCTGCGGGGAAGGATTCCAGGGTACGGCTTCGCCAGTCTTAGGATCCTTAGCAAGGAGTGAAGCAGCTGTATAGATACATGGGACCGAGCAAGATGCAGCTCTGCGTACTGTCAGCTTCTCATACAATTCCAAAAATGCGCAATACTTACACAGCAGACCATATAAGCACATTGGGCGCGGTAATGTAGTTAAGCAATCTCGGAAGCTCATAGAGACCCGCACTCGAGACACAGATATTCAGAATCTTCCTGGTCCGATTGTAGGCCTCTTGAAACGTTATATCACCCAACATCTCTTTCATCACCCTCGTCAGATGGCTGATGTCATATACTGCACCGTGTTTGAGGAAGCGCACTGCTTTACGTAGCAGCCCATCCTCACTGCCTTCCTCTTCAAACACAGCCAGGTCTCCATCACAGAACGTATCAAGGAGCTCGGGTGTTTCTTCTTCCGTGTGAACACACAGGACTGCACATACAATGCTGCCTGCTGAAGCGCCGGATATGATGCGAGGTAGAAGTTTGGCTTTCCAGAGTGCTTTGAGGACCCCAATGTGGTTCATCCCGAATGTTGCCCCACCAGACAGTAGAAGGGCACTCCTGCCGAACGCCTGCCTTGCAGATAACACTTGTTCGAGTATGTATTTCGATTCCATTCCGTCGCACTTTGCCCTCGCGGAGACGTCCAGTAATGCGTTCAGAGTTCCTAATGCTGATGTGATGTATCGCTCTATCAGGTCCTTGGTGCCAATGTGGGTATGCTTGTACATCCGTAGATTGCCCATGTCCCCCAGATCTCGGGTCAAAGATGTCCGGATGAGGAAGAGCATGCGTCCAATGTCACAGCCTATGCGTGCTTCGTCAAGCTGCTTCGACCGCGCTTCTACGAGTGGGGCATCGTAGTCTGGCGATTCGAAGATAGATTTCCACTCATTATTCCCTTCCAGATCGTCGAGCTCTGTAGCTGCTGCTTTCCAATCGGCATGGTTTGTAGCCTAAGCGCGCTCCGTCAGCTTTTGTTGCAATGGCCCATATTGGTCCGAGCGGTCAGCTCACCATTTGCATCTTTAGGTGTAAGAGCTGTTTCCTGTCCGCCAGACTTTGTCTTGCTGCCCGTTCCTCCTTAGTAGTGCCATCATACCAATTCTCAACCGCTTCTCCTACGTTTTGGATTGGGTTCCGCGCAAAATGTACCAAACTGGCAAGCGAGCTCGAGGACCGACGTATTTTCTGATTCTGCTTTCCACTGGTTGGTGCCCAAGGCTCATCATTGCCATGGTTGAGCCTCAGACTATGTAAGAATGGTACGCTTGGGACATAGACCATGATGAAAGGTCATTGCTTTTGTAGGGAGTTTGAGCGGTCTATTTCTGCTTGGTTGATTGACGAGTCGAACCGGACCGGAGGTATTGAAGGGCACAATGTTTAGTGTGAGTTGAAGAAAAGATTAGATTGTTATTTGGGTGCGTTGATGTGAGATGTTTCGGTGCCAAGTGGGTTTATCAGTTGTCACTTGTCACGCGGTCTCATGCTTTATGATTTGGCGAGACCATGCTGCGGATGCCGAGCAACGGCTGCATCTTCCGGCAGGTGATTGGTTTTGAGTTCAGCTAAACATGTGACATCTTTTTCTAAATAAGGTACTTTCGGCACTTTGTAGTGAATAAAGGAATACAAAATACAATGAAATTTATGCATTATTGAAAATCAGGATCAAGCATCAATGCTACCTCGAGTACGGAGTAAAGTATATGGTGACTTTCCCACACCATACTTTGAAGCGTGAGAACGTCATGGGATGAACGGGATGTCTCTGGTCCCTCCCGCCCCTCAGTCCCTGCAGGGAAACGGCTAGGGCTGAGCACAACGAGTCTTTGACTCTTTTGACATCAGCTGCATGAGAGCAAAACCTTAATATAACCATATGAACAATGGCAGTCGTTTGGTTACCACTAGTGGCACACGTGAGGAGATTGTTTCAGACTATGGCCCGGCTCAACCTGCAATCTACACCATTGGCCAACTTCTTAAGTTCGGCGTTTGTTATGCACGCACAAATCAACAGAATGGAGGACGACCACAGGACCGGCAGCAAACCAGACTCAAGCACATCTTCGACCCAAGGAACAAGGGTCACAAAGCTGACAAGCGGACAAGTTCCGACTCCGCACCATTTTGTCTGAATCCAAGTCATATCAACAACTCGGGAGCAGACTCAATTCCGATCGATAGCTTTTTGGGATCCGGAATTAGCACACCTTGCAAGGCAAGATAGTGACAGAGGCCCAATGTCAAGGCTCCCTTCAGGACTTGTAGATTGTCAGAACTCACCACTGAATGTATTGCGGACAGTGTCCCGAGAATTTCAGTCTCCCCAGAGAGTTGAGCTTGGAGAAATAGTCAGTATGGGCTTCGTTCGGAGCATCCATTGGTTCAATTGTCTGCCGGTGGTCGCACTCGTTGTGAACTTGGGTCAACGCGCAGATGGTGTTGGATTTTAGGGTAAGAAATCCATCGTCGGACAACTACTCTACAATTGAATCTTCCCTCCATTTGTCAACCACGCAAATTTATATAGTGCACCAATTAGCCACCATGTCATCAGAATGAGGGACTCTGGATCGAGTCCGAAGGAGCTAATCACCTTGTATGAAGCTTCTGGGTAGCCGTATATAGTATGATCTTCTATGGTCCTTTACATTAGACTGCTGTTGTAGTTCTTAATACTCGCCAACTACTTCGTATGATCCACTTGTATCTTCGTTAATCTTATTTTTCTTATCATGTAGAAGGATACTCCTAACTCCAGTTGCGAAAGTTCGCTGATGTTGACTCAGAGTACTTCAATATTTCTGATGCAGTGAGCCAGGCTTTGAACATGGTCGTGTCGAAAACGCGTTGCATTGGCGGTTGTGAGAGACCTTAAAAAGACAGCGCACCTGGCTGACGCGGTGTAATCTGGATCAAGTAGCAATCCTCAAGATCAGAATGTGTGGTCTCATTGGCGTAATATCGAACACTCAAAAGATCCAACGTAAAAGAAGAAGTCTCGGCGTCGAAGTCCGCTATCTGACCGAGGTTGAAAGTCTTTAAACCTAGTATACGATACCTTATCTAGCATTCAGCAAATGAACGTAAAAGAATTCATAACTCCAAATTTTACACAGGCCTCGTTGCTCATGGAAAAGATAATAAGAGATCGTACCATTTGTAGGTACAACCGTAGAAGATTGACTGATGCTCGAAGGCGGTCTGATCTGTATGATTCATTGGGCAGACGTTGACGAAGGGCAAAAGGCCTTCCTGAACGAGACAATCTGCGCTGGTCTCTTGAGTATTATTTAATTCTCCCTCCCATTTATCAAGACCGTCGATCAAATTAAGAAGAATTTTGGAAGTCTCCAGATCCAATTTTTAGAATGACCGTAAAGTATTGAGCCCTTTGGAGGGTGGGCTGTGTCCTATCACGAGTAGAAGGGTCAGCCCATTATGGAAGACCTTGGGTGTAGCTTGCTTAGAAACCACATTGGCCCAGTCTCGAGGAAGTGTCGTTTCGATCATTCGTCCCAACTGATGCGTAGGCGCCTGGAATCGCAGTCTGCGTGCGTAATCCCTGATTGCAGTCCTACTTCGATCTGAAATTTCTTGGATAGCTAAAATTCTTCTGGACGTCTGGAGACTCTGAGATAGCGCCTTGTCTCTCGTGTCAAGGATTGACGAGGTGGATCCGTCAATAGCAACATTCAGGCCGCCACGCTCGGTTTAACAATTAACAAGTTGCTCTCTGGTGTGAATTGCCGGGTAGCGAAAATCCATCTTGATTTCCAGGTGGGGAATTTCTTGCTCCAGGCACTTCGATACAACTTCTGGGAATGCGTACAGCATGACATGAACGATCCTCATCCAAGAAGAGCCTTTGGCTGTCCGTAGATCGTGCGAATGCCTGCTATAGCCGTTGTGGCCCTGTGAAGTACCACCATAGCGAAGGAAGGCAAGCAAGTCTCCAGCAGCGCAGGCGGTTCTCGCCTGCCAATCGAACACTCTATTCACAAAGATAACCTTCGCGCTGATCAAAGCCTCCAAAACATGTTGGAGCTGAGCCACAGCGTGGGTTGCCGCTCTCAATTGAGGATATTTGTGTTGCAGTTTGAACATTGAGTACTCGTATGGTGATAAGTCCTAGAGCTGCCGTTATTTACATTTCAAGGAGATCGCATATACAACTTATTCTCGTGGACCCCTGTGAAGAATATACAGTTCAATAGAGAATTATTCTCATCAAATCTCATCGCTACGAGTTGACTTGTAGAATAACCACGCTCAAAAGAGATATCTACAGTTCGTGCGGCCGAAAAGTCTTGGACCTTGCCAGTCCGGTGTGGGGGTACCCACCAATCAATTCGTTCACTGAGGGTGGCATAACCGGCATCGATTGGTGGGTACTTCCGTGCCAAGAGCTTAGATTCTTCTAGTACCTGAATTCTTTCAGGGTTCTTCTCCGAGCGTAGAGGGTTAGGGCTGGTACTAGCGCTGATCAGGACTTTCTGTGCAGACATCCGTACTACTCGCCGTTTACGCACTTTGAAGACTCGTTTCCCCTCTAGTTGGATGAAGCGCTTCGTGTTCTATATCTTCTTCCATTCACTTCGAGTGCTTTGCTAAGTACGACTTCTGACCGTAGAAACACTTTGGTCCACGAAGGTCTGGCTCAAGCACAGCAGGAAAGTGCCGGAAGTGTGCCATGTGAGAGGCCGGCTCTTTACTTAGTGAGTAGATGGCTCCCAGCAACATGATGTATCCACTCTCTGATAAAGCCTCTCATTTGGGTCCCTACCCCTTCTTCGCGCCAAAAATGACCGGCACCAGAGACTTCATAGAATTGGAACAGCGAATTTGGTTTAGACTTCAAACTCTCGGCCCATCTTCGCAGTTTCTTCTGCGACGTGAAGAAATCCTTGTCGCCATAGATGACTAGCGTGGGATGATTCAAGAACTTTGCTTCTCTCTGAGCCAGATACCCTGAGCGCATATTTGAGAACATTGTTGTAAACATTGAGATTGGTGGCTGCAGAGGAGATATCAATAGATAATGCGTCTGCGGTGGAGGAACTTCCATGCGTAAGAAGGCTCTCAACGACGAATGTTTGCTCAGACACTTCGCTGCTATGCTGTCGTAGCAACTTCTTTCTCGACCTTTCCATACTCCTTCGAACAGCGTCCAGACTTCTTCTGCCTTCATGGCTTGCACGGCGACTGCCCGGGTCAGATTCTTCTCCTCCAACGGCCACCGTCATTGCATGCGTTGATACTTTGAGCTTCTCATGAGAGCTCGTCTGCTGAGCTTGTTGTGCTTCGCGGTATAATACGGCGTCCTTGTTCCATTGCGCTGCTAAACTGACAGCCCGAAGCCTGATCTGGATAAAGGTATCGGAGTTAGCACTGTCTGTTCAAGAAATTTTTTCGAGCCATGAGACAATTCTGAGGAGTGAATACTCCCTAGACATGTCGGAAGGCTCAATATCGAGGTCGCATGAAGGATTTTGGACTCCGAAAATATGTACCTCTGCCTCTGCGGTACCTTTGTTGAATCGTGCAAAGCGTTGTAGTATATCCTCTATTGGGGGTAGAAAGGTCGTTATAAGGGAGCCGTAGGAGTAGCCAGCGATTATCAATTTCATGCCACCACAATTAGTTGTATGAGGCAGCGAGGACAGCTCATAGGCCGATGGTATCGAGGGCAACGTTGTGTCAGGGGTTCTAGACAAGCGTGTACGGGGCCCACAGTCCCTGAGGCTTTCGAGGTAGTGTACAAAGAACCCAACGAAGGAGGAGTAGTCCTCAGTCTCGGGCTTGCCTTGCCAGCTGGTTTTGCCTTTCGAGGATGCTGCACCACTGTAAACACATTAAGTATTGGCACGAGTCCAAGCAGTCTTGAGATGCTACCGAAAGTTGAATGTCCCAACCACAAATCCCTGCTTCAGTATCTCAGCAGCAACTGATAAGACAACCCCATCATCGTAGCATCCACCAAACGGTGCATATGGATGAGCAACAATTGCCCCTCGTGGGCCCCATGCCGACTCGCCATTTGTAGGGTTCAATACCGCATGTGGGGGACTATATAAGCGACAATCAAGAGTTGTGTCATCGTGTATCGAAGGAATGGTGAAGGTGAAAGTGGGCTCGGGGAGCATGGCCGTGGCTCGCCGCGAGTAGCAGCTTGACAGCGATCGGGTATATTCGGGCAGGGCCGCTGTATGTTGGAGTCATTGTGAGCGGTCTTTGCTGTTGCAGAAATGTTGCAGAGCTTGCGAAGAAATGTTAGCCAAGGCTTTTCTTTTTTGATATTAACCCAACGCAGCCAAACTTAGGGTAACTACTCGGTATCAGGGCTACAAAGCACAAAGGAGGCTTGAGGTTGTCTACGATAGAAAGCCCATGGTGTTCTTTTGCTTGGGTATCTTGGTATATCCTGATGGTCGTCTATACATCATCGGTTGAAATAAGCAGATCTGGCCCAGGCCCGTCGTCCTCGTCCTCCGACTTATCCAAGATACTACTGGGCTCTGCTGGGCAGTCTTGCTTCCCCAATGCTTCCAGACGTGCTGAGAGGTCGACTGGGGAGACCGAATTGATACGTGTAACAGGGACGTTGCCATCTTTACTCACATAATCTTCGCCTTCTGATCGTCGAGCAGCCTCAAGTGCACCATGCAGCACACTCTGCCCTTCAATCATGGCTTCCAACTCGGCCCCAATGCAGCAAACCAGGAGCTTCCACTCCCGGTCTTCTGAGACTTCCAGCTTGCTTTCAGTCCGCGATCTCGCTTTCGACACTTGCTCCAAAATCTTCCTCATTCCCCCTATAGCATTGCCATTTTTGTTCTCTTGGACCAGAGGCGCTTGCATTTCGTGCATTTCTTCCCGTAGCAGCTTTTCGACACCAGTAACGTCCTCAACGACTTCGTTCCAGACCCCAAAGCCATCTTCCAACGCGCCCCTTTCCGTCTCCACCTCGTCAAACCGCTTTCTCAATACATCTTGCTCCTCAGCGTACTGCTCCTTCGCCATTTGCAGTGTCCGTCGCTCAGCCGGTAAAGCCCACAGCCCTGTAGTCGTAACAGTCCTATTACCCCGTAATGGCGGACTCTCAAGGAATTTCCTCGACTCCTTCTCCGCCAACGTCAGCGCGGACTGATAAGAGCTGAGTTTGCTCTGCACACTACTATCTAGACTTTCAATTTCTCGTAGCAGGTGGCGGTGCTTAGCCTTCGTTTCCCACAATCTAGATTCCAGCTCCCGGATCTCGTGAGCCAAAGCCTTCTCCTCGCCCTTCAGATCCTCCACTTGGCGGGTCGTGTCTTCTGATTCAATGTTATCAATGTGTTCCTTCAATCCGACCATCTTTGTCTCAAATCGCTGCACGATATTAAGCGCCTCTGCTCGCTGCAAGAGTTCCCCCTCTAGTATCCTGGCCTCCTCAATCTTCAGGGTTGCTAAATCCGATATGGCGCGTGCAATGCCTCTGCGCGCGCCTTTCAAACCTAATTTCCTTTTCAGAGGTTGCCGCATGGGTACAACACTCTTTAGCTTCCTGGGGCCGCCTGGGCTGGAGTATGCTGTCGTCGGTGTTCGGCTACCTGTAGTTGATGTTTCACCTTGAGGCGGGCCGCCTGTGAGACCAGCAAGTAGACCTTCGCTTTGGGCATCGAGAAGGTGCTGAAGGGTGCTTTGTAGGTGGACTTCCTGGCGTGAGATGGTGATAAGGGCATCGGAGTACGGAACCTGGACAGCAGTCATTTTCGAGGGAGGTCGTGGGTCAGGGCTTGCTGGCGCGGTTTGGTACGGGGTTTGAGATGGCGTTGGGTTTCGGGATGCATGTATTGGAAGGAGAGGAATGTCTTTGTTGGCGGAAGGGAGGTTGAAGAGGGATCTAAGTGACATGGTTAGATTGGCAGGTGGGAGCGTGAGAATGAACAGAACGGTTCGTGCTAAGATCTCGGGAATGTAGAAACGTACAAGTAGTCATCGTGTAAAGAGTCTATCAGACAATACACTGAGACTAATTAGGATCTGCTTGCCATATGGCAGTGTTGGGAAAAGCCGAAACATTTAGGAGTGTCGTGTGACCTCGTTGCTGCTACAAACATGCGAGTCATCGGCTGACCGACATGCGCTATCAGGACTTCGCCGTCCAACACTGACGGAGGTCAAGACTCCAACAGATGACTCGATCACTGATAGCCCAAATAGCTCCTTGCCAGATGGTAGACGTGGTAACTCGCTTGCTTTCCTATGGAAACAATATATCATTCAGAATTTAAACCCAACGTCAATCATCCATGCCCCGTTTCTATCTAGATCATGATTGTTGGCGACTCCAGACTCCTCGCTCGTGATGCATTGCTAGAGTGAATGCCAAAAACACTCTCAGATCTGTGGTGACGTTCTATCATAAGGATACACCCCAAACGCCCCTACCACCGCTAACACCCAACCAATCGCTCCCTTGACTCGTCAAGCCGCTCTGCGGCGCCCAGCTAATATTCCCAACTTCATAATCGCAATGCCAACTTGCGGTCGGTCCTTGTGTATTAGCGGGGGTTGAGTTTCCTGACGCCTGCGGATTGCCGTTCGAGCCTGGGGCCAGCGTGGCATTGCCTTGGTTTAGAAGGTCCCAAATTAATACTAGCGAATCGTCTCCACCAGATGCTAGTGTGCCTCTTCGAGAAGGCGACCATTCTATGCAATTGATAGCAGCTGCGTGTCCCCGTAGTTCGAGTAATGCCTGTCCGGGTTGCCGAACATCTAGAATTCGTATGCTGTTCGAGTCTTGTGAAAATGTTGCCAGGAGATGCGCATCATGGGGAGAAGCTGCAAGACGTCAGGCTAAGCCAGAAGAGAGGTCAGATATACGGGAGGATGGGGTTGACTTACCTGCTAGTCTGAGTAGTGGTGGTGCGTATGACATTGTCTGCTGCGCCGTCGTTGGGCTCATGTTTCCAGGACTTGAAGCTAGAAGCGAAATTTGTCAAAAACGATGTGATGCTTCGGATCAAAAGAGACTAACATTTCTCATTGTTCTTCTCCGAAGGCTCGTATATGATTGTACTGTGTTCTAGACTTCTGAGGTCGAACATTCGTACACTACCATCGGCGCCACAGCTCACGAATACGTCAACGCTGTTAGCGCAGAAACGGACATCGAAGACCTCTTTATCGTGCGCTATCAGTTGCGTCTTGGCCGTAAGCGTAGGTATATCCCATATGGTACAAGTGGTATCGATGCTGGAAGTAATAATGAGACTTGGGGAAAGCGTATTCCAATCCAATGAAGTGAGTGGTGCAGTGTGTTCGGGCGATTTGGAGTTTGAGAGAAGAGCAAGAGGTGTCAGCTTTTGAGGCGGCTGCTGTGAACTATTAGACGAGCGGGATATAGAGTTTCTTGGGTTATAGGACGACTGTGATGGCAAAGACCACAAGCGCAAATGGTCCCCAGATGTAGCCAGAAGGTCAGTAGACTGCTTTTGGGAGGACGCCGGTTCCCACAATATCCTTGTGACAGGATAGGAATGTGTCGCTTCCGCGGTCTTAACGAATTCAAGACCAAATTGGGGCGCGTCTATTGAATGGTCAACTTCTGGCTCTGGGGCAATCTGAGTCTCGAGAATTTGAATCTAGAATGTGAATTAGAAATAGATAATAGGGCTTTTCGATTGTATTACTACAGCAGAACTAGTCACTTACGAAATTATGCCCATCCTCGACGTAACTTCCAATCGCCATCTTGCCGGCTGAATCGCCGGAAGTTTGCTGCTGGACTGGCCATTTGCACCAATCAAAGGCATAGACTGCCCATGGAGCCAAATAGTTGCTGTTCGTGGGGAACGCAGGATAGCCGTCGTTTGAGTATGAGTTTCCGCTTTGAGGTCCATCATTTACTACCGAGTCAGCTAACGGTCGTATATCTGCCAAGCCGAGCGGTGAGTATCCAGCGTCACCTTGGGCTGTCTGAGATGACGTGTATCTGTGGCTAGGCGGTGACGAGTATTTGGAACTCTCAGGGGTATTGACAAAAGGGGCGTATTTTGGTTGATCCATACCAGCAGGACTGGACCGAGAATAGCTGTGTGCTTGGCTGGTCGTCGAGGGTCGTGAGGAATGGGGTTGTTTTTGAGAGGGATTCTGGGTTTGAGGCAAAGTTGGTACGGTAGAAGGCGCAGTAATGGACGCTGAGGCACCTGGACGGCCTGGTTGTAGAGAGCCTGGGAGTGATATTCCCCCCTGGAGCGTTTGCGTAATGAGATTCTTGAGGCGTAGCTTGTTGAACATTGATCCCAGGAGCTGGACCCCCAAAAATTCATGTGACGAATGATATGAATGATGCCGCGGTAGATCTTTTGGTGTTGATTGGGCTGGGGCTGTGTTTGGTGGTATATGAAGCTCTTCTTGCCGTCGGCCATATGTTTGTGTTCGACGGGGAGTCTCGAAGCCTAGGGACACGGTCAGTGCTGCCGAGTCTTGACCGCATGAGCTATCTTCGTCTGACCTGATGAGCCTGCACTCTGCGAGGTCAGCGTGCTAGGCGACGAAACATACGCACTGTCGTTGGCTGCCATACTGGAGCCTTGGTTTGCTGTTACCGTATAAGTATCCGTCGTTTCTTATGGGGCAAAAGGTTGCTACTTTGATACGATCCACCGGCCAGGCCTGTCACGTTATCAGGTTGGGCAGACGTGGAGTGTTCGTGGCTGTGAAATGACATTGTGCTGCTACTACAGGAGCCGGTGTTGCTGAGAGTCCATCTGATGAGTATGGCGTTGCTTCAGATATGGACGATCAAAGAAAAGCTTTGCTTTGCTCCTCATCTTCACTTCGCTCTGTTGAAGATCGAAAGACTGCGATTGCAAGCGCGCTTGGCGCGAAAGACGAGACCTTACGGCCTTACCTCGCGTTTTTCTAACATTGTCCACTTGAACCACTTCCAATAGAAGCAACGTTGTCAGGCTCCAGCTTGAAGTCAAAGTTCCCTTGAGCTGTTATTGTCTATCGCCTATCTTGGCATGGCTGACGGCCCTGAGTCCAGCCCACTGTGGCTGCTGTTACTTCCTCGTCCACCCTCCGAGATATCGCTCAATGCCTTACGGGTTGCATATGGACAAAGTCTGACTCAAGTTTTGCAAATGGCATCCAATGCCTCGGCCGGATCATTCGATGTGGTTTTGGATGTTGCCATTGCTTACGAAGATGAGCAGATCTTTCGATACTCAAAAATACAGAGGCTTTTGGGACTAATGTATAGACTGATCTGCGTAATCTGCACGGAGAATTCCATTGATCTACAGTACGATAACGATGTTGATGTTCGTCTGATCATCTTCCATAGAGGCCTAACCAACCAGCATCAACCCGCTCGTCCTAAGGCTTTTCAACGCCTCCAACCATTCGGTGATCTGCAAACTTTGGCAGGAAGTGACCGAGCATGGCAACGCTTATGCTCCCTGGAGAGCGAGCCGGCGGAAAGTCTGCTTCAGGACTTCCTCCGCATAAGGGGAGGGTCCTCAGACGAGACTATGAGCAGTAACCAGATTGAAATTGAAAGGCTTCCAGGAGGCCTTAGCATTCACCAAAGCTCTCCGCAAAACGCTTTCCAAGAGATTTCATCTGGTTGCCATTGTTCCATTGCGGTGGGAGGTACCTTTGACCATCTTCATGTTGGCCACAAGCTGCTCCTTACAATGACAGCACTTGTTCTCGATCCGAGATCCATCCGGGGAGCGTGCTTGACGATTGGAATCACTGGCGATGAACTTCTTAAAAACAAAAACTTTAGAGAGGAACTAGAAGACTTCCCAGAGCGTCAGCTTGCCGTCCAGGAGTTTCTGCTTGGAATATTGGGGCTTTTCTCGCTTAGCCATGTACTGGACAATTTACGGCATGTCGAGAGCAACTCGCCTCACGGCAGAGAAGTCCATAACACGCTCAAATCCGGATTGATCATCAAATACGTGGAGATTTTTGATCCATGTGGACCCACAATCACCGACGAAACGATTACGGCGCTTGTCCTCTCCGCAGAAACTAAGGGCGGAGGGCAAGTGGTAAACGACAAAAGAGGAGAAAAGGGGTGGTCTGCTCTAGAGGTTTTCGAAGTTGATGTGCTCGAGGCTGGGGAGGCTGATGGTGACAGCCGGGATCGCGCAGACGACAAGTTCCAGGGCAAGATCAGCAGCACAGATATCAGACGCAGGATACACGAGAAATCTGCCACAAAATTTGACAGATCTAGCGGAGACAGCAAGCAAGTCCGATCAAATTGAAAGCATTTGCAAGCAGTAACAGTCTAATGCCGCAACCTTGGCTAGCTGCCATCCCTGCATTCTGCAGCAATGTGGGGATGCTGCAGGGAGACCACAGCTTGTCCAATCAATGAGCGCCTGCAGCAAGCCATCCATGTCCAACTCCTCGGGCTTATCAAGAAGTCGCAAGCTTGTCAGGACTTGATGTCCTGGGAGGCTGGGAAATGCTACAACAACCCTGGCTCGTAGGCCGAAGCGCCAGACGTGTGGGCTAGATCCATTCTGGCTAGACGCATTGATCACAGTTGCCAATGATCTTTCTTCGACAGCGCATCTCAACCTGCTTGGTTCACTCTTCGTGTTCAGCTATATATAGCTTCCAATTGTGCTTGGAGATGGACGGCGAATTCGAAGTCATCAGAAATAATGTTGGGGGAACGCTCTCCATTTGTAGTTGCGCAGATGCGGAAGCGCCGTGCAAATCCTGAGCTTAGTCTGCACGGCCTGCACGACGCACAAGCTGCCCGATCCAGACCGTCTCCCGTACGAGCAGGAGCGCCTGACAGCCATCCATGTCAATAGTTGCAGCGGGAAGGGTAGTCCCGATGGTGAGATTTCGATCATGTGACTTCGAGTGGAGGGGAAGAAGAGCCATGATTCGCTCATACCGCATGTCGACCTATACTTCATGCAGCGCTGTTCCTCTTTTTGCGTCGACGTGCGTCTTTCTGTTCCGTCCGTCTTCCTTCTGCTCCGTGTGTTGGCATGATGTCGTCTGACATCCTATTCCTATCCCCTTGCTTTGAACTTCGAGGCATTTGTAGTCGGACTTCGTCCCCGCCTCCACAGTATCATCGGCACAACATGATTGACGTCTGCGCTATTCCTATCGTTTCTTTATAAGCTCGATGTCGTGGTTGCCTCAATGGCGAATATTCAGGAGCTCTCAAATGAAGTTCTTAATGCAATCCTCGACAACATCGAATCAGAGTCTCAAAGCTGCGTCAGCGTAGACCGGAGAGAATACCTCTCCGTCGAAAGCTTCCGGCTCCCAAGCCCGCCATTACCATGTCAAGCGCAAGACATTGCAAGTTTTAGACTTACGTGTCGAAGATTTGCAGACTTAGGGATTCCCTATCAGTTCACCAGGGTCACTCTTCGTTTTTCCTCGCGGGGCTTTCGAAGGTTGGAGGAAATTTGCAGCAACGGTCATCTTATACAGAATACACGGAAGTTTAGCTATTTGGTTCCTCTCTTTTACGGTAACAGTAAGTTACTCGGGCCCCCAAATGATGCGGGAGCTGACGAATACCAAAGGCAGATTGCAGGTTGGTGAATTTATACGTTCCACAAGGCCCGCCGACGCCTTCGACCCCTTGCACGCTGCGAGCCTACGAGCGAGAGAGAAGGATCAAACAAAAATACTACGATCGGGTGAAGACACTCGCATCCTGAAGAAAGCAATGGCAGCATTCACAACACTTCAGCATGTGCAGATCCTTCGTTTGACAGATGAAGCCGATCAGCGTTTGCTCGAATTGTTGGAGCGAGATGGGTCAAATGCCGCTCCTTCTGGACAACCCGTGGTAGACTTGAGATGGTCGCCTGCATGTTATCATGCCACGAAGACTATCGCTGAAGCTCTAATGTCCACACAATCATCTTTCAATAAATTCTCAGGGCCCATGATGAGCCCTCAGAGCATGCTAGCTATTCAGCGGAACATCCCCCAGACGTTCTCTTCATTTGCGTCTGGTCTCACTTGTCTTGAACTACATTTTGAGGATGGTGCAGACCTCAATACCCGGGTTCAAGAGCTCTCCGGCCTTTTCCGCGCGGTATTCCTGGCAGCGAAGAACCTACAGGCTGTGCACATCGGATTCCCTTCCCGTGCACCGCTCGACTTGAATCTCGAAGACATCTTTCACGATATCAAATGGGACAAGCTTCGTGCCTTTGGCATTCAAGCTTGTCGTCTGGAAGCAAGGGAGATTATTTGGCTCGCTAGACGACATAGCAAAACTCTTAGAGGCTTACGTCTCCGCGATGTGCTGCTCAAGGAGGACAGCATGTGGAAAGACGTTCTGCAAGTTCTTCGTACCGAGATGGAACAGCTGGACTGGGTCAGTCTCCGTCGAATTGATTACTCAAATCATTTCGATGATTCCTGGGAGGGCAGTATGGAGGTTCCTGACGATATAGCCTTCGGGTCAAGCGATAGTGACGAGGAAGACGATTTCCCTACCCATCCGAGCGATGGCGACTTCGATGCCGACAGTGACGATGAGTCAGACGAGAACAGTAATGCTGACACCGATCACGGTCCTGACGCGAATGAGCTTGCTTTGTCGCCTGATACGCCAGCTTCACTACCTTCCTGCACATGTTCGAATGGTTCACATGCGCTCAATGCAGATGATTTGGGGGACAACGGCCACTCTGTGACTTATCCCCAGCGGAAGATGTGGGAGAAATGGGTCATTGGCGGTTACTGTCCAGAACATTCAAGCTAGTCCCGTGCAATGGGATGTTCTTCCTCGCTTTTCCAGCATACATACGATACGCACTCGTGGCGGTTCAGCCTCATCCTCGTATTTCACATGGCTTAGACAGACCCTGGCATCTGGTGAGGTAACAACGGTGGGCGGGAACCTTTCTCACTACTATTGAGGGAACGAGACACAGAAGTTGTAGAATCTATCGAACTATGTGGTCGCTCTTAGCTCGTACCCCAACCCTCTAGGTTCTCAACGACAGGAACTCGCCCACTCCTTGTTATGATCCATTCGACTTCTTCGTCTTCATCGTTGATTTCCTGATGCTCAGCATGTGCCGGTATCAATGCGAAGTCTCCCTTTTCCAAGACTTGTTTCTTCTTCCCTCCTTCTGAAACCACTGCCCCTCGCCCGCGCACGCAGTAAACCACGGTATCTTGGGGCCCGTGATGATGGATGGCGGAGGAGGAGTGGGGTTTGGCGATCATGACTGCAAGTCTGAGCCTAGGTTCTCACAATAGGGGCTTTTCAAGGGATGGACCAGATGCGCTGATGCTGTCCGACTTGTCAATAATTGCACCTTGCCTAACCATGCCTTCCGTCTGTCCGGTGTTTGTATGAAGCTCAGAGGCTTTGGTGACTTGGACAGGAGCGGCCATCTTCGATGATGCTGAAGGCAATTTCCCCTCCAAGTTGGAAAGTTTACCAAAGAAAAGCGGGAATTGCTATGATATTCACGTGCACTCCGAACTGTGGTAGAGAATGATGGATGACCTGAATGACTGACGACATGAACTCCAGCCCGCAAAAATGTGAGCCGAGGCACAATTCTCAGCCCGCGGCGCAAGTCACGAGGAGCATTTTGACCAATCAAACATCATCTACAAACCTTTAAAGTACTTTTCCCAATCACAATATGAATGCCAAAATGGAAAATGGCAGAGTGATTTGAAGCAAGTCAAGCGAGCCCACATGGCGGCGATTACCGCCTAAGTACTCAGGGCGGTTTTAATCTTGGAACTTATCCTGTTTCGGAGTAGCTTAGAACCACCGAGCCCCACACAAATCATTCTATATACATTTCACTCTACAGCTTCAAGTACTCTCCAAACAATACTACTACCGTTCATTTCGTTTATAAATATCCAATTGAGGTATTCAAGAAGCTATATAGAATTTCCAGCTAATCAAGCTTCAGACGCAAAATAATTTCCTCTCGCGCACCGCCGTCCCAACTCAATAACAACGTTAAAATTCAATAAGACAGTCCAATACTATGACACAGGGTGGTAAATAACTTTTAAAGCTTCGAAAGTATATTTCTAGACTAGATTCGTGCTGAAGATATCGATATAATTCGAAGCTTTAAAGAAGAAAAATCGCTAAAGGAAGTATTAGCGCTATTTCAAGAGTATTTCAATAATAACAGGAGGTAATACCTATGTAGAGGGTACTATTAACGTCGTTCAGGCGAAATCTAACCTTAGAAGTTGTTACATCCCTTATAATCAAGTATCTTCTAAAGGATCTTTATATTACCTCGAACTATTTATCAATTTTCTCTTATAATAGAGCCTTTAAGCCTCATTTCAAGTAGTTATTAATTCCTCACGACTGTTAACATGGAAATTTCGGTCTTAAAGATATTTAACATATAATCCCAAGCCTTTTTAATAGAATTTAGATCTAAACTATAAGAAGGCTAATCTTCGAATCATATAACTCGCCACTACTAAATTCCTCAAGGGAACTCTCTATATAATTATCTACTTTATTCTATATTATATATATAGAATAACTCTAATTAAGCAAGATTCGAAGAATTCTAGTAAGCCTTCGTTCTCTTTTAAGACTTCTTCTTATATAGATAGATATTACTCTACTTCTTTTATTATCTTATTTCTTAGTAGCTTATTTCAAATATATCTCGAACTGAGGCTTTAGGCTAGGCTTCTTTCATCTAATATTATTCTCTTTATTCTCATTAGAACGTATTTGAGAGGTAAATGCGAGTGCTTAAAGTTCTTAATTTTTATAATTCTTAATAATAAGAGCCTCTTTAGCCACATTCTTCTCATTCTAAGTCTTATTCTATAAGAAAATCAATTTTCTTTACCGTTGATTTTGTCTTATAACCGCTCCCTTCCTCATTAATTATACTTTTACTATAAGCGATCTTAAGAAATCATATATAAACTTTATTATCCTCTTAATTAATCCGTTCTATCAATTTCGAGCTTATTTCCTCTCTCGAGACGCTAAATAGCTCGATGATTATACTCAATACACTTAACTTTAGCTTCGTCTAAAAACGATATTATTTACCCAATCCAATAAAATAAGCCCTTATAAAGGCATTCGAAGCTCTCGATATTTATTCATCAATTTAGGTTTTTAATAATAGAATTCCTTATTATAATTATAATTATATATATTTACTTAAAGCGTAACTTCGAGAGAAGCTTTTAATTACCGTCTGTATCGCGCTTAATAAGAAGATTTAGCTCTTTTATATACTATAAAGTACCTTTTTCGATTTTTAGCGTACTAATAATATACTTAAAAATCCTCTCTACTCCGCTTCTAATAGATATAATAAACGATCGAAGCGAGGGCGATCTTAATAATAAATCTTATAAAGAATATTAATATCCCAGTCTTCGACTATTTTCAAGGCCTTACGATAGTAATAACTAATCGTTAATTTAAGAGTATCGATATAATTATCTTAATTTCTTATAGAGAATACCCTACTTTAACTAGGGCTATATTACTTATTCTTTAATTAATTCTCACTCTCATCTATCGATTAATAATTTCAAGATTTTTAGCCTTATAGTTATACTTCTTACGAGGCATGATTAAACGAATTAAATATTATAATAATGTGTATAGCTCACAATAATTGTTTGTTTAGATTGTTTATTTACTGGACTTAAGCCGAGGCAAGTCCGAAATTATAAGGCTACCTAGAATAGGATAAGTGTCCAAAGATTAAAAACCGCCCTGAGTATTGGTGGTGGGGGTTGGGATTCACTACTCGAGTACGGTATTTCCGGCCGAGGCATCTCCTCCTTCACTTTGTCTCCACCATCCATCCGCATTTGACTGAGTGACATTCTGTTCCTTTCCTTCCTCTCTCGCTACAGTCAGCCCCCTACATAGACTATAGACGCCTTTCATTCATTTTCTCACAATGTCCAAGATCTTTTCAAAAGATGAGGTTGCTAGCCACAAAACGAAAGACGACCTCTGGTTAGCATAGAGCCCATTTTCTGTTTCACCGCATTCTAACATTACTCTAAATAGGGTCATTGTTGATGACGACGCTTACGACTTGACCAAATTTCAAGAAGAACATCCTGGAGGTCAGAAAAGTAAGCACCTCCCGCAACTGCCCCCTGAGTGGGTGTTTGTTGACTCGCTATGCCCTAGTCCTCCAGCGGGTGGCCGGCAAGGATGCCTCAAAACAATTCTGGAAATATCACAATGAGAGCATACTTAAGAAATACCGAGCCCAATTACTGGTCGGATCCCTAGACAGCAAGAAGAAAGAAGCCGCCCCTCCTACTCCACCTGCAACACCGCCACCAGCTGAGAAGAAGACGGAGGCTAAGGAGAAGGTAAAACCACAAGCTGAGTCCGGAGCCGTAGCTCCAGTCCCAGGGAAAGATGTGGAGGAAGTAAAAGAGTCAATGGATCCGTATGGGGCTATGATACCCTACGCGGATCCATCGTGGTATCAAAGTGTATGCATGATCCTATTCATGGAAACGTCTTCGTGGCTGAAATTCAAGTCTAGTATCATTCTCCCTATTTCAACGAGACCCACGTTGCTCTCCGCGCGGAAGTCCGCGAATGGGTTGACAATGAGATCGAACCTTACGTTACGGAATGGGATGAAGCCAAGAAAGTGCCAGACAAAATCTACAAGCAGATGGGCGAGCGTGGCTACCTGGCAGGTCTGATGGGCCTACACAAATATCCTACTAATTACACCGATCACCGGGTCAAGAGCGTGAAGCCTGAAGACTGGGACCTCTTCCACGAAATGCTTTTGACGGACGAGATATCGAGAGCAGGCAGCGGTGGTCTTGTATGGAACCTGATCGGAGGATTTGGCATCGGATGCCCTCCCTTGGTCAAGTTCGGCAAGAAGCCCCTCGTCGATCGGATATTACCCGGCATCCTGAATGGGGACAAGAGAATATGTCTGGCTATTACCGAGCCAGATGCTGGAAGTGATGTTGCCAATCTGACTTGCGAAGCTAAGCTTACCGAAGATGGCAAGCACTACATCGTGAACGGCGAGAAAAAGTGGATCACAAACGGCGTGTGGTGCGATTACTTCACAACTGCGGTCCGAACTGGTGGTGAAGGTATGAACGGTGTGTCAGCGCTGCTTATTGAGCGCGAGCACGGTGGTGTCAGCACCAGGAAGATGGACTGCCAGGGTGTATGGGCTAGTGGAACCACATATGTGACGTTCGAGGACGTTAAAGTACCGGTGGAGAATCTGCTAAGCAAAGAGAACCAAGGGTTTAAGGGTAAGATCATATTTCTTACTTCTGCAATGACAACGCTAACGCTCTTCTTTAGTCATTATGACCAACTTCAACCACGAGCGAATAGGCATAATCATCCAATGCATTCGTTTCTCCCGCGTCTGTTACGAAGAGTCTGTCAAGTATGCTCACAAGCGCCGCACTTTCGGCAAGAAGCTCATCGACCACCCTGTCATCCGGCTCAAGCTTGCACACATGGCTCGCCAGATCGAAGCCTCTTACAACTGGATGGAGAATCTGATCTACCAGTGCAACGTCATGCAGGAGACCGAGGCCATGTTGAAGCTTGGTGGTGCTATTGCGGGCTTGAAAGCCCAGGCCACGGTGACCTTTGAGTTCTGTGCTAGGGAGGCAAGTCAGATCTTCGGTGGACTCAGCTACAGCCGTGGTGGACAAGGTGCCAAGGTCGAGAGATTATACCGCGACGTCCGAGCTTACGCGATTCCTGGTGGCAGCGAGGAGATCATGCTGGATCTCAGCATCAGACAGGCACTGAGGGTGCACAAGGCCCTAGGAATGAAGCTGTGAAGGAGATATGATATGTGTATGCTGGTGTTCTTGTGTCTTCGGTGGTCAAAGTCCTCGGTTTAGGATAGAGGCAGTGGTTATTTGCAAGTACTGAAGAACATTAAACACACTTCCAACTTACTAAGAAGTCTCATATTGACCATGAAGCAAGGCTATCTGTGGCTTTTTGAGGCTTTTGAAAAGGGGCCTTGTCTTTGCGCCGTAGGGCTGACCGACCCTGTCATTCTTCGAGCCTTATTAAAAGGTCAGCTCATCACATCCACCTCTTGCCAACCGTCCACGCATCTCACAATAATGGACGCCCTCCGCACCACCATCAAACCCCTCACCCACTCCCTTCCTGCCCCCATCCGCGACTTCGGCGTCTCCCTCATCGGGCCCGACTGCTACCAAAACCTCATCCTCGACATCGACCTCACTTCCACACAATGCCTGAAGCTCGCCGTGTCCAAAGCTCTCGGGATCGCCACGGTCGCCGGCTCCTCCGTCGTCAAGGTCCCTCAGATCATCAAACTCCTGTCCTCACAATCCGGAGCCGGGATCTCGTTCCTCTCCTACGCCCTCGAGACCTCCGCGCTGTTGACGACCTTGGCCTATAGCGCGCGCAATGGGTTTCCGTTCAATACGTATGGGGAAACGGCGATGATCGCTGCGCAGAACGTCGTAATCAGTCTATTGGTGCTGCGGTATACGGGCCAAACGGTTCTGGCGGCCGTCTTCGTGGCTGCTCTGGCTTCGGCGGGTTATTCGCTGTTCAATGAGGGCGTGATCGACATGCAGACGTTGACATATGCACAAATGGGAGCGGGGCTGTTGGGGGTAGCGTCAAAGCTGCCGCAGGTCTGGACCATCTATAGTGAGGGGGGACTGGGCAGTTGAGCGCTTTTATGGTGAGTGAGGGTTGTGAGGCTGGCGCTTATGGGTTTATTGGGGTCGGCAGCTAAAATACGTTGGTGATGCAGGTCTTTAACTACCTCTTTGGAAGTTTGACGAGGATATATACGACGTTGCAGGAGGTGGATGATAGGCTGATTCTTTATGGATTCGTTGGAGGCTTCGTGCTCAATCTAGTCTTGGCTGCTCAAATGGTAGGTTCCAGTGCGAGTAGTGCCGATGAGAAACGATGCGATTGAGGAAGCACATTTTGACAATATTTAGGTATACTATTGGAACAGCCCAGCCACAGCATCGCATGCAGGAGAGATTGGCCAGAAACCAGCCGACATCGTTAAGGGCTCCAGCACCAGAGCCTCGACCAAGGGGAAGGGACCAACGACCCGCCGCAGAGGATAGCGAGCCAGCTGATTTCATCAATCAAAAGTACCGTCTCGTCTAACATGACCACCATCCACCAATGCCCGAAATGTGATCATATTCAAACACTCAGCTCCAACAGAACTCTAATCTCACACTTTCCGGCACCCCTGCTTGCAACAACTTTTGCACCCACCCTCCGCTTCCAGTTCCAACAACAGGCCTCACATCGCCCCACTTCGGATTCTCCGGTACCATTGATTCATCCAATGCTACCCATCCAATACCCGCAACCAGTCCCACATTTCCTCCATTGGGCAGCCAGCAAGCTGTAGCCTCTGCCCCATTTCCGATCCATACATCCCCTTCTTGAATCCTGACTCTGGCTTCGACCTTGCTCGAAGACAGTAAGCGCACAGCGGCTTCCCACCCCGCTTCTCTCCTCCAACCTTCTACTATTTCCCTGCCTACGACAGCAATCTCCACGCTCCTCACCGCTTCACGTTGCCAATCTAGCAGTTTCTCCAAGAGTTTGATAGCGGAGACGATGGAGCTGCCGTAGGTTTTCGCGAAGATGAAGGTGTTGCTTTGGAAGGGAAGCAGCCGCGCTTCCTGGTATATTTGGCGGGAGACGAGCAGGAGGGAGTTTTCCACGTGGTCGTAGAAGAGGTGGCGCTTCTCGTTCGTGTCGGTTGGAAAGGAGGGCTTGAGCCGTGGCGTAAGAGAGAGGGTGTGAGCGAAGATTTGAAGGCGGAGCTCAAGAGGGAGGGACAGGAGGGGAGAGGACGTCACTGTCGGCTGGGCTCTGGCCGAGAGGTTGATTGACGTTGATGAGGGCTCCGCTGACATGTTAGCATGCAATTGAGTAGTGGTGATAGATGTTGAGGACATTGCGGTCGTTTGGAACGCAATGGTGAGCTGCAGTAGTGGCACGAACGACGAGAGAAGCAATTGATCAATATTACCACCGAGAGTTTCGAAATCGGAATGACCGTGCTCGGATATATGTCGACCTATATTTGTCCTCTACATAATAAACAATCCTTCTTGCAGTACTCGTCCTTTCCTATTACGCCGTAAGCTGACAACAGTACGCCTACCATGTCGGCCGTAGCGCCCTGAAGCCACCAGCCTAGGTTGCGCCCATGGAGGGAGATTGAACCCATGAACGATGTTTCAGAACGAGTGCGGCTGAAGAAGGGGCTGATGCTCGCGGCGTGGGCGGCGTGTCGGACGCGAAGGAACAGGGCTATCCGGTAAGGCAGCTGAGTTTCATTGTCGATAGCTTGATCAGGGACAGGACGGTACCTTTGCAGAGAAGAGAAGAGACAAGAATACTGTTGGCAAATGGGAGCAGTAGACCAAGAGTGAGGAGCAGAAGGTGTGGAAGCCAGGCAGATCCGGAGAGATATTCAAGTGAGCAGCAACGGAATGAAAGGCGATGGCGGTGGTGGAAACATCCCTGACGGTCTCGTCATTCTCGATGAATGGTTACATGACTGAACAAGGATGATATCTCGTCCATATGCAATGTCGTAGAGGTTCCTCAGAAGCCTCATATCGTTCTCCAACGCCTTGGGTATATCCATTCCTACGCATCCATGCCGTCAGAACCTTGCCAGTCGCCGTCTTAACTCCCGAGGAAGATCAAAAGCCGTCGGTATGATCCTGGAGTGGGGAGGAGGTGTGCCCCCTCGTCATCACTTCCTCGGCTCTTCCCCTTTCACCAAAAACCGCAGCATATCATCCATCGATAGCGGCTTTCCCCTCCTCCTCCTCCTTCTTCAGTCTTCTTGTTCTCGTGACCCTCCACTTCCGCCGACCAAACGCCTTCCTCGTCTCCCTCCTCACCCTCTTCCTCGTCACTCTCCTCGTCCCTCAACCCCGTAACCACATTCTCAATTCCACCTTCGATCTCCTCAACGGTATAGTCTCCGCCCCACTCGTGCTTCCGCGCTTGCTCATTCGCCGCTATGCCCGCCCATTCCCACAATCCTGTGATCTCGGCCCTTCCCCTACCACCATCCCAATTAGCCACCTCCTCTCCAGCTAGACGACCTTCTTCAACCCAATCTTCAACATGTGGCTCCAGTTTCTTGCGTAGTAGTTGATTAAGAACGGGCTCCTGTTCTCGGCCGGGGTATAGTGGCAAGGGGTAGGCGACCAGGGACGAAAGGAGCGGGGCGTGTGTGGTCAGGTGGGCGGAGACAGAGGCGAGGTTTTGGGATATGATTTGGGAAAGCGAGTGGAGGGAGGACCTGGAAGCTCTTAGCTGTTTTCGTCCCATGATTTTGCAAATGGAGAGGAGAAAGCGAGAATGTTGTAGGTTGTCGTGAGGACTGCCGACTTACCATGATGGAAGAGGTTCTATGGTGTGAATCTGTTTTTGCAAAGAATCTAGGGATTTTGTAAGCTGAGCAAGGCGCTGGCGGGTGTGTTCCAGTGTTCTAATGTCTTGAGGCGATAGTGTTGCCATGTTCCGCGATTTTGCGTTGTAACTCTATGGTTTGATGCACGATGAGGCGGGGGAGAGTGAAGTTGTCTTGTCTGGGATGCTTGGCACTGAATACCAATTAGGCATATATAGAAAAGTGTAACTATACGACGATTGAATCCCCCTCATTATTTTGAATCTAACGCCATCGGAATTATAGAGAGTCAATAATTATTAATCAAGGTAAGATACAAGAGGTAAAAGCATTGAAGTTCGAGAAATCTCGACATCAAGAATAGGTCGGGAAATCTTCAAACTCATATATAATCCGTAAATCTCGCAGAGACTTTTCCGCCGGTTGATTTCGTCGAAAGGCTACCGCCCAAAGTGACTGGTCGATGCTACGAGTACTTTGTCTGTATGTACAGGATCTCTAGTCCAACCTGATATTGATTGCTGTTTTCTCCTCAGAAAATTCCATACCCACAACAACCTCTCAACGACGCATACCCTTCACAATCACATCATGACCATTCATATCTTCACCATCGTTACAAGCAGGACGATGTAGAAAGGCGAAGAAGCCATGAAGCAAATAAGTTTTCCGAATGCAGGCGTTAGCCCCTAAAAGTGCGGAATGAAGGTTGTCCAGTGTACATTTTGGAAGGAACCGCTGGGAAGAGCTCGGAGCGAAGCAAGAGCTTCCGCAATTATGTATAGTCGAGAGAGCACGTACAACACTCCTAGGGGGACAAAAACCCCCATGTGCCAATATGTAATGACGCCTTCGTCGAAGTCCTTGTCATGGATAGGCAACCCGTCCGCTCCGCTAATCTTTTCGATTTTGTTCGCATAGATATAGTAGACAGACCTAAAACTCATTTTCTTTTTGTTGATGTGTAGGAGATACGCTGCACGAAAGATACCCCACAGCAATTCCCACACGCACAATATCACTGTAGTGCATAAGAGAACGAGCGCGGCTAGACGCCACAGAGTCTTCTCCGTTCGAGTCGGGAAAAGCAGGTTCCAGCCAAACATGTGGATGGCACCATAGAATACAAGTCACGAAAATACACACTGCAGCATCAACAGCTGTGTCAAACCATGGCATGCTATCGTTCAGTATACGTGGCATAGGTCTCTTGCGAGGATCAACACGGAAGTGAAGGAACGGTTGCACATCCAGAGTCCACGAAACGCGACCGTCCCAGACAAAGTCGAGGGGAGTTTGACGATATGGCTGGGAAGCTGCAGGACCGGCCTTGAGCAGGATTTCTGCGGTACTCGCTTGGGTCCTGAGAACCGTAGGCGCTGTGACGTCAAGAGGCTTCTTGAGCCATTGTGCATAGATAGCCCATGTGCACCATACGTAACTGATGGTTACGAGTTCCAGTGTTGTCAATGGGAGGCTTTGAGCCAGACGACCGAAGCACTGCACCACGAACCAGCCAGTTTGCAGACACACCAGAGCTTTAGCAAGTAAATTGGCTTTGCTCTTATCCGAGATCTCCTCCGAAGTGATCTCTGGAAGATCCAAATAACCCTCTTTTAGTAGGTAAATAAGGTGCAGTCCATGGATGGGAAATGGTGCACTGTCACGTGCTTGCAAAACAAATCCACCCATATTGGCATAAAAGCTGTGACGTAGAGTCCATTCGGAGTAACCCATCCCTCTCATAGTGTCAAGTGCACGCCTTGCGTTGGCTCGTTGCCCTGCGGCGAAGGCAACGGCGAACTCGGGTCCAAGTATGGTTAACACCATCCAGCGACTTTTCCTCAAGACGGGTCTCCAAGTGCCCTCTTTTGAAGCGGGAACATTGAGATGGAGGCACGTCCATGTGCACAGAAATATGGTTAAGAAGCAACTCGAAATGATGTCAAAAGTCCCGCGGTTATTTGGCTGATCCACCCAGCCATGGAGGGTTGAAGTGGAATTGGACATCTTCCAAGCTCCAGACAGTATTGACAATTGGGAAGGAAGACGTAGTGATGACCCTCCATCTAATGCTTTAAAAGAAAAAGCATACAAATGAAAATGAGACAATATCCCAGCGCACAAATACTGTGGAGATCATTTCATCCTTCCGCGCCACGACCGTACCACACCATCGCCGCAGTCGTCGCCGTAGTTGTCGCCGCAGTCGCAGGCATTGCTGATACTAAAAACAATGGTACCAGCGAGGTTTAGCAGCTTATTTTCAAAGACTGATTCCAAACGTATTACGCGTTGCATTATTATCGACTTATCGAGTACCACAGCTTGGAATTTCAAAGCCAGGCTTGGCGTTTGAGAGTCACCGAATAATCACTGATTGAAACTTCCAAAGCGGCCATGCCCGTGCGAGTTCTGAATGAGTGATTGGGTGATTGAGCGGGGAATACTGTAGGAACATTTCTCATGGCGATTGCATTTTTCATCATTCACTGATTTAGATGGGAAATTTGATTTCCGGTATTTGCCAAGTTATCTGAGAATAGCTCTTACCAAGTGCCTTTACTTCAAGGGACCCAGGTGAATGGTCAGTTGTATGGGGTGTTGCTGATACTTCTGTAATTATTGCTATGATATAATATTGTAACACAACAGCCGGAAGCCATCAACAGCTGGGTATTCGATGGTAATAAGACAAGGAGATGGCGGTCAAGAGCGCTTCCTAATCATCGCCATGCTCACTCGTTGTCAGAGTGATATTCGAATTCATGCGGCACCTCTGCGTCCTCTTCCCCTTCACCACCCTCATCAAGCGCGGTCAAAACCCCAGCTGCCTCGGCTGCACCGCTTGCCTCCCTAGTAGCCTCCCTAGTCGCCTCCCCTTGAGCCATCGCAGCTTCAACATGATCTTGTAATGAACCTGGTAGGACAGCGGACTGAGCGGGCTTTTTGGCTTTCTTCATCTCCAAGAGCGTCTTTGACTCTGAAGGCTTGGTGTCGGTCAGCAGTATCACGCCCCCGGTGGGCTTCTTAACGGGCTCGTAGCGTTCATCTGGGAAGCTGACGAATTTGAGCTGTGCCGGTAGTACTCGCGACATGTTTTCGAGACCGAAGCCCACTTTTTCTTTCTCCATTTTCTTCTTCAAGCCTTCAGGCTTATCCGATTCTTTGGCTTCTTCTTCATCTTTCTTCTCGCCGTCACCCTCGGTCTTGACAGCGGGCTCGTCAGTGTCCATCTTGTCCCTAGCGTCTGCCTTTGGCGCGGTGGGCGTCTGGTCGATGTCCATGCTCTCGCGTCTCTGCTGCTTTTCTTTTCTCTGCGCTCTACGCTTCGCTTGGGCAGTTGTCGAGAGCACGGCGGTCTTGACTTTCTCCGGAGCATCCTCCGTCTTGGCTTCTTGCTCTGGAGGATAGTCGAACAGACTAGGTCGAGTCGCGCTGTGAAACTTGAAGCTGGGAACCTCAAGGTCCTGGTCAAGACCAATGACTGACGTCGGAGTGAAGCTCAGGGACAGGAAGTGTGTTAGAGGAAACCAGTACCAGTATTGAGTGAACACTGCCATTCCGACAATACCAGCCATGTTCAAGTTACCCGTCTGGGTCTGGAGGCTTATCGTGCAGTTGCGGCCACCAGCATCGATGATACCCAAAGAGATGGCACTGCCAAACTTGGTCATGGCATCTTCATGCCGGTCGCCGATGGCTTTTTGCAGTGTCTTTCGAATAGTGCCAACCTTCGGGTTCATGGCCTCGTTTTGCTGTACCATGATCATGGAAAGGGCAATGAGTGCTCCTTGACGCACGAAGTCAGTTGGGTCCTTGATCATTGGCTCCAGAAGGTCGATGGCTTCGTCCAGACCAGTACCTGCACAAGATATACCCAGTGCCATTGCTGCGCCGTATCGGACGTGTGGGTTGTACGACTCTGACAGTAGCTCGACCATACGCGGTACACTCTTAGGCTTTCTGAAGAGGATGAAGCCGAGACTCATAACGGCGTATCTCCTTACGTCATCACTAACATCGCTGACGGCCACATGAAGCAGCTTGCGAACAGCCTTGTTGCTGCCAGTGCCGCAATAAGCAAGCGCGAGGGTCTGGATGCCTCCGTATCGGAGAATTGGATCAGGGTCATCCAAAAGGCCATTCACCAATTCATCTGCTCCCTCTTGCCGGCCGTACATTATGAGTGCCATTCCAAGACCGAGGCCACGGACGATCTTCTCGTGTTGTGTATCATGAGCGTATTGGATCATATCCTCGAGGGCCTTAATGTTGCCAGTCCCCAGCATTATCAAGCCCATTGCGATGCCTACAGCCTCACCGTTCAGAGCTGAGTCCGTGTAGAGGACACCTTTGAGGTCATCGTAGATGCCCTCATCGCCAGTAGCCATGCCAGCAACGCCTAAGCCTAGGGCACCACCATGTTGCACGACTTCCTCCGTGGCCTTCTTGAAATGGTCACGGATAAGTTCCAACGCAAACGTCTCGTGGTTAGCGTAGATGAGACCCATGGCATAAAGTGAACCTCCCTGACTGTAGACAGAGCCAGTGTTTGCACCCTCGACAGTATCCTTTGGCAGGTATGGCTTCAAGAGTGTCTGCCCATTGCCAAGATCACCGCGATGTATAACTCCAAGGGCAGCAGTGGCGGTGAATTTTGACCAGTTGACCGCTTTACCGAGCCAGTCCAGATTGTCGCGGAAGAAGTTGGCATTCATAGTGCCGGCGTTCATGAACCCACATGACAATGTAACTGCGGTATGGAAAATCGAGTTCCGTGCTTCCAGACTATCTTTGAGCTTGTTGAGTATGGCAACATCGGCATGATTGTTTCGGTAGAGGAATTCGAGGTTCAATTGAATGGTTTTGGTCCCTGATAGGATCTCCCGTATCGAGTCAAATGCTTTCTCCGCCTCTGGACTGATTGGCTGGGGCTTTTCCACAGAATTATCCAGCGAAGAACTCGGAGCAGCAGCATTGCTGTCCGACTCCGACAAGAGCTTGTCAGTCTCTTGAGCATCATCGACTTTGTCTTCATCCATCTTATCTACGCCATCAGTAGTCTGAGCGGCTGTGGGCTCTGGGCTCTTCGGAAGGCCTTCCCTAACTTTCTTCAAAAATTCTTGAGAGCTGTTGTCGTACAGGTCGAAGGCAATTTGGTAGGCTTCGGCTAGGCGGCGTGGCCCGCCAGTCTCAACCAAATCTGCCAGTAGCTTCGATGCCATCAAATGCTCATTCAGATAAACAATGCATTTTGCTATCGAAAAGACATCTGGAGAGGGAACATCCCGCAGTAGACCGAGGATGAGACGCAGTAGCTTGATTGAAAAATCAATGTTAGCTAGGGTATATGCCCTCGAATCTGACGAAGGAAAGGTGAGCTTCCTACCTCCTGGCGCAATCCGCGCTCCTGGACTACGTCCATACAGATACCCAGTAGGTACTCCAGCAGCTCGTCAACTTGTCCAATGCCATCCTTGGCCGGCTTGTTGCCCTTCTCATCGTCGCTCGCACGGAGTATAGCCCGTCGAATGACATCGAACTTGCGTGCTTCTACCGCGATTCCTACCACTTGGCGATAACGCCTGTCCCGGAAACATCGCTCGAACAACTGGTCTATTACCGCTTGTAAAGGTTTCTGGATCCCTCGTTGCTGTGCGAGTGACGGAGGTAGAGCGGTCGTGGGGGCGGGGGCACCCGCCGGATCGAACGTATTTGTACTGTCTTGGCGTGAAAGTAGGGACTTCGACGGGAGGGTTGCGTGTGAGAATGGCATCGTAGGGGAAGCGAGACTTGCTGATGTACTTGTGGCTCCATTTACTGTCGAAGGAAAGGCGGTGTTGAGCTGAGTTGGCTGATTTACATCGCTTGTGAGAGCTGTATCAGAGAGAGCGATGTAGGTATCCACGCATTTAGATATGATAGTATCCTCGAATTCACCCTCGTGGTCCAGGTTGAATAGCTTGCCGGCACCGAGGGCAAATACCATGCTCTCATTATATTCCTGGAGGTTGTAGTAGACTTTCGCCGCGACGAGAGCGGCCAGTTCCCGCTCTGGAAACTGAGGATCCTCGTATAAAGCCTCGACCTCGCCCACGGATCCAACGACTTCTGTCCATAGTGAGTCGATCTCTTCGTTCAATTTCCTCAGTGCGAAGATCTGAAGCTCAGCATCTGGCTCGGATAAGAACCCCACCACACCGGCTGCTGATGTCAACCCAACCATAATAATGGTCCAAGACTAAGTTGATGAGATCCTTAAAGTTTCACGTGAGAATGGCGACTATCCCCGACAAACAGCGTAAGCGTTGTGCTCACGTTGCAGATGGATGAAATATCAACGGAGATTCAGATGCTGGCTTATGTGAGTAGTTCAGACGCACACTTGGATAATTCAGTGTAGGCGTAAAAGGTGGGAAAAACGTGGAGCCGGGGTACCTATGGCCAGCCCTACACTCGTGCCTCGCTTCGGGGGCCAATCATATCGCAAGCTCATTACGGCATACCCCTCCCTTAGAGTCTAAGTACAAAACCCCCGAATCGCTATATTAACCGTTAATTTATATAAGCCCACCGTAATAATTACCCCGTTAACGGGAAGTCGCGACTTCCTCTATTTTTTTAGCTATTATTATATAGTCTTTTAATATTAATTAAGAAGGTAATAGACCTTTTCGAGGTCGCTAAATAAGTATATAAACTTTTTATTATAATCGGATAGCTCGTTATTATCGTATAAGCTTATTTGGATATATATTCTCCGCTAACGATTATAGTACTCTATCTTTAGTTGATTATCCTTTGATAATTAAATTTTAGATGATAGCGTATTATATTTAGTATTATTAAAAGATTATATAACGAGTTAAATATAATAATTAAATTATAAGTTTAATTATATTACTATCTAATAAAAATCGAGTATTAAAGTTATTTCCTCTATATATAGATTTATTAACTTAAAAATATATTACTTAGAAGTTAAAGGGAGTATAAAATATATATCTTAAATAATTTTAACGCGCTTAACGCGTTTAAAACGAATTAAAGCGAATAAGAAGACTATAAGAGGCGCTTAGATATGCGATTTTCTCTTCGATAATGATAGCGAGATATTTTCGAATTATATATACTAACCTCTTTATAGCTTATAGAAATATTCTTTCTTCTAATAAATACGAAGTTTTAAGATATTTAGCGAACTAGTTCTAGAGAAAAGAAAAAAGTTATATATTTAATATTCGAGTATAAAAGTAGAGAGAAGAATATTTTAATATTTATATATAATCTTAAATTATAAATAACGATATAGGCCCTTCTTCGCTTATAAATAAATAAAATTTTAAGTATTATATAAGCGCGAAAGAGCTAAGTAATTACGATAGTTTTAATAATAACTTATATATCGCTAGTAATATTAATACTCTCTTTTATACTACTTTAAATTCTAATATTTATTATTTTATCTTTAATATGATAGTAGAGACTAGTTACACTATAGTCTACGTCTTAAAATATATAATTAATATAGAGAGCGAGTAATATTATACTCTAATTGTTTTATAAAGTTAGTAATAATAGATAAATCTTAATAAGATTAAAAATAGGCTTAAAAAGAAATAGATATATACGATTCGCTATTTATTTAACGGTAAAGACGCTATTCTAATAGCGAAAACGGGCTTTAAAAAGAGTCTTATTTTTTATTTTCTATCTCTATTAAAATCGAGTAGTATAGCGATTCTTATATACTTACTTAATATATTAAAGTTAAATTAATAATTAAAGATTAATATATTATCTAATATTAGCGCCTTTATTCTAAATACTTAGATTAATAAAAATAAAAACCTATATAATATCGCTAGCGATATTTATATATATATTCTTATTAGTTTTAAGATCTTTATAGATAATAAGAACTTTTATATAATTATTATAAAGAATATAAGATTTATCTTATAACTTAGTCTTATTATTATTAATAAGATATATATAATATAATAATAAGGCGGATAGCTTTCGTTTTAACTATAGTAAACTTTATAAAATAAAAATATTAACTCTTAATATATTATAATTTAAAACCTCGACTACGTTAGACGATTAGATATTAAATATCTATTAACCGCGTACTAATTTCGCGAATAATACGCTTATCGAGATTATAAAGACTTTTATTAATCGCGAGAATATTATATTTAATATTAAGCCTCTATAATATAAATTAAACTTATTTAAAGATCTTCGTTTTTTAATATAGCTATTGAGTTATATATCTATTAAAATAATTTTATATATTAATTATATTATACTCGATTATAATATTATTAATTAATTAACTTGATAATATCTTAATATAGATTAAATAAAAAGAAAGGTAAAAAGACTCTTTTATACTTATAATAGTAAAATAAATAAAGAGAAGTTAAAAATTATAGCTATCGAATTTGAGAGATTAAATTTAATAGTTAGACTTCTTATTACTATAGACGCTTTCGATATAAATATTAATAACCTTGATATACGTCTTATTATATAGTAATTATTATCTAAAGATATCTATTCTCTTTTAAATATATAATAGCGAGCTAATTATATAGTTTAAGTATTAAATCTATATAATAACTTTATATAATTTATTGAGAATAATCTAATTAATTTATTATTTGAGAATTTAGCTACTTTTATAATAGAGATAGAAAGAATATAAGCTAGAAAGCGAGTAAATATATTAAAAGAATAGTATATTATTCTTAATCGATCTTAGAGTAATTATATTCGAGAATTCTTTCTAAAGTATTTCGATGAGACTAAATCGACTATAGCGGTCTATTCTATCGAATACTATAATTACTATAAAAAAATTATATTTATAAAAATCTTAAATATATAATTTAAAGACTCGATAAGCGTAAAAAATTATACGTCGAATATGAGGATAATTAATATATATAAGAGATTACTTAAGTAAGACTAAGAGAAATATAAATAAAAATATAGTAGAAACTAATATTACTAATATTATCGAGTCGAATATCTTTTTAAATATAAATATCGTATAGAAATAGACTAGATAAGTCGATACTATTATTATTATTAACGACTTCTTAACGTTAATAATAAAATAAGAATTTATACTAAATAAATAAGTATAAATTTAAGCTTTATTCTCTTATTAGATATTAATTTAAAAGAATAACTATAATTAATAAGAGGTTAAATATTAAGCGAGCGAAGAAGAAGAAGTAGATTAAGATTAATAAGAGAAAGATAGAAGTCTTAATAGCTAAAGAAGTAATTAAATAAGTAAGAATTTATATAATAAACGAGATAAAAGAGATAAAGATAAGAGATACAAAAATTATAGCGGAGGTAAATAGATAAAAGACTATAAAAATAAAAGTATAAGAGAATAGAGCTAAGAAGGTTAACTTAATTATAAAGACTATAATAACGCTTTATAAGCGAAAAGAGTTTTAATATTAGAATTATATTTAATATAAAGAAATAGAAGTAAGTAGATAGTAGATCTTTATTAGTCGATATATTAATAATGATAAATAAATAGAGAGTTAATATAAGAGTAGATAGAAGTAATATATATAAATAACTTTAGAAGTTAGATAAACGGCTAGTTAAAGAAATAATATAATTTAATATACTTTTTTTAATATATCTCTAAGAAGTATCTTTCTTCGATAACGATAATAGCGACGGCGATAAACGACGATATTATACTCTAAGTATCTTACTAATATATCGTCGATAGTATATATCTATAGATATTAGAGGTTTTAATAATAAAGAGAATTAATAAAGAAATAACTAAATAGTAATAATATAACTAATTAGTATAGTTATAAGACTAAAAAGAAGTTAAATCTAAAGTTGATAAAGAATTAAATAAAGCCCTCTAATTAATTAAGGCCTTTCGACTTATAAGCGTAGAAATCTTATTTCGATATTAAATAGCTTAATATAAGATACGTAGTAGTTTTCTTTATAATAATATTATATAGTTAAATTTAATAAATCTATTAACGACGATAGCGAGATTCGCTAATAGCGTTATATAGCTTCGAATATAGCTATAGTATAAAACGATTAGTTATATACGCTTAAAGTACTTAATTTAAGATTATTATTAAGTATTAATACTCTAAGTAATCGAATAATAGATATTAAAAAACGAGGTCTTCGAAGTTAAATTCGAGTATTTATAGTAAGTCTTTAAACCTTTAAAGAGGCCTCGAAAAGTATTTATTCGCTATTCGTCTATTATATTCTTATAGAAGTCCCGCGTATCGTCGATCTTATTTATAATTATATCGTCTAATTCTTAATTTAGCTATCTTCTTTTCTTCGACGGGAGATCTTATTCTTAAGAGAATTATTAGATAACTATTTATTATACTTATTAACGATCTTATTTATCTTATTCGCTTTATTAAAAAGTAGATATAAAGCTAATTTAATATATAATCGATTAAGATCTTATTATATAGAGCTCTCTTATAACGTACTAGCGTATTTATATAAGTCTTTTATAAAATACTTAATCGAGTAATAATTATTCTAATAGATATTAAGTAATAAGTAAAAGGCCTTCTTAATATTCTTAAAAAATCGAGTATTAAGAGAAATATATCTAAAGAGATAGTTAAAGTTAAATATAGAATTATATCGCTTCTAGAATATAATTTTTATTTCGCTATTAAGATACTCGCCGAATAAATTAATCTCTTTTTACTTATCTAGTTAATTAGTAATATTAATAAGAGAGTTAAAAAGAATAGCTCGAGCTAGCTTACTATTAATAGCACTATCTTCGCTATTAGAATTAATATAATATTTTTATTAGAGTATTAATTTCGCGTAATTATAGAAACTAGATTCGTGGAAATATAGATATATTCGATTTAAAGTATAAGAAATTAAGTTGATATTATCTTACTTAATTTTATACTTTAAAATAAGATAAGGCTTTATACTTTATAAGAACTTTATATAATTTTAACGAGTAATATTCTCTTTATTCTCGGATACTCTAATAAATAAATCGTTTTATATAAAAATTACGATTTTATTTATCTTCTTAATTATATAAGTAGCGAGCTATTTCTCTATTATAGTATAACTCTATTTATTATTATAAGATGAGATATATACTTAAAGTGCTATAATTATATAGGCCTAAAACAAGTATATAAGAAACTTATTAAG